ATTCTCTCTACATCCAGCCAAACTACTGATAGTGCCGGTACTTCTAGATTAATCGGCGTAACCAAACTGCAATATTATGTCCGTTACATCGGGATAGAAACCATATGTATATTTAGAGCCGAATGGTTGTGTGACTTTCGACTGATCCGATGATGAGCGTTGAGCCGCCTATGCATATGGGGTATGTAGATCAGACTGACCTGAGTGCTAAAAGCAAATCTTGCTCTGGTCCACTTTATAACCGTTTCTATGCTGCTTCATTACATTCGCGACTTCCAGATCTTGCGCCTAATTGTCTCTTCCCTATATACTGCTGTGCTATAGTGAAGTATACAATCGTTTACGTTCGCTTGCCTCGAAGGGGAACCCTGTCGCTAATTCCTGGGTTTGCTGAGGTAGACAAACCATTGACAGACCTAGGACAGCTAGAAGGTTGGCACATAATAGAACTCGTTACATGAACCTAGTTAAATATCGCTGAATGAATGCCGTTGAGTGCCGACGTATACAACAGTAGAATCGTTAGAATAATTATCGGATCAGACTTCGCAAAGCTGCAGTCGTATCCAGAACGACCGAGGTGCATATAACGGTCGGTGGGTCAGACAGACAAGGCAAAGGGGCCATTGATGTTATATTCTCTGTCACTGTTAGTCTAATGTATGGCTAAACGCTTATTCATGGCCGTTGATTATGCACGTGCTTCACATTGATATTTACTGCTCACGTGTCTAGCTGCAAGTAATAAAAAGAAATTTCTAAATAGTTGGTAAAATAACAAAAACGTGAAAAAAACACCTAGAGACACACGTGTCAACTCTCTAACGAGCCTGTTTTTCGTCGTCGAATACAGATATCATGCTTGTTTTCTATTTGTAGAAAACACTTTGCTCATTATCTAGTCAGATGCCGTAGGCGCTACCCGCTATTGCTGTTGAGTGATACGTTCAGGTCTGAATCGCGCCGTGTACGGCAGATCATCATATGTAGCGTTCAGCGCACCGAACGAAACTGGTGGCATTTCGTGTAATACTATGAGTTCATTACAGCATATCTACTAAGGAACAAACTCATATTTGGCTGATAGAGGCAGTATGTCTACTTCCAGTGAAATTCCGCTAAAAATAAATTACGTCGAAGAAACGAGGGCTTACACGGAGCACGCAGAAACATTGTCGCGTTACCAGTGCCGTACAAAAATACACCTAAATATTTCAGACTAGTATCTGAGCTTCAACAAGCTGTGAGCTATGGAGATTTACATGCTTCGGTACTGTTCTGCTTTAGGGACTTTCGCTAGGATTCATCTTAAATTAAATTTTCAAATTAAAAGCAATTGCTTATCCTAGAATCGATTAATATAAAGAGAAAAGTAAGAAAACAATTTAAAATATTCGTAGGTGAAAATTAAGCAAAGAATGGCTGTACTATAAAGAAAAGGCCACTCATCCTGCTTGATCATTTATAAGTAGCCTTTGAGGACACTTAGGTTGCATATTGAAGTAAAATAGCCTACTTTTCAATTTTTCCATATATCGATCTATTCATTACTGGCATCCGTTAGTGCCAAACTCGACAGAACACTCAGGGCTTTGTGGCTTAATGTAGACTCACAGTTGAACCTATCTACTTATTAGCGATTTCCTTTCAACCATTGGAGGCGAACTTTACCTTACGGTAAGGCAATGAAGGAACCACTCTTATTTTCGCCCGCCCTTTCGATCCCCCTCGCCACCGCGACAGGAACTGCTCTTTCTATGACTATTACACTGCCCTCGGCTTCGATTGTCAACAAACAGTAACGACAATGAAAGGACGGTCTGGAGTGCGTCTGACAGTCAAGGGGAAATACAAAATAAAGATGTGCTTGAACCCGAAATGTATTCGACCCATTGAGAAGATTAACTATGCAGACTAGGTAAGCTTGTATACCGCAGTTAGAACTGATAACTAGATAGCTTCCGCTTGCGTTTGGATTGAAGTTACTTCTTCAGGCAAAATGGTTCGACGATATCCATGCTGGCTTGTTTCAGGAAGGTATCTAAAAACCATCGAAGAACCGTACTTTTTTCTTCGGGTTGTACAAGTCATAATATGCCAAACAGGACACAACTACAACCTGTTATGCGTATATTACCATGCTGATAATCTTTTTCCTTCACACAGAACACAGTTCTGAGATAATATCTTTCATTTGAAACGACTTGTCGTCTTCGCTCGAAGAAAGCTTCTTTTCGTATAGTCTTGCCATGATAATGGACATATGCCTATTATTATTGTTATTTATATACACTTGGCGCGGGGCCTCGGACATAAAAAATAATTAGAAGCAATGGGTTCGTTCTACGTCTTAGGAACGTGTACTGCGATTTACTTGGTTATCAAACCTAACGAACTAATTGCTTCCAACGTCACATATTATTACGCCGCTTTTCTGAACGGTCCATGGCCGCCAAGAGACAATATCTCGTTGATATACCTTCCCCCCTGTACCATATAAGCGTTCCCGAAGGCTTAAGATGGACGTTTCAGGTAGTTGGGAAATGCTTTGTGTCTTCTATCGTGCAGCGAGGTCCCAAGGCAATCAGTATCAGGCATCCTCATTTTCTATAAATTTTTTGATCAAATGTATAGAATATAATGAATTTATCTCTGAATCAACGGTGTAGTGGGCTCTTAGCATCCCGATCATGTCTTGCTTTCCATGGACGCAGGCATATGGTAATATGGAGGAGCTCATCCCTTCCGGGAAGTGGTAGCAATCTAAAACAGTGCTCGATATGAGAACTGATTAACGCTACGCGTTTATCTTTTGTAATATAAATAATACTATAAACAAGCAACATATTAACAAGAACCTCGCTCAAAGGCTAAGCAATAGTTTTTCCTGTTTTTTATTTTAAAGATAACAGCCGAAAAAGCTATTTATGTAATGGTAAAATTCGTAAAATCTTCATACATTTTCTCGAGTGGCTCAAAGTTATATGATATTTTTTTGTTTTTTTACAGTTACTAGTTCTGGCTAAGTACGACAAAAGCTGCGCAACAAGCCCTTGGCTCGATCCATTCTACTGATCGTTATGTATAATAGGCATAAACTTGTTGCCGGCAGTACCAGTACGACAAAGCTGCTACTTTTCAGGCATCCGTAGCCCTATTGATTTAGGGCTTGGTGTACTTCGCTATAAATTCGTAATTATTGCATTGTTTTCCAAGTTCGAAGATATATACCGCAGATGCGCTGACCGATGACCTACGAGGAGATGTTATGAAGCCGGCCCAACAGCATTTGCCTATTCGTGTTAAGGTCGTCGCTACCGATATATTTGCAATCGTTTCATCTTTAGCGTTATAATACAGTCGTCGACAGTTGTTGTTGACGATGATAGTGGTGGTTATAAATGAGCGCGATCAATTGAAAATATCCCCAAAAAAAAATTACTCATCGTATTGAGCGCACCTTCCCCCTTAAATGCGTCACGGCGGACATAAACAACTATCAAACAAACCCAACAGTTCTCTAGTGTTCGACATTAATTGGGGCTGGGAGCGATGCGACGAGAGAAATGAGAAAATTGCTAAACCAATTATCATTATTACTAACTGCCTGTACTATTCGAAATAAACGTTTTAGGGTCATAACGTTATATTAGATATACATTAAAAAATGTATGGTAACCCAATAGTAGTCACTAGTTCAGTACGACCAACATATTCAGTCTTATTATGCACTTTCTCAAAAAAAACACGAAATCGTACCATTCAACAATGTTAAAAACCTTATCAAACGAAGACTGTCGAGAAAATAAAATGTAAGGATGCGTAACAGCGTAAAGATGCTAGTTTATTCATTGTTTAAGACAGTGACTTGAAAAGTAATGCACTTACGTCTCTGCAGAGCCTTAATAACATGTATTTATTGGTACTTTCTAAGTCACTGTAAAATGTAGCAACGCGATACAGGATTGTTTAATAGCAATGACTTAATTGGAGTACCTTTGTATTTCTTCGCGGTTTGTAGTTTATATATATATATATATATATTAGTTCCAAAAGCTATTCCTGAAAATAATCTTGGACTCTTGCTTCTTTTTGGTTACCTGTATCGGCTGAACCGTGATCAAAATAATTTCGTTAATATCAGGCTATCATTTCTATAATGGAATCGTGAATACGTTTTGTGAGCTAACCTATTATTAAAAGCTTGCAATAGCATTTTCGATTGGGATCTGTTTCAGTTTTTTATTTCGTCACATCAAAATAAAGGCATCTTTGGCAGTAATAGGTTTTTGTGATGATAGAATTCCTCAAAAACTCGAAACAGAGAACAATAATAATAGAGGATAATAATATTTAATAGAGGAAATAATGCGGGCGCGTCACTTTTTTCGCTTTAATTTTGCATATATTATTTAGTGGAACTATAAAACAATGCTCTTATCTCGAGCAAATAAAACGTTTTTGCTCAATTAAGTCCCGAACTGTCAACAGCTCGACCGTTAAAAGAAGAGACTCTAAAAGATGCACCAGGCTAACGCCAATAGGAGAAGAGTTGTGTCTCATCGTGATAGCGCGAAATCCAACTTGTCTCATTAGTTATTCGCCAGAAACTCTACAAATTACAATAGGATGTTCAGCTTAGCTTAACTTATAGTTCGATCGTGCTACTTTCGATCACTATATATTTGCAGGTCTTCGTTATTGGAACCATTTTTATATCTTTAACTTCAAAAATTATCTTGATCAGTGGATCGCAAGTAAGAATAATAACCTATCGAAAGGCTAGCTGAAAGATAGGCGAGGTTGATCGTCAATTGCGGACAATAAATCGTCGAATGAAATCGTCCGAGTAAAAATTGATTGATGATCCACTTAAATTAGGTACGATTACGGAACGAGCTTATAGGAGCATCTAGTAACAGTACGGGAATGGTTCATTTCTGAACAGGCTTAAATTTAAGGACGCATGTATAAAAAATGCTTTTTGCCTCGTGTTTCAGGAATGGAGCCGTACGGTTTCGCATCTTCCTGAGGTAATTCCCACTTAAAAACTTCAACAGGCCACAATAATGGTTCTCCTAACTTCCGGTGTTCGACCGCCTCTACTGTTACTCCCCCTGGCGGCACTTTCCAACATCAACTGCCTTCAGGTACATCAGTTGTGTTAATATATCATGAAGAGGGTTATCGAAATAAATATTTTTGTGCGAGGCTTAGATTATGCGATTGATGAATCGATGTTTTTTTGACTGTATTTGATGTTTAATGAAAGCTTACTACGGTAGGAGAACTAAGATGAAGCTGGTGCCAATTTCTAAGATATGACAGCATATTTTCACTTAATGATTTTTCACACTTTTTGTCTAGGGGGATTTCGTTTTCGATGACTCGGAGGCTGTGGTTAATAACCCGGACGTTGTGGGGAGTGGATCATCCGATGTGACCTGGGCCGACTGGGGAGACCTATTGCGGGACGACTTCTGGGGAACGCCTCTCCACAAAGAGTCTTCGCACGGCTCGTTTAGACCCATTATTACTTTTATTTTTCGGTACGCGTTTAGTAATGTATTGATCATTGCGATATCCATGTAATAAAAGAGCAGCATTTCTTGTTGATATGTTTTAAACGTATGTTGAAAGGATGGGAACAGATGAAATATAGTATCAATACACGTTTATAGTGTTAACTCATTCTATGAATTCTAATGATAGAAACCAGATAAAGCTAATCCTTCACATACTATGACCATTTTACCTACTACATACATTCTGCTTTATAGCAATGCTTCGTATTTTATTATAGCTATTATTAGGGTATTTATTCCTACGATGAGGTACATGTCGATCCGGGAAACTCATGTACATTAAGCACAATCTATTTATACTGAAGTAGTTCTGAAGTAGTTCTGTCATCATATAGTTGCGCCCTTAGCTGTACTGTAATCTCGAATGATTGTTTTGCTATTTCGACAGACTGATGTGGCAAGCTGGTATGATGCAGGCTAATTGGTTCCGACTTCTCAACCTAGTGGTCCACTGCATCGTTACGTTGAACGTGCACTCAATTCTCCTTACCGCTCTCCAGTTGCCCTATAATCCCCTAGAAAAACATGCCCGTCAGGCGGCTTTCCTAGCGGCCGTTTTATTCGCGATCCATCCGGTGCATACAGAGAGCGTAAGTTCATTGACTGTCTTGCAACAATGATCAATGGCCGCCTTGCTCGTAGAACGATTATGTTGTTATACGGTAATAAGGAGAGAGGCATCTTCGCCGGTCAGGATCTCTAACGGTTTAGCGATATCGTTCGTTTGAAAGAAAGAGTACAGGAGCAAGCTCGAACAGCGACATTCAACGGTCAAGGAAAGGCCTGGTGGTTTAGGGCCCAACGTTTAATGCGGCAGACCACAGGCCAATTTCATCGCGATTGATTGCTCTACTAGTCTCACAGAAATAATTCAATTAAAATTCGTATAGATTTTTTATTGACCAGGACGTGACAAACTAGTTACAAATTCTATAAGGTATTTTTTGAGTTCTTGCAAATAAATATGATGTTACGTTAATTCGATCACTTGTTCCAGTTTGCACTCTGGACTGGACCGTCATGTAGATACGATGGTTCTTATATTTCTGAATTTCAGTTATGTAGCGCTGTTGGTCTAGCCGATTTGTTGAGTGGTCTCTTCTTTATTAGAGGTTTCGGTGTTTATCTTCGATGGATTGCCGAACCTCGAAGCAGGAGGCTTCCGATTATGCTATTTGGATACGCTGTACTGGCACTCTTTTCCAAAGAACCCGGAGTCACGCTGTTGGTAAGGGTAACCCAGAAAATTTGCGTGTCAGCTCATACCACCTAATTGTCTTTAGCACATGTGTCATAAATAGAAATACTATTTATATTGTACCTGTTTGTTCAATTCCAGTTTTTTTTTTTGTCTGTTACCACTGATATTGACGAATAGAAGAACTGTTTACCAAAAGCAGACTCATCGAATGAGACAGCCAGTACATTGTGCTTCGAAGTTCAAACGGATCAGTATTTAAGGCCTCATAGGCAAACTGTAGATCTAACGTGTAGCTACGGCCCTGAAACCTTTGAATACTGGCCAACTGGAAATACACTTTTATTGGTAAAGTTAAATATCCGAGCACGTTAGTCCTTTCTATTTCTCGTGCTACTGCACAGAATTTAGACGGTGTTTTTCTTATAGGCTGAGTACCATTTTTTGCACACAAGTAGCGGAAAATCAGGTTCTGCGAGTGTTCGAGCCATTTATCTCGAAATACCGAACAAAGAACAGCATTATCAAAAGAATAACTGTCGTTTGTGAATAGAACAGCTTTTGTTTATGTACATCTATGGCTGAAGTATCACTGACAATACAACATAAAACGTTCCTGTGAAAATTTTACCTCTGCAAGCGTCAGGGCAAATCTGTTACGGCCATGTACTGAATGCATCTTGTAACGTTATTCCGGCTTTTCAGGGCGTTTGCGGTGCATACGAACTCCTTGTCGTCTGTGATATTATTCCTCACCATGCAATTACAAAATACAAAGTATTTGTCAATTCGTTTAAGGTGAGTTATGGCCCAGTAATCTGTGGACATAGTCGAAGATAATTTTGGGAAAATTAATATCTACATATAATACAAATATTTACATACGGCCAATAAAAAATGTTAAAAAACCTATCGTATATTAAAACGGAAAATCCGTAAAGGTTGTTTCAGAGTGGTACTGACAATAGGTGAGGCATGCGTAGTTGCAACAAGTTAATGTTTTACAGAAATCATCTCTGATACGTTTCGGATTCTGTGCAGTCTCGGGTGTCTCGCTCGTGCTCATCAGATGCCTCATCGCTAATTTCAAAGCGCCCACCTTTTTGCCAGTATGTCCGCCTCTCACGTGATAAAAGCAGCTATGTATTAATCTACAATTTATAGTAGGCATTTGATTCAAAAATCAATTTGCCTTCGAGCGTTCAGCCTGTGGGCTTTATATTGATAAAAATCAGTGAATAGGCTAGTGCAAAGATTACACATATTCCGATTTCACTTTGAACTCGAAGGCCAAACAACCGAATATTTAAATAGAATTTCTGTCATCACTTCAGAATGCTATAATTATCAAAAGAAGTAATAAAAGTAGTTGTCTTTCAGTCTTTGTGTCATCGTTATGATACGAACAGATCTTATTTTTCTCTTCTAAATTCTATATCTGCATAAATTCTTTCAGATGGATAATCCAGCTTCGTTTCTGGAATCGCCTATAGAGCGTTGGGTTAACTATCAATACATTTATACACTGAATTTGTTGCTCTTATTTTACCCGCAATGGCTATGCTTTGATTGGTCTATGGGCTGTGTGCCACTGATACGATCTGCCCTTGACCCGCGCATGTTCTCCCTGATCGGTTTGTGGGCAATTGCGGCAACTCTGGTTCGAGCGGCGTTTATGGACGATCCACCAAGGCGGTCAGTAAAAACAGGATAAGCGACATAGCCCAAACAGGATTACAGATCAATCGGTTTATACCTTCATTACGAGTACTCTATAGATTAGAGTTATGAATAATGAAAAAAAAAATTGATTAATGCTTTATTCTCACATATCTTCCAGATGGCACTGTATTGCTATAAGTCTCCTAGTGATGCCGTTCCTTCCAAGTTCGAACCTTTTTTGTCGTGTAGGCTTTGTCCTAGCTGAAAGAAATCTTTACCTTTCGTCAATCGGTTTCTGCCTGTTCATATCTATCGCAATGCTACAGTGTCATCGCAACTTGGCTCAACATCGGAAGGTATTTGCTGTTCAGGCTGAAACCTAAACGCGGAACGTATTTTGATTTAATAGGAAGTATTCATAGTTTACTTAGCACGAAACAGGTATACGGCAAGATGAACAGTTTTGAAATAATAACTGTCGCTAACTAAGCATTTCCTTTCACTGTCAGCGGATCGTTACTTGAATAGATTTGTTTTTTTTTTTTTTTCTTGTAATTTGCAGCTACAGCGTTTTTGCCTAACTCTTTTCATACTTCTATTGTCGGGTCGGTCACTTCGACGGTCGCGCGATTGGCGGGACGAACGCTCACTATTCAACGCTGGCCTCGATGTGTGCCCTCTTAATGCCAAGGTATCAACGGAAACCTGCCAAATAAGAGATACAGGGTATTTGTTCTGTAGTAAAAAATAAAACATATGCCAACTTAAAACTTTGTTAGAGATCCTGGAATCACTGGAACGTTATCGGAGTCGGTACATACTATAAGCTAGCCAATTAGATTTATAATACGCTTTTTGTCGTTCTACGTTGTCGAGTCTCATGGAGACTTCAATGGGGGCTTATTAGAAGTAACGTAATGGGCAGTCAAACGTAAGCAACATATTTTCCGCAAAGCGAATACCTATAATAGTGAGTGTACAAAGCTAGGAGTTGAACGTAGTATTTTGATGTTCTAAACATGTATTTTTCAAGTGGAGACCCGAACAATACCTGTGCTGTCGCTTTAACAAAATAGAGGAGGCTGATCAATACGTTTGCCCTTTGTGTCACCTTAATGCTGGCGCAAGAGCTCAGAAGACTGGGTTTTTTGCCGATACGTTTTAGTTTCTTATCGCATTTGGTACAGCTGTGAAAGCAACCGTGACCGTATCGAAAAAGTATCAGCTCTCCCGCATTAAATAACAGTTGCATGACCGTGTCGGCTGTCATAGCAGTAACAACATGGCGCGAGTAACAGCGGCGGTCTATTACCGCGTATCTTGCTGTTTTTCTCATCAACCATAAGGTGGCCTATGGTACCCCGCACAATAAGCCCGTTTTTAGTCGCGGGTTCAAAAAAAACCTATTTCTTGTGTCGCTAGGTGGCTTATTCTCATGGAAAACCACTCTGCTAGGAAAGCAATTGCAAAAAAGCGCAATGCAATAATATATGACCTCCTCTGACGTGACAGCATCACGCTTCTTATGGTGGCTGTTATTGATTATTCGTCATCGGACAATAATTGTTAATGAATAGTTGTATTTAAATAAAAAAGCATTTGATTTGAATGGAAGCGCTCATAAGCTTAAGATCTAAATTAAAATAGCTTTCGTTTCTTTAGGCATCTTGTCGATACGTACAGTCATTGCTATATTTCTAATCCGATCTAGCTTTTACGGCGCACTATTATCAGGCGGAACCAGTCAGTCCTGTAGCAGTTTGAGATGTTGCTTCTATTGTCACATTAAGGTCTTCAATGATAGGACCGTCGAAAAAAAATAGGAACATTGACCGCTTTCTCGTTCTGGAGCCTTCAACGATATTGCACGCAATGACAACAGTAACAACCGAAGGCTGTGATAAAAGTCTGAGCGAGCTTGGCCATGACACGTCCTGTTTCAAACATTTCCATCGTGTGTCTCCTTTGCTGCACTCAGGTTCACTATAATATTGCCAAGGTGGCCGAGGATCGTGATGCAGCCATCGCCAGTTACAGACGAGCCCTCGAACTGAATCCTAGGTACGAGCAAGCAATGAACAATCTCGCCAATATCCTTAAGGATTCGAATCAGCTCGATGAAGCAAAGGTAAGTTAAGTAAGTACGTATGCACTGGATGCCTGTACGACGTGTGATTCTATGCGAAGCGCTAGCTAGTTCATCTTGTGTTCTTTGTAAGCTCCAGCTCTGAACAGCGTCCCTTGTAAAACTATACAGTTCGATCCATGCGACTCGATCCTTCATGCATACTCGCTATGAAAATAGGCGCGCAACATAGGACAGGCTTTGCTCGACAGAGTAACACGTATTCAAGATGTACAAACATAACTAGTGGCACGTATATACGTTTTAAGAAAAAAAATAATAGTAGTAATCGAGTAACTCTGAAAATATCCATGATATATCCATGATACTGATCGAGTCCTACAATCTAGCATTCTATTATGTTTATAGATGTAAGTATTGGCAAGATGATGTTAGGTAATTTATGGCTATGTGGTTTTGTTTTTGACTAGTAGGGTAATAATCTTTTCTTCTATTGGGGTGGGCGTTATAAAAATGCTTAAGGGCATCAGGTGCCGTAGACGATTACGGCAGCAGTGTGCTCACAATTACAGTTAACAAGGAGAAATTCTATGACATGAACGAACGTTAGATACGTTATCTGTGCACTGTTTCCCTATTTCATAAAGACACGACGTCTAAAGTCATATGCTTTTTCGGACCTATTCGTTATCTATAACAGCTTACCCATTTATATTCAAACTATTAGTCATCACTAAGATCAGTATTTTTGTTCTGTACAAATATGATGGGCTTACTTGTGTGCAGTTTTGATAGGATTCTGTTTGCCCTTGAGCAAACAAAGCTCTCTGCCTAATAAGCACAGCTGTCTCTACGAATTCACAGAGTTCGAGCATCCGGCTATTTTTCTTGATCGACCAAATGCGTTCCCATCTTCGACAATACGTAGTTCATTGGCCAGTTGAGATACGTTGTTGGCCAGCTCAAACTGAGTGATTGTTAAAGCCGACAGTCGTACTCAATCATATCATGTGCTTAAGATAGCGGTGCTCTTTCAAGGGATGGATCCTCCTCCTCTTCTTCCTCCTCCTCCTCCTCCTCCTCCTCCTCGTAGTGCTACCTACCATTTCATTCGCTACGAAATCTATTTTGCCCTCGTCCATCTGGCGTCGCATCTACAGTTTAGAGGGCAATCCTTTTCATTGTCCCCTTAAACCAACAAGTTGGTTGACCTGGATATTGCCTTTGCTCCGATCGGCTTAAGATTGTTCGTTGTCCACTTCTTTAATCTACTCTATGACATCGTACCAACTCTTTTAACGCTTTACTTTCGCGCTGAAAAAAAAACCCCAGCTGATTAAAAAGTGTAGTTCGTTAGTCCATTAGGACAATCTATCGGCTCGATTGGTTCACAAAGGCGTTCAGGACTGATTTCTCTTTTTCTGGACGGTTAAGAGACAGCACATACCGATTGTGTCCATTTTCATTATTTGCAATGCCTTCAACATCGGTTCATCTTATTATAGATACGGACTGTGGAATCGATGACGCTTTAGCACTGATGGCCGCTCTAAGCGCACGCGAAGTGGATGTGGTGGCAATAACTTGTGTATCGGGAAATACAACTTTGAAGAATGTTGTCTCGAACGTGTCGAAAGTTCTACGTGTTTGCAAACGTGAGGAGGTTCCGTTCTATGCTGGATGCGATGCACCATTGTCCAGAGAGAATATATTCGGCAGTGAATTTCATGGAAAAGATGGTCTTGGCCATTGTCCGAAAGAGTTTCCCGAGGGTGCGCAAGCGCAAAAAGGAATGCATGCCTCTCGGGCGCTGGTTGAGATGGCCAAAAATCGAAAGGGTGAACTTACACTTGTTATGATAGGACCGTGTACCAACCTTGCGGTTGCTTACCATATTGACCCAAATGTAATGGCATACTTTAAGAAGATTGTCGTGATGGGGGGAAACGTACAGGGCAGGGGTAATGTCATTCCCGGAGCCGAATTCAATTTTGCATCTGATCCTGAAGCTGCCCACATACTCGTTGAGCATTCACAATGTCCAGTAGTTCTGGTTCCGTGGGAGACCGTCACGACAAACTGGATTTCGTGGGAGTTCTACACGGAGCTGATAGGAGGCTCAACTGCGAAGTCGCGCTTCCTGCAAGCCATCTGTAAATATACCGAACAGTACTATCAATGCAAGTATACAGTTGGTCATCACGGTTATGAACTGGGCGATTTCTTAGCGGTACTCGTTGCCATCCGCCCGGACTGTGTTACGCGGAGCCTAAAACGAAGGATAGCTGTGGAGCTCAAAGGCGAGCACACTTTAGGCCAAGTTGTGCAAGCTTGGACTAAGTCAATGCTTCCCAAGGTTACGAAACATACGGAAATTGTTTTAGAATTTGACATGACCATAGTGCGTGAGAATCTTACGGCAATGGTACAATGACATTATTGGCAAAAATGCGTGTATGTTATACATATAGCAAAAAAAAATGTTGTACTAATTCGAGCAGGCGTGGTTCATTTGAAAAATAAACAAAAAAAAGCTAAACTCAAATTTCGCCAAGCGGTCCTGTGTATTATTCACGCAGTGCATAGTATTCTCAACAACTTGTATATACTTATTAACCGAAAATAACTCGCGTCTACGTGTCTGTCGCATATTCGTACTTCAACTTTATTAATGGAATCCCTCACATCACATGCGTTGAACACCAATTGAGTGCAGTTCTCTGTCAAGGCCGTAACGGTGTTATTTGAGGTGCTAATCATATAGCTTTGAGTTACGGCACATTTAAAAAAGCAAACTCTACGCCCTGAGGGTTTTTCGAGGTTTGTTTCCTTGAAAAGCTTGTTCTGAACAGCGGCTTTTTTTGGCGTTTGTCTTCCTTCGAAATTTGGTCCCAGTATGTTGCTGAAGGCCCATGACTGTTGATGCGTTCGGAAGATATTGAACTTCTTACTGGTCAAATGACTATGATAGATCGGAATCGGAGCTCACTGATTTTATTTCATTTGATTTGGCGTTATGCACGAGTCCTTCAACCACCAACCGATCGTTTCCTACTTCCCAGGATTGAGTTTATACCACGAATGGTTGGCTATACCTAGCGCTAGAGGACTATACAAATGGCTCGTCGTAAAATATTATAGTGGTTACTTCAAGAAAGAAAATAGAACAAATACACTATGAAGCTATACAATTCAAGACAAGTGCATTCTTGCTATCAGTTAGAGAGACAGTACAATTACATAGAACAAAATGTACTCAGATGATATCATTGAGCATAGGATATAGGAACGTCTCTAAACATAGGGTTATATTATATTCAATAAAGTTATATTGAGCACCTGTATAAATAGCCTTCGTGACTGCTTCTGCAACTTGAATCTTGCTCGACTATTCGACGCTCCACCTGGGCTGTAGGAAAAGCCTGAAATAGGGAATAAGTAATACTCAATCAAGTCCAATTTCCAATAGCATACTTCCATGAATAAAGTCATTCTGTCAAGGTGAGTGTAAATAAACAATTGATGATTACGATCGTATGGAGGTTTAGGTTTTGTATATAGAAAAACTATGTGCCTCTATTCGAACACTTCATACAGAAAGCTCTTATGTTCTTACTGTACCTTAGTAAAGGCCGAGCTGTGGCACTATAACCTATAGTTAGTTATACAAAAAGGTCTTCAAAGCTGAAATTATGTGCATTTCTTATACTGATCTCGTGGCTAAACAAGAGAAAATAGCAAAAACTCAACACATTACATTATAAGAGTTACCCATTTGGATGCCCTGGACCGCTATTTAATATGGCCCGCTGTTTCCCAAATAAATTAAAGCGTTCTTCAATAGGCTGTTGGCGAAGCAAAGACACATGTTGACGTCGGATGAACTTAAAAGGCTTCACCGGACGTAAGCTTGACGAATAAAATCAGACAGGAGGCTACCTACAGATGATACGCAAACATCCAGGGAATCTGATACTGATTGCAAGAAAAAAGACCCTAATGTAGTTTTATTATTGCTTGGTTTACATGCATTTCAGACACTACTGGAGACTGCGGTTAAAATACGAACGAATTTTGCGGCTGCGTGGATGAATTTGGGCATCGTTGAAGCGGCCCTAAAAAATTTCGGCCAAGCTGAACTCTGCTATCGGAAAGCTATTCAGCATCGCAATAACCGATACCCTCATTGCTACTTTAATTTGGGAAATCTGGTAGGATGTGAATAATGTCTTGTTTTATGAAATTATTAAGCTTTTATCATGTTTAGCGATGCCCCTGAAAGCTGACGGAGGTTTTTCTTCCAACTTACATTGGCTTCGTCGCTTGTTTCAGTATCTAGAAATGCAGGATCACTCGCGAGCACTGACGGCGTATCGTACAGCCGTATCACAAAATCCATCGCACGCACTCAGCTGGAACAACATGATTATACTCCTAGATTCACTCGGGCGATTGCCCGAAGCCGAAGAAGCTGCCCGAGAAGCTTTGAAGCGGATTCGAAGTGATAGTGTGACTACGAGGGGAAGTCAAAGAAGTGCTATAAAAGCGGGCAGTGTGGCCGAGCTTGAATTTCACTTAGCGAACACCCTCGGCAAAATGGAACGATTTAAAGAAGCGGAAGAACATTTTAAGAAAGCCATCGAACTCAAGCCAAGACACGCCAGCTATTATTCGAATCTTGGTCAGTAATAAATCGTGTGCACTAATTATTATTGGTCTTGTTTTTATCGTAAGGTATCTGTTTTCTTTTATTACTGTTATGTTTTTTTGATAATTTCATATCAAGCTGAAGTCTGGTTTCAGATTTTTCATACATTTCATTCGCGATTTTGATGTGGTGCCTCTCTCAGTCTTCAGTACAGTCTAATCCACTGTTTTTTCTAACAACGCCTTATTAAATATACCATCTGACACGCTGAATAACTACTCAACGTCCTTCTAAAGGGTCAAATCTCTTATATCTTGCTCTACAGGCGTTCTCTATCATAGATGGGGACGAACGGAGGATGCGTATAGGGAGTATCACCGGGCGCTACAATATGACCCGTCAAATACTGCCGTTAAAGGCAACCTGGCCAAACTGGAACGGGCTCGTCGAAGGAAAAGATAAAGTTAGCCATGCACTAGCGAAATAATCGACGAAAGGCCTAACGGTCTGCCAATTTTCAGTATCGGAAACTTTAGGTTACTGCACGTGCTGGGAACGTGTACCGTATAGATTAATAGATAGACTATTACTACCAGAGAAAAAAATATCACCCACTGCTGTATCATGCATGTTTATTTATAACGTTCGTGTAAAGATCGGTTTTATAAATAACGAGCGATCCCTAAGCAGGCGTTGTGATCACTGAGGACGCCAACGCACAAGCTGATCCAGCGTGCTGGGTTCCTTCATTTGTACAACTCAACAACAGAAAGCGTGCGGACGAATCGAATTGTTCTTAAACAACGTATTAACAGTGGAAGTTCTAGGCGTTCATATGTTTACCTCAGCAATTTGCATTCATTTCAGAATGTATTTGTCTCCTGACTAGAACATTGAGTATTAGCTAACAGCGGTCATCAGCTGATATTGTACATAGAGTAACCTATATATATATATATATATACATTATTATTATATGTATACATATATATCTATACAGTGTGACAACTGGTAATATATAGATCAGTATAGTTTTACTATGATAACATACTGAGGTATTTGATTAAAATGCGTTATAATGATAGTTCCATAAAAGTTCTCTGAGACTGGATCAGTTTGCATAGTCAATCACGAAATTGTCTTATTCAGATGACGTATATTATTGACCTACATATCGCGTTCTGATTTGTAAGTTTGATACCCTTCGTTACTTCTATCAGTCATAGGCTACTCATGCACAGCAATGCGTTAAAATCAACCAGTGTGCCAGTATGTCTACGTATTTGGGATACAAGGACACTGCATGGCTATTCCATACATGAAAACCGACAGAAAAGGCTAAATCGACATATTTCGTGACCAACGATGACGAAACACTGTAGCGTGACGTCTTCCCACGTACGCTACCATATTGCTTTGCACTATAGCAGTATACAATATCTAAACTGAGAGATCTAAACTAACTAAAATAGAGAGCTAAGAAAATCATTTGAATTGATGAGTTTGCGCCAAGTGATCCTACGTAAGGAGCCACTCATCAGCGGTTGTCAGGATTGGGTAGGCGGTCAACACTGACAGCAGAGGAAGATGTCGAAGAAGGGTATCCCCTGGGAAAATTCCAGCAAGCTTCTGCTGGTCCGTTTGTGGCAAAGCTAAGATGAGCTTGTTGAGATCGGACAGAGGTACACGAGCCGCATTGAGCTTAACTGGTTCGGGAGAACGGCACGTTGAGAGCGTCTTAGACAAATATCGTAACGGCGAATCCAAGGAGCAGTCCTCGACCTGTGAGAATCAATGTACAATAACCTTCGAGCTTCACCATTATTAATTACATCGTGTATAAAAATTATAACTTATCTAACTGAACATGATTTGTGCAAAAAAAAAAAGCTACACAATTGCACAGATTACTTTTAGGGATTGTCGAGTCAGTGGTTAGTAATATACACTGGCGGTGAAAATATCCTTCAAGTTTTCAATGATACTAATGAAGGTGGAAATGATCTTACCTCGTATAAACTTCTGTAAACTTTTGTAGGAAGATTGACCATTGAGCGTAATTTTTTACAGATATCTTCAATGTAAACTAACAAATGTAGCTTGTTCGATGGGTAGAGAATACTTTCTGGACTCACGGCAAATAGACGACCTTCTTGCAGATGAAATCCTTCATAACTGTTAAAACAATATGAGCGATAATATCCATATATCAGTCAAAATCATCTCTATTACTCTCAGATGTCATCAAACAAGTCAACTGGAGACTTCTACATTGAAAAACAACGGACTATGAAGGAAAGCTAATAGAAAAGAAAAAGTAGTCCGAGTAGAACTGACAAAACAAAAACTGTGTCTGTTTTTAAAAAAGAAAAGCTCTAAAATAAAAGGACAAGCTCAACTTTTTTCATTACGTCCTTAAGTAAGGACGTAAGATATGTACATTATATAGAACAAATCATAGAATAGAATAAATCAGATGAATATAAATGCATCGACAGAACTTTCGGATCGGACCCAATAAATAAATCAACTGAAAATTCGTTCAGCGGATTTCTGTTATGGCTGGAATAGCTCATTTATATTTAGGCGTATAAGAGCTTAAGGTTGTAAGAAGTGTTACATTTCTTCAAGTATGTAGAGCTTATTGCAAACTAAAGCTATTGCCAATATAGTATGGTACAACCCAGGCAGCCAGCCTAGAATTAAAAAAATAAAGTTCTGGATCTGTTTATACATGCTAGATACAGCGTATCTGCCGAATAATTCTATTAAACAAGATTGACTTTAAGTACGTCAGTTGTAGAAAATTTCTTTAGGTTTCATAGATGATGCGACGGTTGGCGAGGTTTATGAAGACAGTGTAATGCTTAGTAAGCGTATTGTTCAGCAAAATCTACACGATTTACGTGACCACATTCAGTTCCTTACTGTCGATTAGAATAATAGATCCTGCTTAAGTCTTCGATATCACTGTAGTCTAAACTTTTTATATGAATCATATAATCTATCTCTATATAGGCAGCTCATCCTTCTTGTGATAATATCAAAATATTCAAATGCGGTTATGGAGAGCTATTGATAGATAAATAACGTACTTTTCAAGGATTCGTCTTCCTTCTATTTGCCAATTGTTGGACTTCTCTAAAACGTTGTGCATTTGTTTTACAAGTTCATCAAGAGGAATTCCTGGATTTGTTGCCACACCGAATTCTCGACTTTCAGGCCACGTCTCAAAGGCCCACATACGCAAGCCGAAGAAATTTAGTAGTTCCAACGGACTTGATGGCTCCCACCGCCAAGACTGTTTTTTTTCCTGAACGGAATCGTTAACTGACGAGGTAGGTTTTGTTGTCTCAGAGACACTATGACTGTTACTGATATCATTCTCGTAGCCTAGTTCACACAAAAAATTAGCAAAAAATTAGCTGATTAATTCTCAGATTTAGCAGAAACCTCGTCTGCACTCGTTGAAAACGCGGGTAAAGCAGAGTAAGACTCCACAAGGTATTTCTATACTATTGCAAAAAAAATTCGACCACCCAATATATGTCTGTCTCGGGAAGGTCTGCAGTCATTTGGTACGTGTATTATAAAAATTCGTTATTAAACTAGGAAGGAGAGAGAATGCCTTGAAAATGTGAGAAGATGTTGTACCATTTAAAAAGAAAATTAGCCAGATCATTTAAAATTATAAATTTGGTTCAACTGTACAATTAACGATACTGTCTAAGTTGGAAGGCACGAGAGTAGGGCATGCGAATGCATAAGGTAGGGATTATACCTCTGTTGTGCCCAGCTGGTCAACTTAGTCAGTATGATCGATTATACGACCGCATTGTGACTTAGTGAAGCTTTTCGATGGGTACTGCGACTTTGGCATACCTAAAATGTCTTTCATCGACTTATTCTCGGATGTTTTGCTTGGCTTTTTCTATGTTGTGTCCTCAGAAATGCAAAAAAAAACTTAATGGAGCAGTATGTGATTTAGCATATAGAATAGTTTACTACAAGACACTGATATATTCAAGGGTTTGAAGTATATTGTGGACAATACTTGTATCATCGCTAGGACAAATGGCTATCATACGCCCATTCACAATAGCCACTTCGTTGGGAAGGTAGTGGACTAAGTATTCTCGAATGCTTTCGAGGTTGTCAAATGCCTTCAGTTTTCCCTCGTTGCTTGTCTTCGAGGTCGCCAATACCTGTACGTAAAATTGAACGCAGTGAAGTACTAGTTAGGTAGAAATGGATAATAATCTATAGGCGGGTAGATTTTTCGCTATTCATATAAGTATTTAGGCAAAACTTTTTTATGGTTGAACTTTATTTGTGTGAGGGGATTTATGTACAGCATTTTATTACTGAATAAATTGCTTACGACCTTTACGATAGACACACGTCTATATTCTGAAGAGGGAAACTCTCGTATCTAAATGCGGTCTTGTCCTGAATGCCACAATCGAATTTTATAAGAGTTTGATATAATAGGGATATCGGTAGGACATCAGAGAAATGTTAGCTTCGGATTAGTGTTTAGATGCTTAATTCGACTCATGTCAGCAGCGAACAAACGAATCCGCTTTTACGCACTTGCATACTTAACGAGTGATCTTAGCTTATTGCCTTTTCTATTGTGAGCTAGAGCCAGAATTCCTCAATATTATTAGAGGCAAAGAACGGCGCACAAAATGAATTGCCCTTGTTACTAGCAGTACTGTTCCAAACAAAAATAATGGCATATATAAATACCAGGTTTGCGTCAACACCATTAGCGTCCATTAGTCCGATGAAATCATAGAAAAAATCCTTTGGACAAAGGCTACCCGTTGAAGACGGCTCTAGAAAGCGTAGCGCCGGGCACTTGTGTCGCACCCACGCTGGCGTTACCTCAAAGTCCTCAATGAGACAGCAAATACTTTGTTCATACCTGTGGACAGAGCATAATCATATTAAGAACATTGGAACGTACGACCAAATTGTGGCTTAAGGAAGATCGAACTTAAGTGAATGCGGTAATAACGAAAAAGTCTAGAGGTGAAGACTGGTTTTTAGATTTGCGGGCGCATTTGTCGTAACTCGTCAAACCTTTTTATTCCTTTTCTGCAATAAGTAGTAAAAAAGATATTCAATTCCGTTATTAGTGCAGGTACTATAGTGTACTAGTAGAGAAGAAAATACTCTCTTTGTGACAAGCAACTCATATATGCTCTATATAAAAACGGATATTATTAGTATGATGGATACGATGATAGATCTCACTCGATACATGTGACTTTAACTTACTTGCTTCCCAGTCCAATAGCGGCAGGTAGTTTTTTCGCAACTTCAAAAGTGGCAAGAAACGAGCTAAAGATCTCACGTGGAACTGGGTAAGTAAACGTCCAGGTGAGCGCAGCCATTTCTTTAATCTTCGTTAGCGTTGCTACCATATTCTACCGAAAATACAATATGTGTTTTAGAAAAAGTCGTATTTCGGTTAGAAATCACATCAGTATAAACAATACACGATGTGTCCCCAAGCTATGTGGTACTCAAAACATCATTCTTCAGGCCAACCTGTTAGAGACGGCACTGTCATAATAAGCCTACTCCCATAAACGAAATCCACCGCGCCGTAAGTCTGTATCTCGATGTAAAAGATTTATATGGACCTCCAGCTTATGACAGTATGCGGCGAGATTATTTCGCAAAGTCTGAGGAAATTATTGCGTTTTATTAAATAAAGCAGTGACTAGATGCCAACTTGCTTTCCTTAGCCAAATTTCACTTACTATATAAGGGCGTTCTAATGACGATGTCTGTTTTTGTGAGATTTTTCTGTTTTTTGTCTGTCGTAGCTGAGTGACCTGCAATAATACAATGCGCTGTTGTTAGTTTTTTAGCATATGCTATATACAGCCTTCAATAACCCGTAGTAAATAGTAAAAGAAGCGTATTGTACATAGTATAATTGTTCAAGTAAACACTACTCATTTTTGCGCTTTTTACCCTCAAGTCACCTAAAAACATCTCAGGCCTGGCCAAGGATTCTGTATCCAGATAAACATTTTGGAAACGTGTATAGGTTTATTTTAATTTACATAGTTCGAACCCATCTACAAAGAATACAGTATAAATTAATTCAAGGTTGTTAAGCCTATCAGATGCACGATACAAAGGCCTGTTCTACATTATATGTTCCGTAACTGGCATGATGACTATTTTCAAGCTAAGTTTGTAAACTATAACTTCTAATTTGATATACATTCATTATCTCAGTTGGGTATTATCCCTGAAGCGGACTATCTCAAAATGTCGACTTTACGTTCCTTATCTTTCCTGAATTCTTCTCTCACAGAATGCGAAAAAATCTCCTCAAAGGTTGAAGCAAAATATATACATAGATATTAGTAGTCGCAAATTAGGCTACTTCGGTCACAAAATGGTACTTACATTTATAATCTATTTTTATAGAAGTTGCTGATGCTAGGAAATGCCAGTTGCCGGCTCCTTTTTGACAATTTGTTTTCAATTAAAATTTGTTACATGAGATGGCAAAGTTTGTACTAGAACGAAACCATTATAGCGGCTGATACGAAGGATGCAAAAAACATGGGTTATCGTTTAAAATTTATTGACCCGACTAAATGTACTTTGGCTAAAAGCCCGATGACTTTAAAAATTTTAATGGTTACATTGAGCAGAGCCCTCTACTTTGCCTTGAGAATAATAAATCAAGCAGGTACTCTGAGAAGACTCATCTTTAGATACTAAGTGAGCTGTGGTTTTACTGTGAAAAGAACGCAATGTTGCGCTAACTTTGTTAAATAGTAACTTAGGACGAGGATAACTGGATACCCCTTGTTGTTCACTAACAACACCACCGAACCCCAATGTTTCTCATAACGAAAAATGGAATCGGCCAAATTTGCAAAAATCGTATACCTTACTTTTGATACCTTATTAGGGGTTCTATCGAATAGTGTCAAACGCACTCTATTTTTCTTCGTTAGGGCGACAAGTTCAGGGTGATTCCTGATGATACCCATAAAAGGAGCAAGCTTGGGGTTACATAAAGTAGTTTCGACCGTGCCGCAGTCGATCATACACCGAAGCATTCTGAGTGCACTATCCACCTAAATAAGCGACAGGAAGAATTAAATACAGTACTATCTTAGTAAAATTTCATTGTGAATCAGTCGGCTAGCAGCTGGTGTGGATAAGAGGACATATATCATATAGATGCCGCCTATACTTGTCTATCAAGTTCTAGTATTGATTGGTTTCTACATGACGGACACCATGCACAGGTGTACGCAACCTTGTTCCAAGTGACTATTGGATCCAAGGGAAACAGTGGGTGATTAATAACAACAAACATATTTTTGCTATGCATGTGGTCGCATTCATTTTATGCTTGTTTTTTTTCTTATCTAGTACGAAAAGCGCCATACGACAATTGCATACTAAATATTTATATTAACCTACCTCATCAATATGCGCTATCGCATTTTCCTTGCCGTCAGGATTCATCTTGTCCAGCTGGCGCTTCCAGAAACATCCCTTAACGCTAGTCTGGTCTGATAGTTTTACTTACTTTATTTCAAACCATACATGAGGTTACAGCTGTTTGTATAATGTGCACTTTCAGTATATCCCAAGGCCGATAACTGTTATGAAGCAAATTTTGCCACTATAAAATAGTCGCACAATATCTACAGATTATTTTCCGGGTAAACTCCACCGCTTCATGGTAAAAAAAAAAACAGTTCAATAGCTGGTGCCAATCTCTTCGATACTTTGTCAGAATATCATATAGTTTGACATATGAGTACGAACGTTTCGATGATCTCGCTTAGGCCCTAATAATATGTTGCCATTCGGGTCACGTTGCGTACCTATCTAACCAGTATTCGAAACGACGCACTTTCCCAACCAATATCCATTTACGTTTATTTATTTACATTGAAATGGTTCTGCTATTGATAGACAGCTTTGCAGCTCGGCTCCGTGGTGCAGATTAGGTACTTCAAAGAAATGTACGATTCTTCAATGAAAACTTCTGATGTAAAAGAAAAAAAGAAAAAGCACAGTAAAGACGACTTTTGTAAGCGATTAATACCTTTCGCACAATACGTTTATCCGTCGTAAATTGCGCTTAAAGTTTAGAGTTCTCAGAGTCGATGTCCAGTGAGCGCATGATGATGCCCCACTTTCACTTAGTGCTATATGCTCAAAAATGTTTCCTGAATCCATGCGGACCGTACATTTATTTGGCAGGTGTTCAAAGATCTATTATTACCCATGTTCGCTCTGTATCAATACAAGCTGAGTATAGAAGGTGTGCTACACATAGGTCTTCTTTATTGGGTCGTTAAAACAGAGACTGAGTGCATAAGATAAATGTGAAGTAACTACTGATTTCTTATGAAATAGATTAAGATTGGAAAAAAAGAAGCTTTAGTCTAGGCTCGAACTCGTCCATAGACACACGGTTCATTTCATGTGGGGATCCAGCTGTCTGAACAGCAATACCATACGTAAAACTCAAAACATGGAGTGTTTTTGCGCAAAACATGCGGACTAGTAATCATAATCCTGGACATAGAATGATATCTATGATCGTAGCTAGCTACCCATCTTTCGCCAATGATACCCACTTATAGGTTTCTTTATTATCTAAAATAGATCAGAACGTACATCTTCAAGATAATGCTGTTTTAACATTGTTGTCGATACGGATTGTCCCCCCCCCTTGGCAAATGATTGTCTGATGTCTTTTAGGCCCTACTTTCAGTCCAATATCCCAACACTGTAAAAACCCTTTCGATAGACACGTCCACCAAAGACATCGAACAAATGAGGGAAAATCTATCGTAGAACAAAGGTTTTCCATACCTCTTGGAACCTTAAACTGCAATATGATGTATATGAAAACTGCTATGGTCAATTGGCTAGCCCGTGCCGAAAATCGACAAGAGATTAGTAGTCTGCTTCAGGACGAAAACAACTTTCATAGATTATAAAAGATGTCGGTCAAAACAGCATTCATTCCGACATTTCCGCTAATGTACCGATTAAGTGCCACCAAACCTCAATAAAAAACGAGGTTCTTGTTTTGTAAATGTGGTTATGCTAAATACACAATAGGTTTTACCTAGTTACGGTTCCGGAAACAACAAGTTTCCCACCATTGGATTCACTTTATTCTGGTTAGCTGTTTAATTATCATTTACTATCCGTTTCTCCTTGTCACGGACGCAGTACCTCTGCACCAAATAAAGTTCATTATTATTTTATGCGATCGTACATATTGATAACAAAAGCGAGGAAACTCGAACACTAATTAGACTAAAATATAATCATAATCATCATACATAGGCGTACTTGAATTTTAAGGCTAGATAAAAAGTAACTACGACCGCCAAATGGAGTTTTGCAGCTTTATTATTTCACAGCCTGTAAGCGAAGGAGGACGTAGGAGGACAACACGGATAACAGATGTGATGTTGTGGGGAATAGAAGTGGACAGGGAAGTTGGCAGCGAAACCAGCTGGTAAGAAGGTCACAGCAACGAACCTACTCCACTTATTGGATCTGGAATTAATAAAGCTTTTATATTATATATCTGAAGGCTTAGAACTTCGAATTTGCATCGTTTACAAGGAGGTAGCCGTGTACATACCGATGTCACATTGTCCATATATAGTCTTCTACGGTACAATAAACTATCACATCCGTCCCGAGATTCATCACACAACTCTCAAATCATACTTGATTCTTATGCATATTTAAACGAGATTTTTGCGAAGATATGTACTGAGATGAGACACGAAGAACGATCGATTACCTATCCAATTTAATTTAAAAAATACAATGTTACAAGTTTTGCATCACAGGCGCTGCATCAAGCAGAATTCTAATAGAGACATAACAGTTACTAGAATTGGTGGGTTTATTAGGTCGTCAAAACGTATTGGCCCAGTGGCAGTATGTTCAATAATAGGTTCGGTTACCTTTGTTCTTGCTCTCTTTTGTCGCGATCAGAACTTGATATGTTGACACGGACTTGTGATAGCATCAGGTAAGATACAAAAACTAAGTTGAAAAAAGGGCCGTTTACCTGTAAGTCCTGAAAACTCGTACTTTGAAAGCTAATCTCATAATGTCATTTTAACCGCATGTAACATGTTACAGTCAGCAAAGCTTTGCTTGAGATGGACAACCTTATAAATGTTGGCAAGTTACTTCAAGGAATGGATGCAAAGGAGAACCACTAATACATATATGTACCCCCACGAGAGCAATGCCAGGTCTGCTGGATCCCTGTCGAACTTGAGAACGGGGTGAAAGACTACGTGTTTATTGGTCCCGCAGTATCCTGCTACAATGTATACCTTCCATACTCACCACGGCATGACGCAACAATACATTAATTCCAAAATGGCGATCCCGATCTTTATTACATTGAGATGAATGTCACGGAGATTTTACTGTTTGTGTTTCGGTTAAGTGAACGCTATTCTTTTTCACAATGCCACGTCTTCCATTCAAGGCACCTCCTTGCATGAGTATTGCGCTTACTCCGGCAAGGGGAGAGCCTGCGACCCTCGCGGCATCACTGGCAAACGAGCGGCACCCGCTAGCTAGTAAAATGGTATCTAAGCTACTCGTTACAGCATCACTTCGACCAGAATCATTCAAGCCATGAAGCACTTCACACAAGCACGAGTGATTCTTGTAACGTTGCTGGCCCATTCGGGTGAGTACTCTCTGAAAAAATTACGTCTATAATTGATATTGTAAAATTATCTTCTTGTTGCAATCAAACCGTCGGTATATACGATACACACATTTGTGCTGATCAAGGCTAAATATACGAGTGCGGAATGAGTAAACGGTGATGATATACTCGTAATTTTCTTGTATGGCCGTTCGAATCATTCCAGCCTTCGCAAGCACCCAGGAGGATGCAAATCGCTTCATAGACGAGTTACTTGGTCAACGATTGCGGCAAGAGGCTTATCGCTTTCAGCTTGACGGAGTACCCTTAGATGATTTTAAATTTAAAATCAAGAAAGAGTTGGAACTTGGTATTCTCCCGACACACCGAGACATCAAAGCGAACTTTACCAATGGCATGCTTAAGGGGCTCACCATGCTGCGCCGCAAGGCTGGCTGCAACCCGACTGTTTATGTTGAAAATAAAGTTACTGTAAGTGTTCGATTCAAACTCTACCATTAGATTACACCACTGCATCTATCAATATTTAATAGTTAAACATTTTACTACTTCTAATAATTAGTCCCGTAGCGCTATTGAACCTTTTACTTACTTATTGTTTGCCTACTTTGCCCTCATTTATTTTTCGAAACACCATCTGGCGGTGTCTACAAGCTATGAAATGCACCATGGCTTGATTAAGTTCAGGGAGCGCTGGTATTCAGACTAGTCGCAAAGCTTTAGATTACTTATAATCTGCATTGAACAATAGCGTTTGAAGTTGGGGAGCTGAAGTCTAACGAGTTAACGGTTAGCAAGCTATTTCTGCGCGATTCAAGGCAACTCCTTCACGGTTCCTATCTTTACGGCGACTTAATGAGGATCTTTCTAGCACCTAATCCGATGTGTAAACTGTTCGTTTTATTGTAGCTTACCTGCCCACTCGATGTAAGTAACACAGAAGCCACGTACACTTCTTTTGTGAAGGGATTTAACATCGTCGGTCAGGTGAAAGAGGTTGGGGTAAAAGTAAAAATTATTGACACCTTCGTCAACTTCGAGATCCAGGAAGAGCAGAACCAGCATCCCGCGGTGAAGACTTTCCACATTGACAAGTGCGTAGCCTAAATACTAAATGGCACCAATACAATATAGATATGCGAGCTTCAAATATGCAATTAATTTTGTGCCTTACGTACAATGCGTTGCTTTCTGAAAGGACATTTCGCGGTACAGTACGTGTAGAGCTGCTTTAATAAGGAGAATCAAAGAAAAAGAATTGGCGTGAAGCGGAACAAAAAGTAGAAAAACCCGAACAAGCGATTAGGCGAAGGATTTGAAGGGTAACCATGCAGCATATAATGCTAATCACAGCGGGCTTGGTTCTCTGTGGTTTTCAGGCTTCGCACGCTGGTCGAAATGCCCGATATTGGTTTCAATGAGGAACGCCAGTCGAAATTCAAGGAGGAAGTTGAAAAAGGCGTCCATCCACTTATATTTAATGCTCTCACTGGAAAATTTCTCGATGCCCTCAATTCTGCCCTTAGACAAAATAATGTGAAACTGCCACCGGTTTAATTATATGCAATGTAACTAATCTGTCTCACTTGTAGTATTGGCTGTACAACCCGTGCGTACAATCAAAGGGGTGAAAATTAATAAAAACGCCTGCCAATACAATCCGTATGAAACGCGTCGTCAATTAACGGAAAGTTGAAATGAACTTTTACTAAAAAGTTTTGGTTTTTCTGCTCAGACACATGCTTATACCATATCGACGTGCTTATAGTATGTGCATTTCGAAATTTCCTGAAGTTTATTAATCTGCCCATCTGTACACAACGAATTATCCCATATCTTGTCTGCAAATGTATGCCAGATCGATTTTACGAGACCTCAAATGACTTTTTCTAGTTAAAACTAACTCGGTTAAAGCTGCTACGTCGTTTCAATGCAGTATGTTAGCAACTATTTGTTTACTGGTTATCATTTCGCTCCTATTCGACGCTTACGCAAAAAGTCAGTGACAAACAAAGGTCTGCAAAGTATCGTTGAATTATATGCATAAAGTGCAGTGGTGATAATTTTTTAAAGACAATGTTTTTCTCAGAGATCTAGTTAAAGAACGATATGAGTCAAGAATGGTGTTTAGAGCGAGCGTCTCGCTACGCTTCCGTGCACCATATTCAATGATGCATGAAAGCGTTACACCCACCCATCTACACTTGGCGGATAGATGCGTCAGTGCCCGTAGAGCATCTATGCGCGGCTGTATAGTGTGGTCTATCGAAACACCAGAAAGGCTGACAATTCCTAGATTCGACAGCGGGTAGTACTGAGCCCCCGAAGAATAATTTTTGCTCACCAATAGTTACGGAGGGATACAGGCAATAACGTTCCGATTTTGCTAACTGCATTATTTTTACGATAACCAGTTTACTTTAGACCTAAAAGGCGAGCATGGGTCGGCGCTAAGAGAGGCTCAAATCGGCGAACTAGTAAATTTTGAAGTAACTATGAAAAAATTAATAAAGCTACTGCAAATTATTACAGTAAAAGTAATTGGCTATACACAAGTATAATAAGAACTATTCTGGGTTGGCTTTAAGAGTAATAACACCATTGAGGACGGCGGTATTTAGGCGCGCAAAAAAAAAGCGCAGGTTAACAAACGCCATCTGAACCTAAAATATTTATTTATCCTTTTACTGATTATTATTGGTGGTATGGTACTATATATATATAACTCTCATATAATATAAATTGTACCACAGACGCTAAAATAGTAAAATAAAACTCTGACCAAATTACGACGCGTCTCCAATTGACTGCTTGGGCGCGTTTCCAGAGCTCTACTGTTCTTTGCAATATAATGCGCATGGCCATATTGACGCTATCCGCGTACATCTGTGCATCCGTATGGCAATAGGAAGAGAGCTCTGAAGGTCAATTATGAACATGCATTCTGCCAGCTATTGATTTAGGTATACTGCTCTAGACTACCTGCCCTGCCCTGCCATGCCGGCGGGACGCCTCAGGATAGGCAGATATATACATTGAAAAAGAAAGAGCCGCATATAAAACGTGCCGACCTAATTGACCGGTAAGCCATATTATACGCAGGTGTCACAGCTTTGGTGGTGACGGACAGAAAGAATAGTATTCGTACATTCAAACAACGAAAAAAAAAAAAAAAGCAGCCACCTCCTGCTTTCTAATTTTTATTTTATACCAATATCATGAAGCATAGTGAAACAAAAAAGAGCGGTGATATAGCGGCGACCTTGAGCATCGGCGAGATATCCAGCTTGTTCGGTTTCTCCCGCTTTTTTTCCGCCAAAGAGGAGCCTTTTGATATTTTCGTTCTTGTCTATTCTACAGTCTATATCGCCTCGTATACACACGATGTGTCGTTAGTTATTGGGGGAGTAACAGAATTTAATAAAGGAAGTACTTTTCCCAGCTGGACCAATATGCGCCCACATTCGTATTATCTATTGAGATTGAAATGTGCGATGCCCAAATTGCACCATTGGAGACAATGCGTGCTCATTGACGAAGGCTACTGGCACCTTTGCGAAATTTACTGATAAAGAACTATGTATTATAGCTGAGACAGTTAGAAGTATTTGCGCAAAGCTCAAACTTTGCTCCTTCATTTGATGTCATCCAGCGAACGAGCTTTGAATCTCAACGATAATAAAGTGATATCTTTCGACACAGTCGCGTACCATCGAGAATCCGAGAAGCGGTCATTTTTTTTGCTAATTTATCTATTCCTGTATAACAAGTACTCGAGATAGGAGTAGTCAACTATAGCACGTGCGTTTGATACGAATGGAAGGGAAGGATTTATACTTTGGAGGATTTGGTTATTTTCAACCATTAAAGTCACCTTCGTGGAAGGATTCTGAGTTATAGAAATCGAGAAAAGTCGAAGGAAAACCAGAGGAGGTGAAAGGAAGTCAAAAACACAATCTACATTTGTGCTTATAAAATCAAACGTTACTAAGTATGACAATCGCAGTGGCCAACCAATGCAGATCGAGTATTTACTAATTTCGAGGACAACAATTATTACTAAAGGGTTAACCTTAACAAGCTGTTTGCCTAGCATCCGTCCAGTAATAAATTCTGTTTAGAGAATTCGACGGCCTATTGCATAGAAGATATTAAGTGTATTCTGATCAAAATAAGCTTTCTGTACTCAATCTCACGTCCCATATCTAAAACAATTGAATTAAAGTAGACAACAACGGATCAGCCATGGCCGATAGCATCAAGCCGTTCGACAACAGATCTCGAGGAAGAGTCCTTACCTAAGTTGGACGTTTGATTTCAGCCGCATCAATTGATAACAGACAAACAGTTCTCAGCGACAATATAAATTGTCAATATGAAGCCAAAATTTGCATGAGCGAGAAATCTCACAGGTTCTAATAATAGGTCAAAGACTTGTCGTTATTTTGACCAGTGTTAGACACCAGCGAAACACGCACTGGTTCATCTACAAGTTTAATATCGGTATCAAGAAGGACTATAACAAACATTTGAAGAAAAGTAGAAACGTTCTAAGTAATAATTACGATGTCGAAATTACTCCCTTTGTGGTAGCTACTATGTTGGCCGTAGCGGTCGAATTGCATCTACGTTTCGCTATTACCATAACAGTACAGGGCTGCTTGTCACCTTTTAATGACAAAATAACAATACAAATATCACAGAAGGAGGCTGCTGACAGACTCTAGTTTGTCGTCTTTGTTTCTATTTACCGTTGTACATATCTAACTTTCATTGTTCTCGTTTGTTATCTTATATATCATCGGTACGTCGTATTACGTCATCATCAGTATGTTTATCAGAGATGGTTTACCGTTCCGGAAGTTACGATAAGAGGGCGCATGCTTCGCAACGGCCCATTTCTAGCGATCAATGTCACCGGTTGTAACAATTTATATGACATTATTATAGCGGATAGGCGTCGTACTTCTTTTACGTGCTAAAGACAAAAATAGAACAGCACGCGTTAACTATACCTTACTTACTATGTGGCGATGAGCTAAGATTACCTATTATGTGAGAATTTTAGGCACATTCGGTGTAAATTCATATCGTAGCTTTATTTCTAAATTATTCCAAGTAAAGGAATTTATTAACGTGATATAATAGTTTGACTATTTTTCTTGTTTGACTATGAAGGTGTTCAAAATCGAGTTAATAAACATGGACTCCTCTGTTTTTAGTTTGACCCGTTCTTTAACATTATACCTATTCAAATAAAAACATTTTTATATTTATCAGCAGTCATTAATGCTCAGTTATAAAGTAACGATGCTGCTTTGACATGCTATTCCTATCAAAGCGTAGGGTAACATATAGTCTTCTTGCTACCAGCCCAAGTTCGTAACTCAAATAGGCTTGGGGCCATTGTTCCATTCACTGTTGTTGGAGTTAAATAGCTGAAAGAATGGTGATGAGGAACCGTCTCGGAGCAAGGCCTAACCTTATTACGTCTTTGCATTAGGAATCATATTCCCTAATCCTAGTTTCTACATTCTCTGAACCATATGGTGAATGACCTCATGTAAATATTGATACGTTGATTTCAGGTTTATTTCCATTCCCTTGGTTGTATATTTATTGTAGTCTTTCAGATGCAGCATTTCCGCCCTGCCAAGACCTAAAGCTATTTTGAACCCGGAAATACTGATTCATCTTTATTAGGCTTGTACGCGTGAAAAGCCTCTTAAGGAAGATATAGCCCATTTCTAGTTCACATCGCTTGTATAGGTAAGACCCACACTCTTACGGCGGGGTCAATCTTGGGAGGTGGATGAGTCTCTTCCTAACTTAAATGATAATAAATGTGCGTTTTTGTTTGAAGTGTCAAAGCCGATAATCTTCCCGACATATTTCCCGATAGTCTTAAACTACGTTTAAGATTTTGGAAACTGTCTGCGTAAACATTTTCACCGCTTTTTAAATAGCTAGTGAAAGGCCAATTAGCACTTTAGGACAGGCTCATTATATGAAGTTATATTCTAATTTTCGTATTGTTATTATTTCTATCGTAGCTTTTCACACGGAGTTGATACGAAGGTCGTCAGTAGAATTTTCGTCCACTATAGGTATACGAATAGTGGTTATTTCGGGCGTGATTTTCTAAACTATGAAACATACGCGAATTTAATTCATTCATTCATTCATTCATCACATATAGGCCCGGCCATTTATTTCTTCTAGCCAACTATATTGTGTTCTACCAAGTTATGAAGCAAAGGCCGCTAGGTGGCATTGAAACAATCAATAACGATTCTGGTGTTGTATGGGATCATTTAAGTTATTCATGTATATGTATAACATGTACATGGCTAAAGGTTTTTAATTTCCGGTATTCACAGCACGGGATACGATCGGTCGACTTTTACCATGATCAGATAATAATCATGGCGATTATACGTGTCGAAGCAATCCTAAGGATAGTGTAGCATCGTAATGTTGGAACAGTAGGGCCAAGCGTAACTTTGCAATACAATACAACAATTGCTATTGAGCTATTTGTGTTATTATGCGTTTATTCGTGTTACTATATACCAAGTACATTGTTACCATCCCATTACACATTTTGCCACTTCCATGACATGTTATCGCTGTCAGCCTCGAGGAGCTAGGTATGACTAAGTGTTTTATAACATACGGCTCCTTTGACAGAGGTCCAAAACGCTGGCTATCCACTTTGTACGTGAGCGTCAGCGATCTATATACGGATCCATCTACGCATTCATCTTTGAGTTTGGACAGAGAGATTTTCTACATTTTCGCAATTATTATGAAATCACACATTGACTTATAAGGGCAAAGGCGAAGGCGAACCTCACAGTGTGAATTTAATTCGAGCGAGCGGGACATCAACAGCTTTTCTATTGCAGCGACCGAAACTAGGACGCTTTCATCACAATATCGAAGACCTAATCACTAGGCTATAGCTGGTTCGGAGTCAAACGTGGATTACATTGTAGAAATCATTTTGGCATAGATGACGTTCCTGTTGGACGCGGAAATTCCCATCCATTCGAAACGAATCATTGGCTGTCACATACAAAATCAGTGATCGATTTTACGTACACACTTGTTATTTTCAAGATGCTCTCTTTGCCATTACTACAATGAATTATAGTGTCCGTATTGATAGCGTGTACTGATTAGTATAGGGGTCTGGTATCGCTTGGCATTTCTGAGCCGCGTAACGTCTGAAAATTACAAATCGCACACACCCAGTGCATCGGCGACTTTTTTTCACTACGATGAACTTCATATAGACGCTGTCATAGAAAAAGTAAGTTTCTGGTGACATATCTGCTTACAACATGAGGCAGGATATAAGTAAGGTGTACTGTTTTAGATAACGTAGGCAAATGCAATGTTCACCCTTGAAGCCGGCCCCATATATAATGCTCAAGGGTGAACAAATATACTTGCTGCAATCTACCCTACAGACTGGCAAGCGGATCCTTAAACCAAAAGTTTTGTTCGACAAATCTATACATATGACCCAGACGTCAGGATCAATTAGAAGATTGTTGTCTTTGTTTTGACAAACACTGCATTTATACATAATCAGAGTATAGTGACCAACCTGCATAGCTCGTCGCAGAAAATAGTCTTGTCTCAAATATATTTTAGAAAAACTGTAAGAATGGGAAACCAAGTTTAAAGTTCCTGACCACGGAACGAGAATCAAGCCATGCGTATCTATGCAGTCTTCCTATTCTAAGAGCTGGTGTTCACTCTACTTTAGCTAATTTTGGGATAGAAATCTTGCCGCCCATTGCGCTCGTTGTTTACAGGCGGCAAGAGTTGCTGGCTGCACTAACAAATGGTCATTACGTTTAATCATTCCAACAACACAATAGGTGCGACAACTTGCGGAAAACACGTAATAGCAGGCTAAATTTCTCTACCTATATTCTATAGGCCATGATAGGTGAACAGCATCAAAGTTTGTAACAAAGATGCTGGCCGAACAGACAAAATAAAAATGGAATATTAATACGCAATGCAAGAAAAAAGAAAATAACCAAAAGAAAACAATGGAGCGTATAGAAGCTAACCACGAGGGCCCTGAGCACCTTCCATTCATCAGCCAACAAAGAACATTCAACCGGACGCAGATAGCAGCTTCTATCAAACGCGCCACTGTCTACACGACTTTCGACGAGCAATCGTGAGCAGTACCAAGAATAAATGGACAAAGCCTAAATAACATACCACATACTCATATCTGTTCCATAATGTCATGATCATTCTGAAGCAACTTCCCTGGCAATCTTATTACGCGCGTGATACTTTTTCAACAACTCAACGGTTCGGCGGTCGTCGTAGTCACCCATTCGAGGTATGTCGCCGACCGACGATCCTGCACCGCCGCCGACAGAGTGGCGAAGCTACACTGAACTTACGACGTGATTTTTGGGCCTTGTGTGTGTGTGTGTGTGTGTGTGTATCCGGTCGCTGTTTGAGTCGTTTTGCCATCATATAAACAAACCTATACATCTCAAAACATTTTATATGCTTTTTATCGTCATACTGTATAAAAGACGCCAGATCATATGTTTGATGCTTATCATTGTGTGGCCCAGTGTGCCAGTCGCTTTTTTACTGTGGAGCCTGACTTCAGCTTCCTCCTGCACCAACACCACAGGCTTACCGCAGTTCGCTCGACGTTGTTCTCATGGTTTAGCTTAGATGTTTTTGCTGGCTTTTAACTGTTGTGGCATTGTCTTGCCTTCTCATACTTATCTTGTGTGACGCTTATCGCACACGAATATCAGCAATATTGCAGCATTGTTTTTTGTTGAGGCTCAGCATGCCGCCAAACTCAATGACCCTCGTCATTCTTCCGAAGGGTGCTCATCGACAGTGACTAACTAAACAGACGATGCCCCGTTGATCTCCGATCCGGAATCACTCGTCTGTAATGTTGTTTCTGTCACTCGTTCTAGACAAAAAAAAATCCAATTCCAATCGTTGCCGGTATCTTTGCTCGAGATTTTGCAAGGGGGATTTAGGTGTTCTTTCTCTTTGTGTAGTTGTCTTACGAAAGAAGTTGTGCACGTATATGTTTGTATGTATGAATACATATGTAAACGTTTAGAAATGCAACCTGTGACTGGTGGTAGACCGTGCGTATACCATGAGTTGGCTGTGGTATGGAGCCTTGTCAAAGAATCTGACGCTGCCTCCGCTCGCATGGATGAGCCCTCTCCCGAAAAAAGCGAGTGGAATCGCTGCTTTGTGTGTGTGGTGCTATAAAACGATAGCGTTGTACTTATACTACATCAGTTGATCGAAAAGACGCGTATAAAAATGTGGTTCGTTTTAGCTTTCGCGTTGGGGTCTTGCACGCTTGGTGAGTAGCAAATTCGATAGATTTATGCCATGTAAATATCAATAGAGTGTGTGATATCGTTTGTTTGTTTGCTTGTATGTTGCCTGTGGTGATAGGAGAGATTTATCACAGGTGGCCGTTTAGATCGTTGATTTTCATTTCAGTATGTGCGCAGCTTTGCTTTGGGATTAACTTTAAGGTGTCAAAAAGAACGGCTCAGAATAAATGTTTTTAAAAATCATTTACTACTAAATATAGCGCTTATTCTGTCTGCACTGTATCGATGTAGAGAAACGTATATTCTCTAGTTTAACAAAACAATTATAGTTTATCTGATAAACGAGTGCAGCGGTAGACTAAAGTAAGCAACATTCTTGGCCTACAGTAACAATTCTTTTCCATTACAATTGCATCTATTATAGTTAGCTTTACGCTCTTCTTCATGTTGTCTTCTTCGAGTCTAAAAGTAGCTACTAATTAGAAAGTGTCTACACACACGTATGGAGCCCATACAAGTAGAAGTTTGCGCTCGAAATTTTGACAACTTACGCTCTCAAACTCATGTTCAGAATAAACTTTAAGCACTGGAAAACCTTCTACTCACATAAAAACACTGGCTACGAAAAATCATGTTGGTACCGTTATATTTTCTGAATAGTTTTCTATGTACCTTAAGTATTAAGTGAAAGGGTTAGATTGAGGTTCTAAAGTAGATTTTTTTTACTGAGACCGAAATTGAAAAAATAATGTTCGAGTGTTTCATATATGCTAAAGTTTTAAATAAAGCTTTACATTTTAGTATCTATTGGGGATTGTTTTTAAGTCAACTGTAGCAAAGAAAACATTGTAACTAATTGACCAGTAAAGGATAAGTGTTCGTCGTACTTGGAAATGTCAAAACTATCCTTATTGTGTATTGACGCTTAGCTAAGGTAAAGGTGTTTCGTATAAACTTCATTAAATCCTGCGACTGCAAGACTCTGTAGATGGCTGTGCGCAGCTCCGTTTGACTACCTAATTGGAGCATGACACCATTAGCATTTTAATCTGCCTGGAAACCAGATTGAGGAACTGCGTCATTTGCCTGCTAACCTTATCTCGATAAAGCGATCCCATCTAATTTGTATGCCTCGAATATGACTAATCAGGAACTATATTAATTGTTAACATTAGCATCATAAGCGCCACCTGGACGTCTACAACGCGCACACCTTCGACGTTTCGTATTCCGTTGTGTCCTCAATTTACGGCCAACCAGTAGGGCTTGCCTCTTCCACGGCACATTTCGCCAGAATGTCTACACAGTGTGCATTTTTTTCTGTTGTCTCGCTATATTGATGTTTCGAAGGGGGGTTTCAATCTATGCATTGTAAATGCATAGATGAAAATGATTATTATGTCAGCTCGTATAGATGATGTTAAGAGGATGAGTCTCCCTATCGTCCAGTCTTGTATTCCTTTATCGTGGTCGCATCACGGACCGATCTTTACCGTATGCTATTGAAATCGCGCGACGTCCCACATTCACTAATTCAAAACTTACATATTCCGTTCTAAACATATTCTGTGTAAATCTTGCAAAATTACAAGAACCTGAGGATATTGGTAAATAGATAAGGCATAACCTTTGTTCGTTTAATAGCAGACATGTAGAAGTCGTATTGTCAATAACTATAATACTGGAGGTTAGTGAAGCTTACAGCACGATATGTGGTAATATTAGATGATGATGTCGAATCGATTGTGTTTCCTGATATTTTTAGCTTTTAACTTAACTTTTTAGTGGATATTAGACAGGATCGGTTTTTATTGAATCGGCATATCGCCTAGTACTTATCAAGTCTGTAGATCTAGCTGTATGGAATAGTTTTCAAACGCATACATTGGCGATATAATTAACATTTTCTTTTTATCTAATCCGCCTAGTACAGGTTGACCAACAGCAATACAGAAATGTATCAACTAATGTCATGATAGTAATGAAGGGCTAATATAAATGTTGTTTAATGATAACTAGCGCAGCTAAGGCAAAGGTGTTTCTAGTAGACCGGATGAGTAAGTGTCACTTTTACTTTCGTAGCGTGCGTAGGCACATAAAGGAGCAGCGATCGGAGGTGTTGTTATACGCCATGACCTGAATGTCTCTCACCTGCAGCCTATCTGCTGTTTAATATCTGCCTCGCCATCGGCCAGTGCCACCTTCAATAACAGCAGCATCGCTCCGAAACTATTCTTTAGACTATATGTTGCACTTAACGTTCTCAGTGGAAGTTTGCCAGTTTATATTACTTGTCTGTTTCAAACACAAAGTTTCATTCAACAAGCGGAATTCGAAATATGGCGCCACACTTGTGCGCGCACATTCGTAAAATGTCTCACAACCATGATATGTATAGCAGGCATGCATGAAGACGATTACGAAAAGAAATGCGTGACACGCTTTCCGGCTCAGTGCCTCATCCAGCCAGTGAGTCGGATACGTTTAAAATGATGGAGTACCTGGTGTATTCTTGTACTACCGCGTACGTAGCCTTGCATTTATGTTCGATCCCGTGAACTCTTCATCCATTCTCTTTTAAGCAGATTGTACGAATCGTTTCCACAGCCGTCTCGGAAATCGCATGGAACTCTACCACTCTGTCCGTCCGTTCGCAAACAAAATTCGTTTGCATATTGCGCGAATTGGGTGTGTGTGTGTATGGGCAGGCATCTCAAGCAAGCTGAAAACCTAGAATTAAAGGTCTTCATTAAAGCTTCGTGTCGACAATATGGCTTTGTTAGTCGAACGCATCAATAAACTACAGCATATTTGAGACGCGAATAGAAATACAGCAAAATGAAATCAATCGATATTTAGAAGAAAAATACAAAAATACAGAAATACTGTCGCAAACAAAAAAAAAAAACTAAGAATCCAACAAAAACCCTGTATAGTGTATGGATGGATACAAATATCTAAATATCGATGCATAAAGACGTCGCATACGCTTCTCGTATGTAGTGGTAAAGACATACACGAACAGGACTAGCGTGCGAAGAGAGGCCAAATCTCGCAGAACCATAAAACAACTGTGGACGACATATGATGATTTTGGTAACAAAATACATATAAAAAAAATATTTGTCTCTATGGTGAGTATATGCAACTGTAACTGTAACACCAAACGCAAATATAGGTTCGATCCAAAAAAAGCGTTTGAATGTAGATACACGTGCGTCAAGGGGAAGGATTTAGACGTGTCTAGCTTTTCGACGCAGGCCAAACGAGTATAACTCGGCTAGAGATTTACTGACAATCGACAAGAGGATTTTGCTGGAAAATAAAAATGGGACGTTTGGTGTATGGTCAATTAAGAGATTTCTGGTGTTTTTCAACTAAAGCAGAACGTAAAATAAAGTATCGATAAAGCTGTAGAACAAACTTGAAAATAAAAGGACTCTTCACTTTTGCCACGTAATGAAAGCGAAAATGAGCCATAGTCTTGGAAATTTTGGCAGTAAGGATTTAAAGTAAAGCGTGCTTTGCATTAGAGGAATGAATAAAGGAAGAGTACCAAGAGGTTGAGAACCTCCTGCGCAGAACATGAGTCTACGAAAAAGAGACGACATAGATATATTTCCGTGAAATGAGGAAAAACTAAACGGAAGTATTGCCTGGAGAGAGAAATCTGATAGAACTGATGATTTGGAATGTCTAGCGGGGCGAACTAGATCGTTGCATAGTAATATTCACTACTAGCATACGATAATAATAATACTGTCTCCTACATTCAAGACTTGCGTTTAGTAAGAAGAGATTTTTGCGTTTTTTCTTCTTTAAGTATCGGCCATTGAACGCATATTTACCTTTGATTTACTAACTGCTCGGTCAACATTTTGTTGCATATATTCATTCCAGCTAACGCTGGTACAATCGCCCAATCAAACCATTTTGTTGACGACCTATTCGGCTCGAAATTAAAGGGGGAAGCACATGCTTACAATCTCAATGGTGTTTCGATTCCCGACTGGACATTGGAGAAGATAAAGAGTACTGGCCTCACAAATCGCGATATCAAGGGTAACTTTACCAATGGGTACGTCCGGGGATTAACCGACATGAAGCGGTCGGGCGATTGCTCGCCAACAGCATGGATCGGCGGAAATATCACCGTAAGTATATGTCAAGCTCGCCTGATGACTTTGCTCTGATGAGCCTCTAATTCGTTCAATGAAATTACCGTAAAGCTTATTTCAACCGTCATTGAATATTGCCTCGGCTATTAGTACGCCTGGTTAGACGCAGCATCGCATCTTGTTATTTATGCACATCCAATCTTTTTTTGAGCGTTGGTCTTTTTATATTCGTGCATCTGTGGGCGTCTGCGTGTGTTTGTCTATATCTGGGCTTAAGTTCAAGTACATCTGAGATAGGACAGCGATAACGGACAACGTTGCCGTCTACGTTTTTCTTTTCTTTGTTGTTTCTCTTGATCTCGTTGAGCAGCTTTCTTGCCGTATCGACATCAACTCGGTGTACGCTGAGTGGAAGCTTTCGGTGAAAGGTCATACCCTATCAGGTAATATCAAGGAGCTACCCCTTAAGGTGCAGCTGAAAGACACGAGCGCGCTCTTCGAGGCATCTGCTTTCCCCAACCGGGCCGTCTCTCTTCGGACGTTCTACATCGAAAAGTGAGTTTAAAAAGGAGCTGTCATTGATTACGACTTGTTCCAACAAGTTTGGTTAATTTTAGGTAGCGCCAACGATATTTATGATTCGATAAGATAATAATATAGTTTCTGCTCCTTGGAGTGGGTGGACTACATGCTATTGACGTAACCCATGCCTACCGCCAACCAAACATTGACTAAAATGATTTGTTTCGTTGTATGTCCATCCAATGCAGGATGAAGTTCAAACTCGATTATGAAGACCTCGGACTCAACGACGAACGCAAGAAGAACCTCCACGACCAGGCCGAAAAGCATGCATCAGCAGAGATCTTCAATGTTGCTTATAACACACTCTCAAAGGCTATTAGCAGTGCGATGCGCGGCACGACACTGCCTCCTGTTTAAACCAGAACGGATACCCGGTACCATTCAGCCGTTCAAATACATACGGCATACACCGCTGTTTAGTCAACGAACCTGAATAAGACATAACGAATTCACTGAGGGGTGATTACTTCGGGGAAAATATGCTTGACAAACAATGTTTTAAACGAAAGATAATTTAGCACAGCGTGCAGGTAAACTACATAGGTGGTCAACGATCTTCAGCGAATGCAATACTACTAAAGTACTGATTGAATAAATAAATTATGTAACATCCATGAGTGATTATTGTATGTGGTAAGAAAAACAGCCAGTTTCGGATCTGAGTACAGCCTGAGCTAAGCATGAATAATACGCTGTTTAGCAGCATGGACGTTCGTGGTCTTGCGATTACCTTATAAATGGGTATGGATACGTAATAGCGCCGTTTGCATTCGATTCCCAGTTGAATGCTCAGAAGGTCTTTTGAATGTTGAGTTGTCCATAGAGCCCTGTACCTTCTTTAAATCTTAACTGTTTCTCGTCCATTACAGCATCAGTTGTTGCCCGCGATAGCTCCGCCTTCCACGTAGTCTCGTGCCGGCATCGATAAAATTAGAAACATCAATTATTGTTGTGTTTAGTATCAGGCCAAAGATTCCTAGGACATTCGTTCCACATATCTGTATCCCAAAGGAAACAGTAAACAACTTTTTAGTCGTGTCTACTTTACAAACCAAGTTCTAATTTTTAGCGTCTGAGAAAATTATGCAGTCTATCCATAAATCGTTGAGGCGCCGCGAATTAAATTGCAGCGAATTAAATTAAAATGATAGTACAAAAGGTTTATTTTATAATCGGTCACAGATATCTTACGTTCGCAGGACATACACATCGTGCAGCTATCAAGCACAACCGTATTCATCGTCGTCTATGCCAGCGCATTTTCTTAGTGTAATAAGCCCCTATTTGTTGGGATATCGTGTTTTATTCAGCTCTTGTTTTTTTCTCTGTTATTGTATTTCAGTTTGCTAGTGATGTCAATATTATCGCTAGTGCCGCTGACATAGTCGCCGGAATCATAACGCGTTTGAACGGCAGAGAAAAATCGAGACAAGCCAAAAGCGATCGAATAGTATGCCATATAAATGAAAATTCACGACGTATTCGAGATCACGTATCCGGTTAACGATGATACAGCCCAATCAGACAACGTCTTGTCGAGTGATTTCTACTATAGGCCACGTAGCATTTTTATCAGCTGAGCCCGCTGCGGCAGTACATCGGTGAAGTTGATTTCCAGTTTTGTAGTAAATGTCATTATTGGTGCTCTGCGTATATAAGAGCCCCAGGCAGAAGTAGCGCTGACGCAGGCAGTAAGATGCATTATCGTTAAGTTAGATCCGTATCGTCTTTTCGTTTGTGTTTTCAATATTTTCAAGGACAAACATTAACTCTAGTTTTAGCTTATACCAGCTAATGAAGCTTCCTAGGATAAGCAAGGCTATGATTCCAATGTCCGACTACCAATTTATCGGGCTGCTAATAAGTCATGCAGATTTTCCAAAGAGGTTCCACATGCATTGCGACGGGGTGTGACTACGGCAAAATATCAGTATCTTGATTGTGCGACAATTTCAGGATATAGGAGGACTTCTGTTCTGCAAAGGTAGGGAAAAATCGGAGCGCGTTATTTAAGATACAGTGAGTGCGGTTTATTTCAAACCAATAGTCAAGATAATTATTTTGTCACCTGCATGCGTGACTATGTCACTGATAATTTGCATAATGCCTTCTCAGCTAAATTCAACAATATAAGTTGAACATTCGATGGCCATAATAAGACAAGCTTATCTAAATGCCGGTATGTATGTGGTACAGTTATTGATTCGAACCTTTCACATAGGCACAGTGCCTCAAACGATTATCTCCTCTATCGGCCTCCCGAGCCACGTTTGTAGACTGCCAAAACAGTCAGGGCTGATCGTATCGCTCACCTAGGCTCTTGCTGAATCTTTGAGGATCATCTTTAGATTGCAGACGTTACTGGGCGTATCTCTTATCGAACGTGCCTGCTGGCCTCCCACTAAAACATTTCTATCAGGATCTTAATTAAATATTTACTTTATCGTATCCTGCTCCCTGTTTTTCATCCGCCATCCACACATACCAAGAAAACTCAGGTACGAAGACGGCAGTTAAACAGATTAGCCCGATCTCCGCTAGTCAACACGGGGTGTTGGCTTGTTCATAATCAATGCATAGCTTAGCTGTAAGTTTTGCCTGCCCGAACTGGGTTACATCTAGATGGTTATTCTCAGTAAATCACTCTAGACATGGCTAGATACTTGGACAAGTAAGCATTTCCTAGATCGTTAGATTTCTTGCGTCACCGGTATCAGACAGATATAACGATAGTAATAACACATGGATATAATAATACATTTATTATTCCGAGCATGTGAAGGCATATTTCCCATTCAATTTGCCAGAGATATATGGTCAGACATCAGCGCCGTGTCTCTATATCAGCAGAGTGAGTTAACTATCACCGATAGTGAAATAAGCCGAGCACGTTATTTACTGCTTTACCCGCGTGTGAAAATACCTCAATCGTCAGCTGTCTTTCCGTGCCCCTTTCCACAACGACAGCTCATACAAATAGAGTAATCGTATTGTTTCGTGGAGAGTTTGAACAGGTGCTCATCTCAGAAGTGTAAGCATTTATTTCTTCAGACAGTGGAGGATATCAGCGCGCATCAGCTCAAGATTGAACATTATCTCAGTTCTCAAAAAGGGACCATTGTCGGCACGTTGCAGTGCCAGCGTTTGTGTTTATTCAATTGTTTATCTAGATGAAGAGTTTCGCTATCTAGCTCCTTCGTTTTCGAAGTGGAAAATTGGAAACTGTGACTCTCTTTTTCTGTCTGAGAGAGAATTTATTGAGGGTTATGACTCAGGTTTCGCGACTGCATGGAATGGAAGCCATGAAAAGTGCAGTGACAAAAACGCTCTGTATTGTTGTTATCGTTGGCCTGGGTAAGTGTTAGGAGTTCTTAGGAAATAGACAGTAGTGCTTATACTACAACGGTTTTTATGCAGTGGGTCTACACCTGTAAACGAAGACGAGGCCATGACCTAATAGAACAAGACGCTTTTTAAGCAAAATCGTACGAAAGAGGCCATCTTTTTTCAATAACAAAAAATTGTTTTCTGTGTGGAAAAGTTGCAAAAATTAATCCAGTTAAGATATTGCCAGTGTTTTGCCTTGAGCGCGCATCTTTCAATTAACGGTATTGCAATGAAGATGAATCGGCGATTGTTTGCGATGCTACCATAACGATTTGATCGGTAAAAGAACACGAAAAATCAATTGTAGTAGTGGCGCTTTGGTTGGTGCGCCAGTATTTAGTAACGATGTGTAAACTATATCTAAAGCATTATCTGTTATATTGTTTTTCTCTTTATTACATTCCTCCGCAGGTTGGAAGTATGGCATTGCTAGTAGTTCAGAAAAAGGCAAAATCCAAAACATTCCACTTTCTGTCCTTTCAATTCTAAGAAATGCTAAGGAATTTGGAAAATCTTATATTAAAATGTTACCCGCAAGATAGCTGTAACAGTAAACACAGTTCATACTGTGAACAGATAGTGAAAATGACCAGCTATATGTTAGTGTCATGCAAAAGACTGAAGTATTAACTAAAATTATCCCAGTAGCTTCCTATTGTAAATAAAAAAATAAAACCTAAATATCAGATTATAGGCTGCTTAGCAAGTGTAATGTGTTAATTAAGTGGAACTTTTATGGCCATGATCACATTGCCATATTGAATTTGTTTCCCACAAACGCATTGCATTAGGTTCCTGGAATCGGCCTGTTCGGTGTGCCCATATACGGGATGAAGGATTCGAACTCGGACAAACCTAACGCGTTATCCGTCATTGTGGGCATGCGTTCATCTGCTATCGTTGGTAGTAGCAGAAGGCCCGCTCTTTATAGAGCAAAACAATGATTTCATTATAACATGAAGTTGTCTTTGAAGTTTCACCTATCATTTAATTGTATCACATTAGATGAGCACCTGTTAAGATTGAAAGCTCCCTTTTTTCCTCAAATCGACTGTCTACGTCCTCGCTAAATTTATTGGGCTTCTAAAAATCCCTAGAAGACTTTTGCGAGGCAAACCGAAAAATTATCAATAGGACTTAGATTCGAAAATGTCGAAAATTAATTAAAATGACTTTAAAAGCCACCCTTGTAACAAATGGGTTTTATATGGAAGTTAAACGTCGTCTTAAATAGAATAACATCGATTGCCAATTGAGTCATACAGATAAGGCGCTACGATTCGTGTGTTGCGTTTTTCGAACTAATTTTGAAACGTTTGGTCTATCGGCTTCATACTGAATTACGCTGGATGTTTTTGCGCTTGTGACGTATTAACGAGTGTGTATCTACCAATTGATACCGCCTGATGCATAATTACCATTCAAAATTATTCACGGAGGTAATAGAAAACGTATTTTGACAATGGCTTATTAGTAGTTTAGGTCCAGGACTGAAGTTACAATTGCTGTCACTGATGCTTATATTGAATAAGCATTACTGTCAGAAATGACACTTCTCAGAAGTTTGTTGATTAGAGAGGGACAATTTTGGAAATACAGATCGTAACTAAAAACACCCAGATTTAGATCAACCGTGTAGATCTTAAATTCAAATCTAACCTCATTCGAATTAGTACAATATCTTCAGTGTCAGACGTAAAACGTTTAGCCCTACGTGTAGTGCAATATAAACATATTAAATACGTATCAAGACAAATCATCCCATCGTTAATAAACTAGCGTCGATCATTGTATTTCAGGCTTAGCTAGTACAGTACAACAGGCCGACGAATACTTCGATGAACTGATGCGGTCCCTGCGGAACGTTAGTGATCCGTTTACACTAGAAGGTGTTTCTATTCCGGACTTTAATATTAGTGTAGGTGACAATTGGAGTTTTTTTTTTTTCTAAACACGCTTACCAATCGTATGTTTGACCAATAACTAGCTGCAATACGGCACGGGACTATAATCACGCTGTTCGGATTAAGGCCTTGAGTGGATTAGCTGATCCTGTTTCTGTCTCTGCTAAGCATATTTACGTTATGTCAAAAAAAAGCATGCAAAAATTTTTCAATATCTGACTTCACTTTAGGTCGATCAGAGAAAGAAGCGAACGTGTGGACGAACGGGAATTGTAAACTCCCATTTTCTGGCACGAATTATTTTCAGCGGCGTAATTGAATATTTTTGTTAAATCTTGCTACTAAATTTCGCGCGTTACTTAAGTTGAGTGTTAGATATTTTGAAGAAGTATAGTACATAGAATTTAGTTGAGTGTCGAGGAAATTAATAGCGGTTCCCGTTCATCCTGACTCTCACTTTTCAGATTGCATCGACTAGCATTACTAACCGTAAGTTTAAAGCGGTTTTTAACTATGGTAAGGTCAAGGGCCTAACGGATTTAAAACGAAGAGGACATTGTGCACCTACCCGCTGGTCGCACGGGAATATTACGGTATGCAAGCCGAAACCACATATTGAAACTAATGTTCAAGTACTTAAGTTTAAATTTAAACTTGCAGTTCTTTCGTTCGTTCTGCACTGTATGTCGATTCGATTAAAATATGCCTATCTAATCAGTATAATTATACTCGCGTAGATCTATGAGTTCAGTAAACAGTCATCAGAAACCTGGAGAACTATAAAGAATACGAACGATACTGTGGCTTATGGGAAGGTCAGCATCGACAAAGACGACACGAACAGCGCTCGCATCTGGCATAGCATGTCAGTATTATTGAGCTGACATTGAAATGCTGTTCTCATTGAACGAAGGTGATCCGCGTGACCTCGGCGTTGGTGTTAGACTGCATCTGCTGTTGTTGTCATAGACACGAAGCTGATGAAATAGACAAGTTTGTGAAGATAAGCGAACCGGTTAAGATAATAATCGCGATAATCTTAGGCTGTTTGCAAGTCGTGTATATACACTAAATACGTTCCCTACTACATGTAGCTTCAAAATTTGTAGAAATATGTAAAAGGATACTTTTACGTTTAAATTCCAGGTAGATACATTGTAAACTTAAGTGAAAACAATATAGCACCGATAAAATGGGGGATTTTGCTTCATCCCGATGTTGTATCTGTCTAGCCAAAACAAAGAATTTGATAGCCAATTATTATGCCAGATGAACATTTCCGTCGTAGGTGTGGGGTCAACTGGTGCACCAGGGGCACCAAGCATTATTCAGCTTGGGATATGAAATTTTTCTACGGTCTTGAATTGAAGTAAAAATAGTCGTAGCAGTACTAATTTAATAAACATTTTAAGGCTGCATCAACTGTCCGTGCTTTCTTTGAACGATGTCTTACCCTTTAATCCCTCTAGTTTGAGTGTACGCTAGATCTATCGAATGTATTCGCTGCTTATGGCGTCATAGCCAAAGGCAACACCTTCGGCGGACGTCGAAGTCAGATGGACGTCTTCGTGAGAATTGAACAAGGGACAGCGAAATTTGTGGCGCAATCATTCCCCAATAGGCCGCCATACATTAAAATTAATGTCATTGACACGTAAGCGATTTTTAATTCCTTACTTAATCTGCCAGTAAATAATAACCAATAAGCCGAAGGGAGAGTCTCATACAAAAAAGTTATTAACTTGATGTACTACGGCTGTTATTGCACAGTTATTTTAATATTGCATATATATACATATTTATATCTAGTTAGGTGTAATCGACATCGTAAACAAAAACATGTAAAACAGTGAGCTTCTGTTTTTCTTCAAAAACTATTGCTGCTGCTGCTGCTGTTAACGTGCGTACGGATGATTCGCCGTTTATGTTCTTCATTTCGGCTCCATTTCAAGGCTCAATTTGCGTACGGAAGTACTGCCGGACCCCGATCTTAATCAGAGCAGGCGTAACGAATTCGCAAATGAAGTTCAAAAGCATACGACTGAGGACATCATACGGGTGCTTACGACTGAGGTATCGTCCGCGCTCACTGCGGCTGCCAAAGACCACCTATTACCTCCGGTTTAGACCGTGTATATCTGATACCTACGAGGTGGTAAGAACTCAAATTTTATTCAATATATATAGTATATATACATATACCATATATATATTCAACATATATATTCGAACAGCTTGTATTCTACCAGTTTATCGTTCAATCAAATGCATATTAAATGTATCACCCCATTTTAGTTTGTACATTTTTTTTTACGTGGAAGTGTTCATTCATATAATTTTGGTGTATGTTATTATATATATGTTTTTTTTTGACGCACCTTGCGTACACATGTGGCTGCGAATATACGCATGGGATTATATGGGCCAGGGGCTATATTGGCCATTGCGTATTATCTAGTTTGGAAGCATTAACTAAAGATCTTATTGCTATCGAGCTTTCACAATTTTTGAAGTGCACACAGATCAGAACTTTAGCGCAATTCAGTATTTTCCCTCGTATTTCATGACCGATAAAAAAAAACTCATCTGTTGTAAAGTTATATTTTCAAATGGAAGCAAGTTACGTCTTATAAATCATTATTTTTTGTCGTAGTACATGACTATGCATGGGGCCATCGCGAGGTTGAGCTATATAAGCAATTGCATTTCGAATATATACAAAACAAAACGCTATCGATGCTAATCCTATAGAAAAAATGAAAAAAATAAATGCACAAAACGACACAACTAATCCGTATCTATGTATGTACTTCAAATAAAACTAAGGCATTTGTTAAGCTACTATCTTAGTTCCCCATAACCACATTTGGTCATCCTAAAAAATGTTTTCTAGATTACAAAGATTTTGTTAACAAAGCAATGTTATCACTGCAGTTGGTCATGATTATCGATCAGAATCTACATTGGACTGTATTAGACTCTGGCAATGGTGACACAGACCTTAGTGCGATCAGTGCACACATTGTTACCATTACTTCACGCTTCTCGAGAAATATAATTTAAGCATGTACCAGTACATAATTAATTCAAATGCGTTCACTTTACGCAGCAAGACTTCATGTAGAAAGATCGTGGACAAATGATAAGCTCTGACCCATTTGATTCGGTAGTAAATGATTCGATCGGCCCTTCTATGAGAAAAAAGAAGCATCCCTCTAGCTTTATTAAATGATTCGTTTTTTTGTACGAAAAACAATATATATATATATGATCAATTGACATTTTTTTGAAGATTTAGGAATTATAGTAATTCTATCTAGGCCGCGGAATAGAAATCTTTGACGAATAGTTTTTTCACGAGACACTCATTGTTTTCAACGATAGAGTTAGTTAAACTTTGGCCCGATTCTCTTTTACATATAAAAATATATGCAATGTGGCATGGATATATATGTAGCGCAATATAAGCTGGTAAATGTCTGTAATGTTGCGTTATGTATCGTGCAGCAATAATTCATTCTGCGTTCGATGTTAATGAAATAATGATTAAAAGCTGGAAAAATGCTGAATTAGTAGACCTAAAATTCCAACCTTTTTTGTGACAAAAGGGCGAACATGATGCTTGCAGTTTATGCATCTTCTTTATCAAGAGGAGGTTCATTGTCCGCATCGCTCGGCACCAACCGGTCGCCCGATTCGCACTGATACGTAGACTCAGATGGCATCCTTTCTGTTTCTTTCTGAAGGAACTCCTCGGTTAATACGGCTACCGCATTCTGGCTAGATCGCGTCGGACAATCGAATTTCACAAAATGGCGATTAAAAATTACAGAGCCTTCTTTCTGCATTATCAGTGACTACATGTTTGTTAGTATTTCATGTGGTAACAAATTTAAGTCTGGTAGCTGTGATATATGTGGACGTATGTCTTCGTTATCAACCAACGTGTCGGTTGCAGTAAATTAAAATATTATATATATATATATATATATAACGCTCAGCCTAGTTTTAGACAGCTTCTCGTGTCATTAACTGAAGTATGGCTTAACTTAATACGTTTGATTTATGGTGTTGCTCATATTTCTGCTTTTAGTAGTCTGGCTTAGTTGGCGATCGGCTTCAGGGGCTCATAGAATAGGACAATGGTTTACAGTAATTGTGCCGATGATATCGATAATAATACCGATACGATATTGACTATGATTAGATTATATGTATTCTATCTTTTAAAGGGCGTCATTATGTGGTTCACTTTCGTATACGTACCTGTGCCTCAAGCCAACAGTGATATCCAGGTATGAGCTTCGCTTCGCATTGCCAATAGGAAAAAAGGTACAGAATCAACAAAGAGAAGTTTCCAGCGGGCTTTCTTGACCTTGCATCGATACAATATATATTTGACAAAAACTACTGCCTTTTATTGAATGTATGCTTCATTTACTGTTAAATGCACGAGCGTTCGAAGAAATTCCTTCAGTATCTTCCATACCTAGTATCTTGGATTTATCGGATCGTCTAGAAGATTAGTTTCAGATGGTAGTTCCTAAAGTGTTCTGCGAGACATAAAATTCTAAATTGGTAATGGAAGATTTCGCTATTACACCTGTCTTTTTGGGCCATGTTGGGCAAACAATTTTACCTGTAAGGATGATCAAGTCTCGCGTTGAAAATGGTAACCGGTTTCTTTGTAGCCCTGATTTTCGAGATGGTAGCTGATTCGGTATCATATGGTAAAAGCGCCTTTTTTCCATATGTGTGGTTGTTTTACGCCCCCGTCAAAATGATGATTGATTCTACGCTACGGACTGATGCGCGCTAACCTGAAAAGGAACGTCTACATTAAGCCCATCAAAAACATTATTCTAACTCGCTAGGCACACGTAATAAAGAAATAGATAAAAGGTTTGAATAAATAATTATCTAAAGTAGTTTTTTCTTCACCAATTTCTGCATAGGTCATATCTGTTGTGTGGCTTCACCGTAATAGACCATAGGTTACAATATAGTACATAATCAAAATGGTTTTACGTCTGAACCCCAACATCGCTATGCCTTGCCTTTGATCCATAGTGTTTATCCACCAAATAACACAACACAAAAAGCAAAAAAATACAATCCTTTTTTAGGGGTTTCTCTTTAAAAGTCAATAGTAATATCTACATATAATAAAATAATAATGCTCGTAGAGTACATAGAAATAACTAACTGTCAACCACGATCCCCATAGGTAAGTAGTCCTACCCGGAGAATATAACTGGACCTTTTAACATTCATACTAATGTCTTTAGAGGTGGTTGTCTTACCTGAGTAGAAAAAAGCCTAGTGACGGGTTAACGCAAAAGCAAAATGCGTGGTTGCATGTACATAGTAACCTAAGTTTAACATTTGACGCTTAGTTCGAGCCAAAGCAATTCTTCTATTATAAATCAGTAACCAACATAAGTTTGAGTTCGAACATTGCTCAATCTATAACTAAATAAATCTCCTTTTACCTCTGAAAGATCAGCTCCGTTCATGCATAGCATCATGAGAATCTATAATTGCGACAGATAATACCAATTTATCGAATAAACGTGGTATCAAAACAGTACTTGTAGTTTTGTTATAAATATCAGGTCACTCACGCGCTTCCTTCTAAAAAAACACGGTTTTTTTTTTACGTTCGAGAGTAATCGCTACGATTTTTTACACGAAAAACCGTGACGATTGCCGATAGCGTCTAATCACACAACCTCGCTAGATTCACATATAATCGATAAATTATCGTCGAAATTCGGCGACATAGAATTATTTAACATTTCTTTACAACAATGATCATTACAGTCAAGTAAGAGAAGAATCACGTATCCTGGCACCTCCTAATTTCCCATCGTACAATTACTTAAAGTGGTCGTTCGTGAATGGAGTGAGGATACTTGCATATCTATATGCGGCCGTTTTTTTTTTTCGTTCATTGGCCCAAGTGGGAACCCACTGGAAAGATCGTTTTTTTTTTTTTTTTTTTCGCTCATACTCAGCTGGGACTACGCCGCAACTATTCTTCCGTTCACTCTGTATATTTTGTAAGCTTGAGCTCCTAGCTTAATCAAACTTAAAAAGGTCTGAAATCGAGATCTTCGTATAGCATACGCTATATAGTACCATATGATAGGCCTAACTGTTGCAATCGGTGAATAAGTGAAATGTTTATATTTTCAATATCCTAATACTTTTTTAGCTACTACTTAAACGTCTGCGTGAATGCGTCAGAGTCGGAGAACCAATACAAAATGTTGCAGTGGAACGTGTAAACAAACTTTATTAACACTAACTCTACTTAAGATTGTTGAGAGTAACTGCTGAATAAACAAATTGCAGCTTACAGAAAATATTCTTACAGCTTACAGAAAAGACTCAATAAACTAAATATACATGGGTAAACTTTGTAATTATACTATACGAATAAAAAATCATTCTAACTACAACAATACGTTCGCATAATGACAATCATTACTTTGTGTACATCCGTCGGACGGCACGATTCTGCATAATCAAAACTAGCTGCCTTAAGGACTTCTTGCGTTTAGTAGGTCCTCCCAAAGTTCTCAAGTCACGTTTTGCCTCTGAGCCCATATTTTTTTTACAAAATCCTTGCTGGGATATCGTTAAAAAGCTCGGACTTTTAGCTTTACAATACAGAAAGCTTGATTTTTCTATAACTAGGAGACCAGCCGCATTCGTATAGATAGGAAGCATGCATTGTTCCTACTTTGAATAAGTGCTTAATGTGTTAGAGCTTCCAAATTGCAATCACCAATTGGATATTTAGAGACTTCAACATGTAGAGGCCAAATATGTACGACACATTTTAATTTGTAGATTCTGTCTACCATTGTTTCTCTGGACTCGTTTGATTGATAAGTCGAAGTTTGCGATGTTTAATCCACGCCGAACTCGAATATTTATAATGTAATAACAGTATTTTCGCCGGGATGATGATGATTATCTAACTGGATGCTGAATTGTTTTTGACTAGCTCTAGGCTGAAAACAAATATAGCTAGAGGTTCAGCGAAAAATTCATAACGGAACAACGTTATTTTTTATATAGGAAAAATAACTATTGAGTAGTACAATAATATAGAAACAGATGAAGGCAAGAGAAATCCATACATGAGTTGTATGCCTATGTACAAATGTAGGCGTAATGTCGGTGACACAGTGGATATGAAAGTAATTTTAATAAATATCCTTTTAGTTGACCCATGCCAAACCGTCCTACTACGACGTTATACTCCTTAAATCATTTTGACGCATAGTTCATTTTGTGTTTCCTCTTAGCTAAATGTCGAATGTGTCATCCTTAGTTGTCCTTTTGTTAAGTACGAATATTTTTCCTGAGATAAATTTTTATTTAAAATAGTAGTATCTTATAGTATAAAAGCATAGTAATATAATAGTATAGTATATAAAATAGTAGTATATTAGCATCGTAACGTTTCTGCATCATTCCATGTAATCTCGCCTAGATTTAGAGAACTCTGCGGATATGTATCTCCCACATAGTAGTATTATTATTGTTCAGAACTACGTCGAATTTGCTGTACTAGTGTGCTATCATTGACGTGGGACCAAGGGGCAAAAGCAGCGTCAGCAGTATTATACAATCGTACGATATTAGAATGGGATCACAGTGTTGCCCCAGTACTGACACTGCCTCTTGTGATGTACACTGTGTTGACCAATTCCTGCTAAAAAGAAAATGTTTCATACGCTTTGGTCGTAGACTATTGCTACGCCGCTTCACTGCCTTCTAGAAGCATTCCAACAAAAAAAAAGAAAGCACCACCAATATATCGATCTTCAGGAAGGAACACCAGGGGCATTTTGGTAGCTAGCACACTAAATCAGAACAGTTGCCTCTACGAGGGAACGCCCACCAATCTACAAACATACAATGCATATTTGTCCTTCTTCATTTCACTATCTTGTCAATCGAACAGTGTTAGTCATAGGCCTGGCATATGTACAACAAATATGCCATACACATAATGAGGACAAATGGTTATATCTTACGTTAGCTTTAGTAGCTTGGATTAGATCCACTGTTTTTTCTTACACCTAAATTACCTAAAATTAAAATTTAGGTAATGAGAATACCAAAGCATGAGCTTTTTAACAACAATAAGTTGCAAAGTTGCAATTAAAAGGCTTCTGTACAAATATATGCACGCAAGGATTTCCAATCCATGATGGCATAAAGGGAAGACCTATTAGATTAAAGAGTTTGAGCCTAGCCCCAACTGGTCGAATAACTGACGTCTATGAACAGATATTGGACAAAGTATAAGATTTCCCTCCATACGTTATTCTCACTTCGCTTCAACTGAGACAGCAGTTTCTATATCATTGATTATTTCCCTAAGTAATAGCCACCATGTTTTTTTTTTTTTTAAATAAAGTGAAACTCTAATAAATGGTATATCGGTGCCTCATGCACGTATGAAATCGCTCGAGGCAGGAAGAGCCCAATAACTTAAATGAAATTTCTAAAGTTTACGAAAAACACGTTAGTAACAGCCAGAACCGATTGTTTTGTTTGCAGAAGTCCCGTTTTCGCCGTAGCGATATTCTACCTCTCAATGATACTATTGGTGGGTTTTCTAGAGATGATCTTCGTGTGTTTAGTATTCCGCTGTCTCGCGTCTGATACGATTGTACCTCATCAATGCGAGCGGATCTAACCGTGTACGTGACAGGAGTAATGACCACACTACGTTAATACGTAAGACGTCTGTTATCCTATTATAGAATGAATGATTTATAGAAAATACAGACAAAGCTCTGTTATTTTTTAAACTTATATATTTACTTTAAATTTAAGTTGAAGAAAGATTGAATTTGCGACGCCTAAACGGCGCCTGACTTGTTCCTTCAGTGCTCAGTTTCTGAATTGGTCAATAGAGAATAGATATGGGCTTGGATTCGAAGGCTTTTGTGCACCTTCTGGAGCCTACCACAAGCAATAAAATAAACGTCTATATATAGCAGGTCAACACTCACCGTCGTGTAGGTATGAAGTATGTGTTTGTTCACTCAGAATTGCCATTTCCAGTATTGTTGTTGCCTGAAATATGAAATAGGTAACTTTCTTTATTGACACAAATTGTAAGGTACAAATGTGTATGGCGGATTGAATTTGGATCAGCGAAATAAACCAGAAGTTACCATATCGGAGATGTACACATAACACAAAGCATTACGTATGGTGCTTATAGAAATTCATTAGCTAAATGGCAAAGCCTAAAAATTGACCAAAAAAATATGACACACCATCTTTAAAAAAGGTCGATGCTGAAAACAATTAAAATCAAAAATAATTTTTTTAGCTCGGAGACACATAATAAACAATATCCAGAGAGCCTAGACATGTGACGAATTTTAGACGAAACTCAATCTAAGATAAAGCTTTTACTTTTGTTTGCTGTACGATTTGGTAGACGATAGGAAAATAGAGACGGTGCCATTTTAAACTAATATTCTGTTCTAATATCCCTCTACTATTAGTTAGGCAATGCACAGAACGTTTTGCCCTCTGATGGAATGCCTAACAGCGGTACCGGGCAAAGACTCATTTTTTACTTAAATATTAGTAAGTAGTTTTGTTGTAATCGCTAAATGTTCAATATCTTTGGTCTGTTCTATAATTAGGCGCCCGTTTTACTCGTTTCTGAATAAGGATATTTGCATTATATACATAGTGATATAATCCACTTGATTTAGAATGTTAGATAAATGACGGCGAATGTATATAAAATCAAATTAAATAAAACTAAAGTATAATAAACCTGAATTATCGATTTAAATTTTTGAAAATAACCTCAAGCAATATGAAATTGGCGCTCACTGAGTTAGAAAGGCATATCGTAGACAGAAGGAAACTTTTCGCTAATAAACCTGCTATTTACATGAAACGAAGCTTGCTTGTTTACTGTAGGTATGCAAAGCGCCTTGGAATAACTTGAACGATTCATTTAGTTCAGCTGCGTTTAAAACCAAATGCAGCTGATAGTTTAAATCAGATAATTAACCTCAACACTGCACCGTAAAACTTCGATAGTAACTGAGCAGATATTGCTAAGCTGGGTTTGGAGTTCTTCCTTGTTGGAACAGGTGAGCTTCGTACGCATTTTAACAGTTACACGTCCTTTTTGAAGAACGAAGATAATCCTTTTGTCTAAAAAATTAAACTATCACTATTTAAAATCCACAAAAGTAGCTATGCATGACATTGCGATGTCATCAACCAGCGATAGATTAAGCTGTCAGACTACCCGTCAGATCGTTGATCGGACTTTCGATCAGATTACATGTGAAGCCATATCTCTTACATAGATTTGTGTTCGATATTTGATTAATTGCCTTCAGGGAGTAAATCATGTTTAGTAGCACGAGTAATATAAGAAAGCTGTAAAGCAACAGAAAAATCCTAGCCGAGGTCGAAAACTACACTAAATAAAGTTTCGAAGACGTTTATGTCAAAACCTTAACAAGGAGCGAAATTTCATGGAATAAACATCTGGTTTGTGATAGCTAAATAACGAGACTCATTTGAGACGAGTTTTCGATTTATGACTGGAAACAGTTTGAGTTACAAAGTGAATATGACGGCCTTGACTGGTACCTTCCGCATTAACTATATTAAACTCTTCCATAATGATTGATTTTAGGAAAGGCCAAGTAATGAAGATAGTGACATAGGTATCACCTATTGAGCTACATATTTTATTTTAAAGTTATTTTCTTAATAGAAATTCTGTATGTATTCTGCATAAAAGCTCTATATATATATGTTATCCTATTTAGTGAGAATACGCCCATCTTCATTAATTATAAAATTCTCCTGTTCGGTACTAGTTGTTTAATGCCCAATTAACCAACTTTCAGATGCAGCTCCTTTTTAAAAGGCACCGTCAGAAACGGTCAAGGTGGACCGAAAATCACATCGTCGTCTAGAGATTGTGGGCCAGAGATCTCTATTGTGAAGAATCGTAAAGTGCCCCATTGAAACACGCCGTTTCATTCAACGCTATAAAAGAATTTAAGCATATACTGATGTACATTTCAGCTAGAACAATACTCCTGCATCTTCATATCTATGGCGGGACTGCTGCGACGCTTATGCTCTTCAGTTGTCACCTTGCACAAAGTAGTTATCTCAGGGTCAATCGTTAACTTCCTTTGTTTCGCCGGATCTATAGCTTCTGTCAGCAACAGGTCTGTGACCACCTACCTATACGCCTACGTTAAGCGGACATGTGCTAAGACCATTGGATGTCATACTGCTACGAACTTTTTTTCCTATTGTAATAAATATTGCTGTTCATCCTACGGTCGCAAATACTGTATAGCCGTCTAGCCGAAACTGCCCTCGAACTGTCGGCTGGAAAGGGAGGCAAATGCAGATTCCTAACCAGATGGATCATCCTATCTGAGCAAGAGACGTTCGCTTCGATAGACTATACAGGCACGGACTACGAGCATTTATTTCAACAAAGCGACAGCAATAGTCAGTGATAAATGACAAGTGTTCTGATTGCTAGCAACCATCGATAGGGCAGTATCTGTCAGCGAGCGCCATTCATTCGTCACTATACCGAGCAGTAGCCACTTTGAGTCCCTAAAGTCCACATACTACTGTCGCGTGAGTCGTACACTCAACAGATCTTTGATAGATAAAACCTTCATGGAACATTCCTTTACCTCTTCGAAAAACATAGGAGGCAACTTGCCATATGGAGTATCTTTTCATTTATTCTTTTCTTGCCAATGGATGGACATTAATATTGTTATCTTCAGTGATCATGAAATAGGTGGTTGTTAGCGTATTTACGAGTTAGTTCACATGAGGATCTATTTTTCATTGGTGACCTTCAAACGGATATAGTTATGCGACCCGGGCACGTCTAGTTAGCGGCTTCAATTCAAATCCAGTGAAATGGACAGTTGTCGACAACGTTGGAGTATATGCCACGTGTACAATGAGTATAATTATTACAGTATATATAAAATTACATATTCAAGTAATTATTGTCTTTGACAGACTAGCTACCTTATCTCAAATCAATCAAAAAATCAAAATATTTTTAGACCCCAAGCGAAAATAAAATTGTGATCTTCTTTCCGTTACCTAGCCCTTTGAAGCTACGTTCTAACGCATTCACAATGGGTCATGGAACCATTGCTCGACCCCACAATAGGGCTTACCTTTTATAGAGAAATTAGATCAGTTACTTATGGATTGACTATGAGGACAACGGGAGAGCTATCCCGCCAGTATAACGGCTTAGAATATTGCTATTCCGGTAGAGTTAACTAAACTAGCTACCAAATAATAACTCCGAAACGGTTGATAAATCTATAAACTTACCTTTTGTAAACAGCACGTAACTCCTGATCTCCACGTAAACAGCATGCACCGGCCTGGCCAGTTCATTCACTGAACGTAAGCTTATTGACTTGCACACACATCCTTCAGCCTAAAACGCTGAGCTTTGTGCTTGACATATACAAGAGGTATCCGATTAACTTACTATTATATGCATTTAGCGGCAGCTGTACCAACATTACTGCAAATGAGCATTCTATCCGTAGATACTGTCCACGTATCAGTCGCATTTAGTATCCAAAATAGGCCACTATTTTTTTTTGGCAATGACACGAAGGATCCTCATTAGAGACACTTCGAAAACCCATTCATCGACGTTCCATTTGCCCGCTCGTGTATGCAGACGTGCCAATTAACTGCAGCTATTAGGACAACGATAGACGTCTCGTGGAGGCGCCCCTGTACCCCTACTCACCTGGCACGTGATAAGTGGATCATTCCTATTTTTGAAGAGATTGCGACGAAGTTCCTGTCCGGCCCTCTCTTACTGCATATTAGTGTGGGGACTGGCAGCAAATAGATGTTCGCAGCGGTAAGTGTCTATCTGGATAAATGTACCACGTAGACATCAATGTGTCGCTATATTGTCGAACATTAAAACGAATTATATATTTACTTGTGTGAGAAGTATCCGTTGTATGTACCGTACATTAATCCATCAGATCTAGAATATGAAACTTGTTGTATTGAATGTAAGGGAATATGTCAAAGGTTCCTTGCGGTTTAGAAACGCCCACCAGAGTTATCGTATACCTTTAATAGTAGGCCAAAATCAATATAGACATACGTATATGCACATTCAGCTGTTTCGGTACAAACCTTGCCATAAGCCTTCTCATGCCTAAAAGGTCGCTCGAAATGGTCTCACTTAGGCCAATCAAGATTTATTTTTCATGGTAATTCGTCATTGCAAGTACTAGTTGTTTTACCCTTCGCAGGTTGACGTCGATGATTGTTGTCCCAGGTCTTCCTGGATGAGGATTGTCCTCTATAAACTCCTGCGCGTTTTCGGAGTAATTGAGCTTACTTTACCTTCACGCAATTTCTAACTTCCGAAGATATTTTGTGACATTCGCAGAGCATTTCCTAATTTACGCCCGTTGTTCCATTTGAGAACGTTCACAAATATATCGCCAATATACAAACTTAATTTCACCGAAAAGCTCGAGATTGCATCAGAATGGCATGAAATTCCACCTCCGAATAACAGAAACTTTGCTTTTTTTTTTTGCCAAAACAGGTGTGCTTCACGAGCAGTCAGTCTGCATATATATACACGTGAGCATGGCATAACAGATTATTTGAAAACACTTATTCCTTGTGCTTAAAGCATTGAAAGATCTATGGTAGAGTTAATAAGTGGTGTGCTTCAGCCGAAAAGATTGCCGAGTTAGGTAAATATCAATCGCCAAATCGATGCCTAAAGCATATCGATCATTACTCTGAGAAGCATTAATGTAACTGCAGAGCAGAAATTGTTAGCTAAGTTGAACTGCTCTATGATTACTTATCCTATGAAATGCGAGCACTACGGTCGGCTATGGTTTCATTTAATCGGCCATCTTACTATTGTTGTTCATTCTATGTATCAAAAATATGACGTCTGCAAAGGAGATGGAGTTTTGATAATTTCAATGAGCAACAACAGGATCGTTAGGGTCAACTATGAGATGTTATAGACTATACAATCGTAATATAATCATAACTCCTTGGCCTGAATAAAGGTCTACACTATGGTCAAATGGGTATTTTTGCAGCGAAACAATTCGGACACTGCTAGCGCATACCGCGTTGTCTTAATCCGACGATGATAATTACAGCAGTCGTAGTATTGTTTATATATTTCTATATATATTTTTTGTATAACTGTTAAATTGTAGTAAGTCGTAGAGCCTTCACGCTGTTGACTCACGCTTATTTCATATAAAGCAGACTCACAATTATTCAGATATTACCACAATCACATAAATAAACAAAGCAGTGTTAGTCAGACCTTTCAATCGCAGTCGAGCTACCCAACACAATGATCGACTACAAAAATTGAAAGTGGGATTGGCCAAAAAGTTCCAGATGATGATCTGGCCGATTAGTCGTATCGTATGTACATATTGTTAACATGCTGACTCGTCTCTTTCTGGGCAGCTTCGACTACCGTTCGTTCGATTACAGTTTTTCTTTCTACACAAGAAAAATCTGTGTCATTGTTCATATAAAACCACAACACGATAGAGAAGCAAACACTACCGCATTTCAATTTTCTTAACCAAGCTGTCACCTCGACGGGCGAAACATTTTACGACGATTATGTGCCCCAAGGACAAAAGATAAAAAAAAGATATAGGATAGATATCATGCTGATAGTAAAACGGTAACCCTGCTACAGTTAACGGCAATCCTCTCGAAGACGTTCGAACGAGTAACGGATCGTTGCTTCGACTAACAACAAAGCAATAGTCGCGTACTGTAGTATTTTATCTATACATGCAGTCATGAACTAACAGCGCTTACGAAGCCTGCTGCTTGATGATACTCTTAGCTCTCATCATGCACCGGCTCTTCGTGCCGATGCACGCAGGACGATCAAGCCATTCGGAATGCGACCGTGCCACCCGAAATGAAACTGATTGAAGCCATTGACATACAAGTACGTTTATTCCACTATACCGCTACCTCCCACTGCTATCTTGGTACTTGGCCCGAGTTACGTTTACATATGTTTGGAAAAAAATTACATTAACTCCCATCTAACCAAGCTAGCCACTTATTCAGGCAGTGGGTCTCTATACCTAAAACGATACGCTTGTCTGTGAAACTAATTCGTTGCGTTTATTCAGGCTTAAGCTGGGACTGCACCGTGGCCGCCATAAACGGACATCCTCCGCGGTGAAGGTGCTGTGAGGTGAAAACCAGATTTCATCGAATGATGATAGGTTTTTATATTCTAGTCCTTTTCGGGTTAGGTAAGTGATCTCTTCCATAATCTTCTCAGAAAATATACATTTTGATGTTCTTAATAATCGCAAAGGCCGTTGTTTTAATTCAGTCACCCCGCTCCATATAAATTAACCACAATTCCCATAGTAAATAGTGCAAAAGAAGGTACCATTGTCGATTAATAGTTTCCTGTTTTAGCAAAATCTTACATCTGAAATATCGAGAGCCACTGGGACAGAATAGTGAACGCTATATCTAAATCTCCTTCCACGTTAGTTCACTGATTGTAGGGCGAATTTTACACTCGGTGCAAGACCTCAGTTCAATTCGCAAGCTTGATTATTTCGCGAAAATCGCAATGGTCTTTTCACACCTTCGTAGTGAAGGCCTACCTGGCCTCTTCAGTTTCATGGTCTTGCTTACAAATGGTCAAGACTGTTTCGAGTCTTGCGTTTGGCACTCTCTACAGATAGCGGGGGGTGATTTCCGATAGTGACGCGTCAATGCTTTACGCAACAAAACACTTCGAACCATCGAGCAGAAGTGAAGTTCCTAAATCGCTACCCAAGCTCTAGTTGACTTGTCAACTATGCTAGCTTCAATTATGACAAAGTCTCCTTGGCAAACTTTGACGTTCGCTATCCTTAAGCCACAGATGGATAAGCAATATCCGTGAAATGACACTATTTACTATAAAGTGTGCCAAGGAATTGCAATTTTTTTTAACATAGTAGTCAGGGGTATTTATCTGAGTAATGCTTTGCCTGGTCCTGTACATCCAGTGCCACTCTAAAACATACCGTCGGTTCAATGAATCGTTTCGCAAAGAGACCGATGAGACGTACAGCTTTCTGGGCGGACAAGACATATTTTATTCATACAACAAAATATTGCGACTCTAAGAAAAGTAGCAATAAAATTAACAAAGACAACAGTATTAAAATTGCGCCTTCAGCGATGCCGCAGTAAGGTGTACGTTTTCCACTACGGAACACGCGAATCTCAGATCCGATTTTTAGAGTGAATATATTTGTTTCGTGCTGAAGATAATATAATACCAACGTAGCTCCGGACGCAGAAGGCGAAGCATCTGTTGCCAATAGCAGCATTGGTTACCGATTCACATTAGAAAAAGTTGTCCCTCATATTAGGTGAGGAAATGCGTTAGAAAGACAAAAAAGAAACAGAACGAAAAATCTACTTCGTATGGATCCTCAACTCCAACCTAATTATTAAGCATGCTTTGAGGGTTATTTAATAGGAGAGCTGTATATATATATATATACACACACACATATGTGCTGGCCGATAACATGTTGGTCAACGAATGACGACCTGGTTCATACCGTACGAAGTTGCCAGGTCAGTCGAATGGCATTGCAGGATGGCCACGATATCATTAGCGTACCACGCTGCGAAAGGCCAGTGCGTGGATTAGCATCGCTGTTGTGACGGTTGACTGTCACAGTCAAAAATTCAAGCAATAAACGGCAGCTATTCGAACACGGTCGAAGTATAAAAGGATCGGTCAACGATGCACCTAGTCTTCCATAACATATACATATAAAAGAATATCAGTTTTTGAAAAGATGAAACATAAGATTTACAGTTGATAGCCAAAAAGCGGCATATTGATCAAGGCAAATTTGTAGCGGAAACTTGATTTGTGACAGACACAGCAAAATTCCCCATAAAGATCAGCCCCTCCACCTAGGATGGGGTAGCAGTATGTAATGGGTTTAGGTCACTGGATGTTTTTCTAATCAACCTTAGCCTTTTGCACTGTGTATCTGTTTAGACAGAAAATACGCCAACTAAATGAGGCATACATATGTATTAAAAGAAAAGTGCAAACAAATTATAAACACATTGATTTATTATTAATCTACAAGTGTATATATATATCTTATGCATAGGTTTAATTTCAGGTTCAGTTGATACTGCTCGGCAATCAAATGAGTTTATGGATTACATGCTGCGGCTGGTCAATGGGGAAGCTGAACCGTACCGGCTCGAGGCCCTTCCAGTTCCAGACTTTAACGTTACCGTAAGTATCATTGCTGACCGAATTCTAGGTATTACGTATGTTTTTCTTAGAATATACAATCAACTAATTACTGATCCACGGTTGGGGCAATCATTGAGACACCAATTATGTCTGTGGTCGATGCGATACACTGCGGTTATAACCAGTCTATATGTTTCATCAAATATATGTACACATCTTAATTACTGTCTACGTACCATTGCACTGTTCTGAGCAGCACCCTTTTAGGGGCAAAATAATTAATGAATTGAAAATGTCGTTTTGTTTCCATAGACCAGCACAGTGGAATCAGGTGTAGATATCGGTTGCTGGATATCTACACAAATGCCATAGTAGAAGCAACGCGTAATGGGCAGAACGCTTACACGCGTGCCTGAATCAAAAAGAGTCGTTTCCCGGTAGATATATCTGTCATTTTTCGAATCGAAATTAAAACAGAAGAAGTGCAGAGCTTGTAAATGAAATATCTCCGTTGATAGAAAACACCTTTAGTGGCTGTTATGATGAAGCAACGAAGAAAGTACTCTACATACGTACTATAATATTTTCAGGTAAACTCAAATTGGTTTACCAATCGCGCATTTAAGGCTAAATTTCAGAAAGGCACAATAAGAGGATTGACACGAATTAGGCGAAAAGGCGACTGTCAGCCCACCCGATGGATCCATGGAAATATTACGGTAGATATACATGATACCTCAAAGCTGCCTAGCTGTAGCAAGACCTTTCTGTTGTTTAAGGGGCACTATATAAACGAGTACTCAATTTTTAACCTCTTTGCTTCTTGCAGTTTCTAGGCGTGCAAATCTAAAGCTTATGTGTACTACTCGGATAACATAATGTCTTCCTTAAAACATGTTTCGTTTTCTGGATCAGCTGGTTTGTACGTTGGATCTCTCAACGATCATTGCTAGTTACGAAGTTAATGCTAAAGGACACAGCTTGAACCCACGAACAGATTGGATGGATGTTCATGTGAAGGTTGAGGTCGGGACGGCGGGCTTTGAAGCACAATCATTTCCAAACAGACCTCCCTACATTAAGACATTCATAATTCAACTGTAAGTAGTGATCATTAATCTGAAAAGGGCAGCTTCAAAATTCGGCATTTTTAAACAAGTTACATAATAGGCGCGTCTCTGTCCTTCGTAAAGCTCGTGAAGTTTTTAAGCTTTTACCTATAGCATGCTAAGTATTGCATATACAATATTTAGTCAAAAAAATACTGACTGAACATATACGTACGTTGCATAACTCGTAAAAACAAGACATTAACGACCTTAGTTTAATGTAAGTGGCGACTGGTGATTCCTTGCTGTTATATAATCTATTTTTCCGCCCTGATCAATCCAAATCATTAAAGTACGTCTAAACCTGGTGCTTAACTATTGAAGTGCTACTCAGACAAAACGAATGCGACCAAAGTTTAATTTTTATACAGACTGCTACCTTATTTCGAAGCTGTAATTATTGTTTTCAGAAAAAAAAATTAACATACTGTACATGCAGCCTAAATCTATCAAAAACCCATTATGTAAACTCAGAAGTAGTTCGTTATTGACTCGGGCCGTAGATAACTTCATCGTTGATTCCTCTGTATATTGCGTTTGTTTCATGTGGCTGAAAACGTCGCTGCGTTCTCTGGCTTGGACAGACCATTTGAGCTGTCGGTAAGACGGGTGCCTCGGAAGTCTCCCATAGATTTGAACGAGGGTCGTAGCGTCGAACTCACCCGTCAAATCGTGCAGTATGCAGAAAGAGCCATCCAGGATGCAGTATTGGGCACGTACCTCAAAGCGCTGACGCGAGTTATGACCAAAAATTCCGACGTTCTGATATTACCGCCGGTAAAATAACGCCGGCATCTGATATGACTTACTCCAAGGCGAATAATCTCTATGATTATTTTGTATAGAAATGTAGGTTAGGGCTAACCCGTCTCTCTCTCTCTCTCTCTCTCTCTCTCAGTGACATTAAAGCAGTATATAGCAAAGAACATAACAGTGAAATCGCTCACTTTTGTATCTGTTCTTCTTGATCAACTCAACTAGCAAAATTCTATTGTAGGATTAATGCCATATTGAAAACAGTGCTCAGCGTCAACAACGCAAATAAAGCTCGATACATTTAGAATCATAGAGCCAATAAGTAGGACCTGTTGGACGAGATTTTGCGTTTGCCGTTTGTTATATATACAGTACCTTTGCTGTATATAGAAGGTGTTAAAAATGTGATGCATATGGAACCTATACTTCCTGAATAGGCTTTTACTGATTGTCTATTCTGATTGAATTAAAACGACAGAAAAAAACGTTCAACGCGACTTGCTTTGCACACGGCCGGGTCACTTTTTGAACACTCGGTATATTCATAGTTATCGACTGTCATTGGAATAAACAATGTAACAGTAAAAGTTTAAATAAATAGCGTTAGAAACAAACTAGTTAAATCAGTGTTATGCTATGGCACGTAATTCCTACCCTTCACATAAGTGAGTATAGTTACTCTGAATAGAATAACTCATGCTGAATTTAGTGTGTACGTTCGCCAATTAGCTCTTGAACTAAATTTCCTTTCTTTCCTTTATTTTAAATTTTCCTTTTCTTTGCAATATACCTTAGTCACTTCATTTTTGTATCGTAATGTACACAGAAAGTAATTAAATGGTTAGGCTCAAATATTTAGCTAGTAATTAATTAACAAAAAGTTCCACTATTAAAATTTATTAATTATTATTCATATGCTATCTTCAAAAGCAATATGGCATTAAAGCTGGTCATTTTTTTTTCGAATTTGTGCCCAATGTTGCTTGTTCTGTGGGAAAAGTACGCGAAGAAATCTAGGTAAGCAATGCGAAAGAAATGAAAATCGGCAACAACTAAGATGGCCCTGTTTATAGTAACCAGCGAACGATAAGGACCTTTGTTCCGGCCACATAACTTGTAACGTATGTTAGCTGAGCAGAAACTTTTTATTAACTTATTCGATAGCATTAGAACAAGCATGAGTGTTTTTCGTTTATCTCTTTTCTAAAATAGAACTTCTGGAGCCGGCTAGCTTCAAACTTTCAATGAAGTGTGCCCTCAAACCAAAAAGCTGGCCAAATGAGTCCTATACACGTTATCTCATTTTTCACCTTTCAACTTCTGGAACGCCTGGAAAATGTTTAACTGTAAGGTAAATACGGTCGGCAATTATCTATCTAAAACTCAGACACACGTTTTTTTTTTTAAATGAGGTAATCATAATATAAATGAATATCTTTCAATAATACCATACTTTAAGCATTACTGGGGAGGTTCGATCCCCTTTAACCAATTATAGTAATTAATCAAAAATACAAATGACCATTGAACACTGCATCCAACCTGTCAACGTAGGTCTGCTGCCGCAGAGTTCATCTTATTCTTTGTTCCTTAAATGATTAAAGCAATATGTCATCGTAACAACCACCAAGATCACTGCACGAGGCTGCTCTTCGACGTTAATTATCTCGCTCAATTTAATTATATCAGATTTATTGCGCACTGAAAATTATAATTAGCGCATCATCTTTCGCTCCGTTTTCATGCGCCTGTCAACTGGTCTTTACTTTGGCACCAGGATATGGCGTAGCATTTAACTATTGTATGCAACAACTGTATGGCAACTCTTATCTATTAACTGCGTAGTAATTCTTATCTTACTAACTTTTGAATATGGTTGCTTTTCGTAATTATGCATGCTCGTTAGATTTTAGTGTTATTTGGGGATGACAGTTCCCGTATTTTCATAATGCTAAATAATGTTTAGCATGTTGGTAGTAGTCTATGGTTCCACTGTAGGTATTTCAATGCATAGTTTAAAAGGGCCTACGTGAGGAAAACATTTCATTAACAGCAACTAATTTTATTTTTAATGCCTTAATTTTCTTTGAAACAAATATCGGTGATATGTTTATATGTTACATGTTGGAACGTTAACCCGATTACTTATAAAATAGTCATATTTTAAAAGATTTGGATTCTTTTGAGATATAATCGTAATAAAGTATTGCCTTTATACGAACCTAAAGAATTGGATTATCTTTTGAACACTTCAACCTAATATTAAGATTATTGAAAAGAACTTTGTGTTAGAATAACAAGATGAAGTCACTCTGCAATTATTATCTATAATTCTAAAAGGCTGGCTTTAACAATAATGCTCTCGTATAGTTGTACCCAACATCAAATTTATAAAATTTCTATTGTTACGTAGTAAACACTCAAGTGAAAAATGTCACCAGGCCAAATCTATCAACCGAAAAATATAATAGTATACATATTTATTTTTTATACGTTTTACTCATATTCGCGCAAAGAACATACAATTGTTTAATTACTTTCTCTAGCCTTCTCTATGTTCTCTCTTAACTTCCTGATACATTCTATTAGACGATTATTCCGTTAGTCTTTGAGCATTTCGTTTTAGAATTTATTTAAATCTGGGAAATTAAAATAAAATAATTCAAAAGAACGTACGCTTGTTGCAAGCGAAGGTACTTTAAAGATTTTCATATCCAATCTATATTTATGATTCTTCATTATTGCTTCTACATTGCTCTTATGCACCGTTGAAGGCATGTTAATTTGAAGGCATCTGTATATATGAATCATACCGCAACAGAACCTTCGCAGATAAAAGTTCCTTTAGAGCCCAGCAAAAATCATCTTCAAACTCAATAGGAATTGATAGTCGAATTTTGATAAGTAATAGGTGTTCGAAGCACGCATCTCCGTTGATCGGGAAATTACCGTCTTAGACAGTGACGTACTCTGTTGAAGTATAGAGTGCTCCATGCAGAGTCCACAAGGTTATGCAAAATTGAAAATATATTTTTGGGATTCATGCTAGGCCAGAGACAAGTCCGGCCCTTCTAGACAAATTTAAGATCAATAACACTTTAAGCATGTTTCGAAAACTTCGCTCGAACTGCCCTATCTTGCGCTATACTTGGCAGTCGCAACGGTTCACTTGACCGATTTTCCACAGTTTAGTCAAAACCAGAAGGACACAATTCAGAAAGTTGTTACATAGCGTGAGGTTATGGTCTTGCTATCCCAGCTGAGAAAAAGCTGGACTATTTTCAGGCTAGAATATTACATAATTTAATTATATACAAATTTTTTACTCACTCTCCCAACACCCTTTCCCATTAGATTCCTGGTGAGCATCGGAGCTCGCCTCCGTTTGGCCGCCAAAATTGGCCCCAGCGAATGAACAACTGGGCCTCGTGGACGCAACCCGACAGCTGTGCGTCTTTTTCAAAAAAGCAGATTCGGTTGATGTCACTTTATTGTACAAAACTGCCTTAAAATAATTAGGTATAAATCAGGAAATAGGTCACAAGGGTTGATATTTCCATGTGGGTATTATGATCATTTGCTTTCTTTATTTCAAATCCAAATATCTGATGGACTACGTATGTTCTCATATCGTATTAACAATAAGTAAATCTCTAATACGATAAATTCGATTTCGATTTGTACGTCTGCTATTTCCGTTGGGCGTTACCCCAATGGAACTACGAAGCTGGGTATATTACTATAATCTTGGGAAGAATATGCACGGTATTAGGACGGGATTCGGACATCTGCCTTGCGAAATCCTATGTAATTGTGTTACATCAGTCGTTTAATAAATACTTTATGTGAACACGCAGGAAATATGTATTGGACAGTGCATTAGATAGACTCTTCACAACAGAGCTTTCCTGTTCCATAGTATCTCCGTTTTGAAATTCCGCTGCATGTAAAGCCCGTTGGAAGGCACGCGAATGTTTAACCTATTACTACCTAGAACCAAAAAAAGAAGAGACATTATTCTCGTACGAGATTCTTTTTTTCTCCATAGTAAGATAAAAAGACTTTGCCAAGACAAACATGCCCCAAGGAGCAGACGACAATCTTTGCGGTATCGGCGCTTACGCCTGACCCGTGAGTTTGAATCTGTTAATTGACAGCGGGAAAAGAAAGGCTAAAGCCTGCCATAAAGCTTTGTTAGTTAACCCAATGAGAATAAAAGAAGCCATTATCTATTTTAAGAGTTTAAGTACGTGCCCGTTAACGGCATGATAATACCTGTGCACCGTTCAAGTCGGATGACATCTGATTGTCCTTGTTATGGTGTAGTAAATAGCGTGTTTGCCCGATGAATCTGAGAGAAAAGGTGGTGATTTGGGTTCGAATCCAAGTGTGGACATAGTTCGTTTTGTAGTGGAAGCCAGTTCTGCGATAGAATACCTAATAGTCGCACAAGAAGTAAAGTTTGAAACATTTAGATAAAAAGTGCTGCTTCTTAATATTAATATTACACTAGTAAGTATGATCGATGAGTTTAAAACTGTATCAGAGGCAGGAATCGTGAGCAGTTATAGAATTTGAGATACAGATTTTATTGTCATCGAGTTTTTTCGGTACTAGTACATGTTTATGATAGTGGTCCGGCATTCGGCGATAGAACATTTAGAGTAAACATTTTAGCACACAATGTTAAAGATTTGGATGTTAAAGGCTTCGGTAGTAATGTGATAATACAACATCAAACTATCTTGTAAAATTCGCTAGGTTCATTCTAAAAATGCTCGTATTACATTGACAACTATTCGTGTTTCTACTCTACGGAAGAGGGTTTCAGTATGGTGAGGCTGTTTAACAAGGTAAGAAAGAATGCAATAAAAGGCTGAATTTGGACCGCCATTATTTACGACATTATTCACCTATCTTTCCGCCAACTGAATTTCTCGCCAAAAAAGCGAAACGGCATCCATCATTTCTACCATGCTTTGAAATGCTGATTCATGTCGAAGATAAGGCTACGAAAATCTTTGCCCAGTGCGCAATGGAAATGATCGTTAGTGCAATAAAACCTCCTATTTGAATTTCGGCAGGACAGCTTTGATGATGCTTGACGTCTGTGATCTCACATTGTCATGGGTTACCTCGTTTGTCGGGTTTTTTTCTCTTAAATAGCCTGGCTTATTAAATACCCTATTGCGCAACAATAGGTTGACGTGCCGGTACACTGTCTGGTTCGTAGGAAGCAGTTTCCAGTGAATCAGGCCCTACCGATGAAAGCATAAGTTTTTTTTGACGAAGATCTGATGGGACCTTAAAGCTTGGCTTCTTTACTGAAGCCACTTGTTTCGATCTCTGGTTCATATTGGCGTCTAAACACCACCCTTAGTGATACAAATCCATGCAAAAATCTAGAGAGGGATTTAGGGAACTCATTTTGTGCCTCAGCTTTCAATTCTTGTGTAAACCTAAGATACTTGAATGGGTTAACAACGGTTGTATGGCTACCCCAATTTTTTCGGCCAATTCGCAAGCTGTTTGCCAGCTGCTTTTTCTCAAATATGCCTTTAAGTGGTAGCCGTCAAACCTAAAGTAACAAAGCGTGGGGCATTCTCTAGACCCCGTCTAAAAGCCGTCTTCAAACTTGGCAAACCATTTTTGAGCAGTTTTATTGCCTATAGCGTCGTTGACGTACGCAAGGCGAATGTCTCGGGTTCTTCCGGCAGTGCTTCGGCCTCGATGAAATGTATATTACAAAAAATGTTAGAAGTGCAGTTTTTTTCGCCTGGAACATTCATCTTTGAGAAGAGCTTTCGAGTTGAAGTAATATTCGCAACCCAATACTGTTCTAGCAGTTGGCAGGATAAGTAGAACACTTTCTATAAGCATATAAACAACAAGCGAAAGAAAGTGAAAAAAGAAGCTTTTTTGAAAAGCAGGGAAGCTCATTTTATACCTAATACCTGTAACTAAAAAAAGTGATGCACTTTATGTTGAAGAACAACTTTTTTAATATTGACTTGACAAGTAAGTTGCTCGATTTTTCGACGCAAACACCAGGGTCGCTATCGCCGTTCGACTGAATATTTTCAGACAATATGAGGCCAAAACTCGCTTCTGGATTTTCCAACCCAAGATATGTATAGACATCTCTTACTCCTTCTAATTGTTTCTTACATGCAGATCTAAACTAGATTTTCTTATCGATTCACCAGCAGCATAATTGTAAGTCATCATCTATAAACAGCGAGGCGCAATGTGCTTTCATCGTATCATGCACAATTTATGGATATACAGTGTTTCAAAATCTTTTTGGAGACAATCTGGACTGCGGGTAAGAAATAATATTTCCAGACGCTTATTGCCAGTACTTTTATAACCTTATTACATATGTCGCATATGGTGTAAGTGAACAAATCTCAACTAAACGTATCCAAATTAATAAAAATCTATAAAACGTACAAGTACTTTGAAATAATAGGCCGCCAGCATAGTTGACAACTTCTTGGATATGGAGGCGCGTCTTCAAGGTATCGTAGAGAAATAGTGAGGTTGGACTTTGCATAATGATTGTCTAATTTTTTAATATTTATTTCACAATTTTATGGTAAATTCGTTAACTTAAAGTTAAGTACATGTGAAATTAATAAAGAAGACACATGGAAGTAATAGCTTTTATTTAAGTTGTCTGCTTGACTTTGGTGTTTGACATGAGTCTGAGCTTGCTAGCATACTACTTTTTGCCTTAATCTTATCCAATTTGATGCCCTGGAATTCCATATAACATCGGAGTGGACAGAGAAGTTGGGCTGACCGTTCTGAAAAGTTCTCTTTAATGTGGTCTAGATGTCTTGAGGACATTACCGCCCCGTGCCATCTAAAGTGATTCTCAAATGAATTTAAAATGGAATCGACCTCTGATAAATCCTGCCACAGACACTGAAATCGATAAAAAAAATCCAGCTTATTAAGATATTTCTTACATTGCTTATGTTATAAAGAAAATATTAACTAGAATTCTTTGAGATCTTAAACATCAAGATTTTGGGAAATCTATACACCCAAAGTCTTGCTCATCATACTCAATGTTGTATCCAAGTATTTGTCGAGTTGTTTCGTCTGAAGTGTTTATAATCTTTACCAGATTATATCTAGTACTAGCTAGGCATCTTATGCAGCTGTGAAAGTTTTATCCTTTATATATTTTGTAGTCAGTTACTAACGTGAGAAGTAGCGACTGGCAATCGTTGATCGGCTCATGTGATGGCGCATGAATATAATTAATAGTCATTCATTTCGTCTACTAGATGTATCTAATTAAGAGACTGCGATTCGAAGGTATTGATGATGACCTCGAGGATTCCAGGGATCTTTAATCAGTAACTACTCTACTGTACTTCTCACGTTAAATATCTTACCTCAATGACATCATCACAATCTTTAATTATTTTCACATAACTGCTGCGTAAGTGACTTGATGGCTTCCCTTTTTCATTATCTTCGGTATCCAAAGCCGCTAAATCAATCCCAGCCAAGTCATAGCTAAGCTGTACTCGTGCGTTTCTAACCGAATTCAACACAGATTTCATTTCTGCAATAGCAAAATTTATGCGTACCAAATTATGCCATGCACACAATGTGCTTACAAAATAACAGCAGCCGTACTTGGGCTATGTCTAAAGATCAAAGTGGAAGAAGTTACCGAATAGGATTAAGTCCATAATATTAGGGATCAAAAAGAAGTTCATTATGCTGTAAGATGGAAAAGCCAAATAATGAATAGGTTAGTATGATTCACTTCCATTTTGTGTGTGTATGTGTCGGCCATTCGCCGTAACGACCAACAAGAATCATCTACAACAGTGTTCTGTCGCACATTCGGACCTTCTACCTGTTATTATAGTTTTAGGTTTATTGATTTCATTATGGCGGGCGATATCCAGCTTCCGTTTGAGATTCCTCAATGCGTCCTCATTTAGCACACCTGGAGTTCCAAATACCTTTTCGGCATTTTCTGCTGTCACCTGCATTGTTCAAAGGGTAATGTTTATAAAAGGTGAGTTAAACGACTACCAAACGGATTTGAACACAAATTGGCATCGTCAAATTAACTAATGTCATTGTTTAACATAAAGCCATACTTTTCATTTAACAGTAATAATATGTGAAGAGTCAAAAGTTTAATATTGATATGCTATACCGTAGGTAACATAATCCTACATATCCAACGCAATGCCAAGAACTGGCTATGCCTTTTTCTATAATATATCTATAGATATTTCTTAAATCGGCGGAAACGTTTACTTATTTGTCAAATTGGAGACATATTTCAAGATTCCTAAGTTCACACATAATCTATAATATATCGTATAATCCATTTTGCCTATTCTTTACCTCGGTATACATCTGCTCATAATCACAAAGAGGTGCCCATAAGGGTGCGAGTTCATTCTGAAGTGATTTCCATCGAGGACGTTCTCGATATAGGGTTAGCAAAAAACGACAAAATGCCTTGTCTGCTACTGCAAATTTATTTGGTGACTCTTCAAATTCTGTCGTCGATGGCGAATTCTGTTGACAACTACCCTTTTCCATTTTGTCTTCTTCTATTCCGCTTATTAAGCTGTTGTTAGACACCTGAAACAGTAGTTTAGATATTTCAAAAAACTAGCTCTAAACATTTTTCGGCTTAAAAACTCTTAAATTTGCTTAGAATTAAGACAAAAATAATAGTGGCAAGGGTTTTCCATATAAATAGGCCTAATTTTATTTTTATTTCGACTTCAAATTACATATGTTTCCTAAATTCTTTTAATGGCGGCGACGATATGACAAAATATCTCAGGATAAATTTGTGACACAAACGTTTCAAAAATTGGCAGCATTTGCTTAACTTAACTTGAAAATGGAGTTTAGGTCCACTAAATAGTGGTCGACAAAAAAGTTCACGACACCTACCATTATTCCAATGCAAAAAATTGCTTTCTTATTTCTAGCTGAAGTAAACTTAAACCGTCCCACAAGGAAACTTCTTATATATATATATATATAGAGTTTTCAGTTTTATGCAAAAAAAAAGTTAACGAGTCAAAATGTAGTCTGAATTAAATCCTGGCCTTCTAACCATCTTAAACATGTTCGCGAATATACACACTGCTCAACAAAAAAAAACATCACGTCAGGTAAGGTATGCCTTTCTTATTATTAAGCAATATATATATATAAATATATCACTTAAAGAAATCGGCCGTAAAACATTACGTTAAATAGCATAGGCTAACTGTAGGTTTTCGTTCAACCTACCCATAATTGTTAAACGATTTTAGCACTCGACATCTTTAGTCTCACCACAATCATAAGGAAGATCTCGTACTTTTTTTACCAAAGAAGGACACTTCTTCTAGTGCTATCTCCAAAATATAGCAAGATCAATGGACACCCAAACTGACATATAGAATCTAACTTATTGCGATCAATTCTCGCGCACTTGATCACGCTCTGTCAGTTCTCACGGCGAAGATCAGCCGGAGCGCTCGACAACAACAACGTGGATCCGTTCAGAACTAATCCGCAACTTCCTTGTTCCGAGGATTAGAGCTTCTGTCGAGGGGAACCCATAGTAGTTTAACATTACGTGCGTGGTCACTGCAGAATAAATTTGATTATATATTCTGTGATATATTTAACGTCCAGATTTCAGGCGTATTATTGTTCGTGTCTCAGATCAGATGAGTGTATGTGTTAGAGAGCAACTATGGTTCTGTTATTAATTGACAAATTGATCCCATATGCTGTTGCAAAAGATCAACGTTCTTTTATTGGTAGTGGTAGTTAACTGGTAAAACTCTCCCACCGACACTGCTTACTATGCCCCGTGGATACCGGAGGAATATTGGTTAACTGCATTTAACACGCAAATATGTTGAACTATAAAAAAGTGTTTCTATCATCAATGATTAAGAGCTGTCCTGGGTAATTTGTGCTTTACTTAGATTTTTAGTTTCACCGATCTTTGGGTGATTCACATATTCATTGAAGTAGGTTTCGACAGGCGAAACAGATACATGGAAACAGTTATAAGTTACAAATGATGCGATGCCCATGATCAAAATAAGCTTGTCATTACCCTTTTATGCAACTGGGTAAATTCGTAGAAGAGTACATTACTTTACCTTTCCTTAATGGTTACAGATATAGAGAAGTTCTTGGAATCTTTATTTTGTGTGTAATGTCTTTCAGCTTTTGGTACCAATGGTTTAGTTCGCGTTAGTCCGGATCACACGGTTGTTTAACGATGTCACCAAAGCCCTCCATTCGCTTGCAGTGCAAAGTGATATTCATATTACATGTATCTGAATATTTACTGATGTGTCGTTGTGGAGCGGGACACATGACGAATACGCCTGTAAGCGCTGTCGATACGTGTTCAAGCTGAAATGCCGGTTACAACATGCATGCGGCAGGTATTTTATATTCTGTACAATTTGTGACACGAGAAGCACCAATTCGAATTATTACATAACAGCCGGAATAGAGTGATGTTGGAGTTCGTTGGATCTGAATACCGTAAAATGAGGTCCATAAGAGGTGTTCAAATATTTGTTAGCGCACGAATCTTAGAATTTTATTAGTGTTATTCTTACATATGTTCTAGCATCTTTCCAGTTAGCGACATCATTCTAGCCATGAGTAAGAGAAATGGGAGAATTATATCATTTATTAATGTAATGACACCAGTTTTTCGTATTGCCTAAGCACATATATGTGCGCTTTCTTTGAAAAATCCTGGCCTGGGATATCTTTTAACAAAACGAATTGACCTAGAAACCAACATTTGACATTAGGCCGTCTAGACTGCCATTTTCTTTTGTAAATAAACCGAACTGATCCGATTTAGCTCGCATTATGCATCTTACTAGCATTGTATCATTTCGCCGGTTAAGTTTTTATACCCTATAAGTATCGTACGTTGTGGTCTGAACTCTATATAAAGTATACTTATGTGAAGTAGCTGTACCATAGTTGTTTTAAGTCACGGAGCATCGCAGTAACGTTGGTAAACCGGAGCAGGCACTTTTGCCAAGCAGAACTCTGTACAAAGATGTCAACCTACGTAAAGTAGGAATAACATTCAGACAACAAGCTAACCTAATAGTAATAATATTGCAATAATAAAACTAGATATGGTTTTTAATATTAGGAGTAAAATTGACGGTAGCGATTCCGGCGCATACGATAGCCATAGAAGATATTATAGTGAAGTTCACGAGGTTCTACCCGCAAACCAAACAGGTCTTTCAACTGGTTTTCTGAATTTATTAGCGATCAATATCGTGCGTTAGTTGTGCTCCAGTGTTTCCAAAAGCATTATAAACTCATATCTCAAATATATACGATAAACCTGGCTGGGATGAACTTCGACACTAACATTTATCTTTTATGCCCTCTTAGTTTTCGTAGAATTGTTTTGTAAGATGAATGCAAAAATAAGCCAAAGCAAGTAATACGTGTCTTTTATGTTTGAAAAAATACGTTGTTCATTGGAACAATTCTTGGTATCACACATACATGCGTAATGTATGCAACATAGTACGCCGTCCAGTCTAAAAGCTTTAAAGCGATGGTCATCAAACTTGTGAAGCTTGTTTACCGAACACGTAGACTAAGCGACCATTGATTAGTTTAAATAGATTTTTTGTATTTTTCTTTACTTTATTTAACTTTACAATATTAGTGCCTAGCAGTAGCATGGCTTTTCTGTTTTCAGATAGCGCAATGGAACTAACAGATTACATTAAGGTTACCAGGGTGGACAAAGTTTTTCTCTACGAGAGCCACCAGCCACGAATTGAGGGCACCCTTGTCGTTTCTTCATACAATCTCATCTTTTCTCAGTTAGTAGCTCCTGTGCCTTCGCCAATAACTGAAGAACACGACTGCCTTAAGCCAAATAGTAACGAACTATCAAAAGGCGGTGGGGAATCGTCACAGCCGCTAGTAAAACCTAAAGAAATATGGGTAAGCGATTTTATTTTTATTTCCATACTTTCCATTGAAGCTTTTTGCCCTAAGGTTTTCCCATAGATACCTGCTTTGGATTGATTGAAATATTTGACAAATTGAAATAATACTTATTTATGGGTACACTGGTCTGTTAGGCTGCAGGTTCCATGTCATGATTTACACAGATAATATGTAGAAGTCGTATCTCCGAGCACAGTTGGATGCAAAGTATTAGTCTAACTTTGTTTTATGGAGGTCGAAGGTAGATGGTTGTGATCTTCCTTAAAGAATAATTTTGTAGCTTCGTAGGCCTATAGTGATCTTACAAAGTAATGAGGATACGAAGCGTAAAGATAATAATATCACAGGCGTCATTTACATGATTAAAATGACAGCGTTCAGTTCTTAAGATAAACTTATGTAAGGACAGTAAAAACGTTTTCACCTTTTTAACCTGCTTTCAACCGATTTTTCGTCCAGGTGTTACATCGAATGATCGACGTTGTGGAACACCGTTCGAATTCCACTATGCTATATCTAAAATGCAAAGATCTTCGCTGGTTAAAGCTCGACATTCCAGGTGTTGACAATTGTCAAGCAGTTGTAGACTCAATCAACGTACTCAAAAAACTTACCGGTGGTAAGAGTTCATTAAATATGTAGCCAGTTGACGTTTTTTGATGGGAGTAAGCTTTTAAGCCAGAGTATGACAGCGACTAATCGTCGGCAACATTTTAACAGACGCTTACGTTTAGTGTTATTTACGTAGCTTTGCGTGAACTTTTATCAATAGGAATAATAAACGTTTTGAAAAATGGCATATATATACACTCTACCTGCACTTTTCAAATATTTAATACCTATTTGACATTTTCTGTTTAACATTTCAGATGAAGTTCGTATGTGCTATCCATTTTACTACAGACCACTGTTCAAGAATCATTCCCAATCCCCAACTCGCGAGATTCCCGCCCTGCCTTCCAAAGGCCGTTGGCGAGTTAGTAACTTGAACAAGGATTTTCTGATATGTCAGTCATATCCCACGACGGTCGTAGTTCCGCAAGATACGACAGACGAGGAAATCATAGGTAAGTGGTAAACTCATCCGATTCCTAGTACGTGATTTCACTTGACAAAATAATAAATCTATAATTGAGTGCAACTATTGCATAGTACTGCAAGTACGGACTTTGTTGCTTCCTATCCCCGAGTTTTATATTTGGTCAAACACATACAACCCACTAGAAAAGTTGACTCGCTACAAGGGAAGTGATCACTGGTTTTTAAAAAGTAAAGTTCTTTATTTGCTATTTTTTATTTTATTTTGAGCTGTACATTGCGGCTACTATTTGGGGCTGTACTGCTTTCTCAATTTCCACCTAACAAAGCTTAAGTACAATAAACTCCATGCTTGTACGCGCGCATTATTCTAAAAGAATCTTCACAGTTCCGCGAGGGAGGTCGTTTTCCGGTATTAGCGTATAGCTCTTCAACGACTAGCGCTGTTCTACTACGCAGTGGACAGCCATTGGTAGGACCGGCCGGGCGTCGTTGTCGAGCCGATGAAAATTTGCTCAGCAATGTAATATCAGGAGACAAGAAGGTAAAGCCTTTTACAGCTTTCGGCGTTCGTTCCCTGTATTTTTGTGTTGCTCGCAGTGGCAACGTAGAACATCAAATAAACTAAAGACCAAATAATCTAAGTTGCCAACATTAATGTAGGACTTCTTTGTCGCACTGGCACAGGGCTTGATTATTGATTTGCGGAGCGTAAAGCAAATGGAAGCAGCACGCGCCAAAGGTGGCGGAATTGAACCCGAGACACACTATACACTTTGGAAAAAGATCAACAAGCGGGTTGAGCTCAGCTCGGACGCATACGTGAAATTTATTGATGGTATGTACATGTTAGTGTAGATTTTTTTAATAATGTTATGTTATAAAATTCATTGCATTCTATTCGAGCTGTCGGCTTTAAAGTACCGGACAATTAGACATGCGGTACAAGTTAGTACAATTACAATGCGGTTTGCAAACTATCTTCTAAAAGGCTTGTTAACGTTGTGAGAAAAGATAATGAATACGAATATTATATGAAAACGTTTCGAGGAATTGATTCGTGATAACAATACAGGATTTATAATGACCATTCTTTGTGATAAAAGACCAAGTGATCTTTTTAGAATACATCCTTTTACTAAGTGGGCCTCTACGTTATTTCCTAGTTTCATTGTCCTGCTGTAACATCCCATGTCCGACATGGTACCAATATTGCGTTGTTGTTATTTGTTTACGCGACACTTTTAGCGTGCTGCGACGAAACTTTATCAACGGATAAATGGCTCTCTCGGGTTGAATCCTCAGGGTGGCTGTCAGCCGTTAAAGACGTAATGCAGAACGCCTGTCTCACCGCGCAGTGCCTCCACGTCGACGGTAATGAACAAATAAGATCCAGAATTCGTCTGCTTTCATTTGCTATATGGACCTACATTTTAGTATACGTGTAGGTTTCACTAGAACTTGCACAAACCTAATGCTACTATTAATCGCTATGGCACGAGATGCTCTATTAAGGCAGAACACATATTTTCGTTGTTACTCTCGTAACTAGCCTTTTTTTGTAAACAGGTGTCTCAGTATTGGTGCACGGGACATTGGGTATAAACTCGACGCTTGCTGTGTCATCGCTAGCTCAGGTTATTCTTGAACCCCGTTTACGGACTATAAATGGTTAGTACATCATCTTTATGTCCGTAGGTACTTATATTTTAATATTAATTTAGCATAAAAAATGCAGTATCAATACAAAAGATTGCTTTATAGCGTTTTTTCAAGTTTTATTCATATTGTGTATCTTTCATATCACTACGTTTCTTTTCGACATGCACAGCAACCTGAAATAAACCCGTTTTATTAAATTGAATTTTTTGTTTTTTTTCCTTATCACGCATGCCGTTTAATGTATATAGATGGCACGGATTCAACCAGTGACTGCTGGATCTTTCAGTTACAGGTTCAGCTTTCAGAGCCGTTGCAACGGCAAGAGCTATATAGATGTTTATGGACGTTGTGTGAAGATAACTCGAAACGTAAACGAATGCATCGGCTTTTACAAATCAATGTAATAAATTAGTAACATGACTGTTTACAGGCTCAATGTACTTAAAAGACCTCTAGACAATTCAGTTACATTGTTCTCATTGGATAGAGTTGGCCCTTTACATTGTATGTTGGATGAGCGAGGTCGATGCCGTTTGCATCGAGACGGTTTACCACACGTTCAGTACCATACTGATACTCTGTTTTTTTGATAACTGTATGGTTGCTATACAGGATTTCAAGAACTAATAGAGCGTGAATGGTTAAGTGCGGGTCATCCGTTCCAATCGCGATACGCCAATGGCCCATTTTCGTCGAAAGGAAAGGATAACGCGCCCACCTTTATTCTGTTTCTCGATTGTGTCTTTCAGGTAGAGCGTCGCAGCTCAACACTAGTATATTGAAAACGGTTATAAGCAAACACTTTTGTAGCAGAGTGCTCTCATGAAATACAGTAGACTTGTTTATAAACAGTAATGTATTTTGATCTATGATATCTATATATTTTTGATCTACGATTCCCCGACTCGATCATCTATTCGTACTGAATAGGATCGTCATTATTAAATCTAATCTATATCTCTGTGTATTCTGTCTGTTATATCTGGAATAATGGTGGAAGTAGCTGCTTTATCAGTTTCCGTGTTGTTTCGAGTTTACTGACCACTTCTTGATACTGTTGATATCGCATGTCTACGCGTCATCAATGGGAACATTCCTTTGTAACTCGTCCAAGTACGTAGCAAAAAAACGAAAGCCAAACATTCGTCAAGGCGCACAAATTTGTGATTAATTTTATATATATATAATTATATGTAAAAGTAACAATACTGATACCTACTAAGGACATAGCTTGCATAATAAGGTCTGATAAACTGACGGTGATAATTATCAAGAAACATGTATTTTGTTACCAAGATACACTCTCAGTAAAATTCAGAGACAAATTATAAATATTTTTCTATAAGATGACATTGAATTTGTCCTAAAAAATTTAACCTTTACCAATCAATTATAACAGCATATCGTGTGTTTGTTTCATACGGATACAGAGAGCGTGTCCAGTTCAAGGTAAACGAGCTGACAGTTTCGTTGTGGGCCTTTCTCGACCAGGAAGAGGAACGTACACCTCTCTTGAATCCGCTTTACGAACCGCTCGATGAAGTTATTTGGCCATCAGTAGCGCCGCAAAGCATCCAGCTATGGAACGCGTTTTATTTACGGTACATACTTCCTATCCATATCAGACAATTCAAGGCATGCTGCACATCAGATTCTCCAGTTATTTAAATGAATAGAATAATTGATTTTGCTCAATTATCATAATCATTTAGTCGATTTTTTTTCGTAATGAATTGATTATTATATCTTTCGCATAAAAATTTCCCGAACGAAATTTCCTGAACCATATTTGGACCGTTTCTTTTAATAACACATTTTAACCATAAATAGCATACATTGTTTATAGGTGGGTAACATTTATATCTTTAACATGATAAAATATAGCGAATGTAGCGAAAAGGCGAGAATTATCGCTATTAAATCTCAGCCTTCAAATGACATCAACGCCTAGGATATGTGAGCTCAAAACTGTCTAGCTGGAAAAACCTTTTGACAATCCCCTATATTAATAGGTGAAAAATAATAAGAAAGAATACTCTTCAACCTCAACATTTTTTTTAAGCCGAAAGCATAGACATTCAATATGGCCACTTTTATAGCAAAAAAGTACCGTAGCTTTGATTTATGAAATCCCTTAATCTTTAACATCTTTATACATGTTTTAATAAATGGTACAAATACTGAACGTTAGATCATTATGATATTTATTTTTTAGCTCTCATATTTTATTGTCTTCACATTTTTTTATGTAGAAAAACGTACGACAACTCACATGAACGATTAGCCGAAGAAACGGTCAAACAGATCGTTGAAGAGGACCGCCAGGCGACGGATACCGTAAAGGAGCTTCAACAGTGAGTTATGTCAGCAACTCCACTTTGTACTGACACTTTGTGCCCTCCTTATCACTTTTCGCTAACAGAATCTCGCACTTTGTCATCAACAGATGAGTGTTTGTAGTTGATCCGACTCAAGACGGGTAGACGCATATGCTGATCTTCAGAATGCACATAAGAAGAGTAGCTCTCTCTAAGACTGTTATAGAATAATATAACGGCTTGGCCAAATTGTATACACGTGCTACCACAACGGATGTGTCTCTAACCACAATACAAGGCTATCCTTCCCACCCTTATTCACATTTTTTTTTTAACGTTCAGCTTTCATTTTATGAACGCTGGCCTGAGAAATCTACGCTCTCTATTACGTAGGAATTCATAACGGTAGCATCTTAACTAGGTTAGAATAACTTCGAATTTGTAGGCGGCTGATACTTTTAGTTATCCTTGGAAACGAATCAGGTGAAGTAGATTAATCACCGGCAAAATAAGCCCGAGGCAAAGCCAGGAGCTATTCTACTACACTACTAGAAGTCTGTCCGTTTGTCTAATTGTTGGACTTGGATTGATCCTTGAAAGTTATCGGATTGGGCTGACTTTTAGGTTGTGGGTGGCTAGAATTTCATCCTGAAAAATCTGCGAAGTATGGAGCCGATTGGCCATATACTTTGACCCTACAGGGAGAAGTTTTTTCCCTTAAAGCGTAACGTTAATTTGGTTGCTCATAAATCAACGGCAGCAATCTATTCCCTATTTTCAGTGTTTGAAATCAACGCCAGACAACCGTTTCAAACATCAAAACGACGATTACCATCGCCTGCGCTAATACATCATCAATGTAAAAAACTGTGTTGTATAACCAAGTATGCTTAAGATGTGTTACGCGGCGAACTATATCGTGCAGAAAGCCATTAGGGAATAGGTGATTCGATCTTATTTATTGTTATAAATATAATTAGCCTATTACCTATATTCAGCTAAGATATGCGCTTAGCAGCATCATAAGCGCTAGACGAAGCCCATGGATTGTGCTTTAGTTATAATCTGTTGTCGTTTCCATTCTTAGGGAGCTGAAGCGCCTTCAGAGGCTAAAAGATTTGAGAGACCTTGACCTCTGACATCGGATTTTTCTTCACACGACCTTGCTCAGATAGGTGATTAAACTGTGGACGATGAAGAGGTGAATGATCACAGCAAATCAACGAGTCCTGAACTGCCATTCTGATCTGGACGTCGTTCAAAACTCATCGATATCGTCACCTCTTACTAATTTTTGAGGAGATCCATTCATTAGATATATATTTGCTGTTATATAAAACTTTTCTTTTGCACAATATATTTATTGTTTCGTATAGATTTATAGAAAGAAGGAGCATCTAAGAAAAGCATCGACAATTTAACATAATACATACTTTTCGCATTAGTCTTCTGATATAAAGACTCTCAGCGTCGTGACAAATCGTAGAGTACTACATAGTAATGAAGTATTATAAGAAATATAAATGTATAAATGATTTATATTTACTGGTGCGTTTCTTTCTTACTTAATATCATCGAACGTAGTTATGGGTAATAATTTATATGAGGCTAATTAATGAAATTAAAGGAGTATTAGGTCAAGCCTGCAGCTTAATTTAGGGGTACCTGTGCCGAATGATATTTGTTATCTTGCAGTATGAAATAGAGTAATACTGGTGAAACAACTCACCCGCCACTGAGTTTGGTTTTAGTGCCTGTCGCGGTGCTCGCACTGAAAATAAGTCTAACATAATAGCTACAAAAAACTGAAATATAATTTCAATATTATGTTCATTGTGTTGTATTATTGCTCCTTAAAAAAATGAAACAAGACTTAAAGCTAGTACGTACCTTAGCCAATTTGAGTTAATTTTAGTTCAAGATTTTGCTCTAATCGAGCCAGCTTCATGCATAGTATGTATATATATATATATATATATATATATATATATATATATATATATATATATATATTAAAGTACGCAATGGAAAGAAATAATTGAAAGATCCAAAAAATTTATTAAATTTCTATGTACTTTTTACAAATGTACAGTAATATTTTTATCAAGGGCTTATCAGCTCGAATCGTATACACTGTAATCATTTAATTTCCTCGGACCCAAAACGGCCAATTGCATCCAGCGGTTGCTGTTGTCGTATTACTCAGTCTTAAGTAGTTTTTTTTCTTTCAAATCATGCAAAAGTTGCTCTCCCTTAGCATAATTCTCATTGATCTAAACTACCATTAATTATATGTATAAATTGTTACAAACCATTAGTAAGAAACGTTCGACACATATTATTCGACTGAACCTCTTTTTTGGTCAGCGTAGAGTTCCACTGTCATACTGAACCAGTCGCTAGTTTCTTAGCACAAAATACAATCCGTTGGATCGTAACGGTAACGACTTAAATAAAAAAGTGATGCTGGGTCAAAAACCCAAGTCGATGATTGAACTGAATCAAAATGCGCTGCATGTCATGATTACCATTAGAGTTGTTCATAGCAATTATCAAAATCATTACGATTCATGATTATTAGTCGTTGAGCTATGTTAACGCACCATCAAGCGCAATATATATAGTCACATTGTTTAATTGAACGTATTACGGATATCGTTCCTATTTGATAAAAAATTATGGATTCGTTACCTAAGGGTATATATATCTAGTGATACAGTCAGATCGAATGATTACTGTTACAGATCGCTGTAGACATATCACCGGTAAATCCATTACTTTAGCGTTTTCAATCGCCTTAAATAAGTGGAATGATAATCCGTAATTATGTGCGTGTCCGTGACTATTAGAATTTACAGCCGTCCGTGGCTACCAGTTCTGCGCCAATTTGCCTTGACCAAAAGGACAAATAGTCCTGAGTACGTTTCATGTTTTTGGTGTTGGAGCATTCTGTCAGCGTTGACGCACTTCATCAACATGACAAATGCACACATGTCGTGTAGCTCCCGTAGGTTCCAGCTTGTTTGTTAAAATGGCTGAGCTCAATGTGATGCTACCTAGCATTTACATTAGCTATTGCTAGTATTTCTTGCGTTTGTAAAATATTACCTTCGTGTTGGGAAGATCGTCTACTCATCCGTTCAGTCATGAAATCCTAGTAACCTAGTGCCTTTCACTTATTTATTTCGACGATTTACGTATGGCTATAATGCGCTGAATATTATTCAAACTTGTTCCCCTGACGTCAACATTAATCAATCTACTTATCCGCCATGAATTTGGGCGAATTTGTTCGTTCAGGCCAAAATATCTAATTAGAAAACCATTTTAGCGCAGTGCGATTTCAAACGGGCACGGTTTTTGAGCCAATTACTAACAGTCCCATATTATTCGTTAGAGCTATAGTTATTTTTATGCCGCATAACCCTTACAATGTTCTTCAATTTACTGTCACGGCGATGTATTATTGCTGTTGTTGCATGGCCTGTGCCTGTTGTTGTTGCTGTTGCTGTTGTTGGGGTTGTTGCGCTTGTGGTTGCTGTTGTTGCTGCTGCTGTTGTTGAGGTTGTTGACCAACACCTTGAGGAGGCTGACTTGCGGGCTGGCCATCTGGACCCTGCGATGGTGGACGTGACGGCTGCGTTTTTGGTTTGGGCACCTTCTGTAGAATCTGCGGCAATTCTTTTTTTTCGTCAAAGTTTTTGCACAACTCATATAGATTGAGAATGATGCGTGTGATCTCAAGTATCTTTTCGAAGTCGACATTTAACTCAGCAAACCAAGTTTTGTAGTCTTTGCCAAGGATGACGCAGGCAATGTGCAAACACGCAATGGCAATCTGATGCGGAGGATATAGTAATGCAACATCGGTCCGTAAGCTGTCGTTGGCCACCTGTTGGTGAAGAGGGCAAATAGTTAGCTGGGTTTCGTTATACATTAGAAGTACTTCAATGAAGGATTAGTATCGGTTAACTCGACTCAGCAGTTTTTCTATACAAGTTAATTTCGATATAATTTCAACCGATTCGAAATACAGAAGAGACAGTGTACGTGCCCTGATCAACACTGGAATGTGCTAATTTGAACTGGAGAATATCGTGTTGTTGAAGACAACGATTACTCTAATAAAGCAGCATATAACACACCTTCCAGGCCGTTGATAGTAGCTCATTATCTTGACCAATATCAGCAACATATTGGACCAATGGTCTGTACGCATGGTAAAGTACGAGGCAGCAGTCCATCACTTCCAGAAGATAGAACTCACATTCTAACACATGGTTGATTCTAGAGACGATCAAAACCAAAGTTAAGATCTGAAGTTAAGTTAGCGAATGAAAAAATGAAATTGCTTATATACTCATTTTTGTTTACCGATACAATACAGTGATGGCATTACTCGTTTGTCGAAAATATTTCTACTATGAAATGGCAAGTAGAAAATGAACACGATTGATAAGTTCTAATGGTCGAATTATGTGCGGTTTGTAATAGTTACGTGGCAAGACGACTTAGTATATGTTATCAACTACGCATATAAACTGCCTAATAGAAAAGTTCGCTTATATAGCTCGCAGCTATAATATACCTTGTTTTTACTTTTTGCGTTTGTGTGACCATCTAATGGTTGAATAATCAGTTACAAAGATCTCATAAGCAGTTACTTTTGTTATTGTTAGTTTACCAGGTATACAAGGTAGTTCAAACAAAGGTTAGAATATGCTACTTTCAGACATCGAGTTTCTCAACTTACCGGTAAGGAAATTCTGTTGCATATACGTGGGAGTATTTGTTCTTCACAACGGCCTGACACGTTGATATTAATCTCGAATTCGAAATCACGCCAAACTCTTCCACCTAGAATTAAACCTTGAGTATTTAAATTGTGTTTCCAATAGACTCTATTTTTGTATTTATTACATAGCACTACTATAGTTATCTGTTGTTTGAAATAAATATAAACGAGCCTTTAGAAGTTACCATAGTCCAATTTCATTAAAGAAATTTACATGTTAGTTACTCTACCTTTGATGCGAGAAATATGCACGTGGGTGCTAACAGAAGAGGATCGACGCACTTGAACGAATTCCGAACGTAAAATCGCTTGAGGTATACTGTAGCCGTAGCAATCACTTGCTGTTTAACTTTTAATTGCTCCCCTAACGACTGAAATCGACCGAAATTAAAACTGTATTGGATCAGGAACGATAATGTCCATAGCGAGTTCAACAGTACATCGAAAAGTGAGCCTTAAACATTTAATATATATTTGTTAATATGTTTTTGTATATATATGTCACTGAAACATTACGCTAAAATGCTCTGTTTTCATACCATTCACCGCCTTTTTAACCACGTGAAGCATATCTCTCAGAGCACAATAGAATTCTTAAATCAATATACATTTATACGAATTCGTTGCTCTCATATATGTATAATAATTATCCGGATCACATATGCATTGGATGTTACACTCCACAGAAGAGGGCAACCCTTAAGCTTAGCAGCCTTTAGTCTTACATCTATGCACGCATCACGCTTGGACTTTTTTTTTTGTTACGGATATGTAGGACCAGATGCTAGGCACCATCTCGCCACGATATGCATCCTCGTGCATACAGGACCAACAGATGCCATGACCCTACACTGCCGTACGGAGCATACACATGTACACACCTGGATGAAGTTAGCGAAGAATATCATCACTTTTGAGTACTCTTCCTCGCTGAGAAGCTGCAGGTCGGCATGTCGTTCACGGAGTAAATCCTGCCGATCGAGTAGCCACTGTTGGAATTGTGATGAGCTCCAGAATTTACCCGCCATTGCACTGGTATTCTTCGAGTAGTTAACACTAGTTTTTAATTTAGGAAAACTATTGTTCGGGATAACGATGGCGTGCTTCGCTTCAGACAGCTGACTAGCGCTTTTCAATGCATACACAATACACATAACCCGTTAACAATTTCTTCTCCAAACACTAATATTCGCATGTATATATCATATGCATAAAGGAAATTACCAAAATGTCGCTTCAGTATTCCTTTCGGCTTTACCTATTTTCTAAGTTCGGTTTACTACTATACTAATATTGAAAGCGGAAATCGTAATACAAGACAAATGCTGTGCAGTAACAAGGGACAGATGGGTGATCGACGCTGTCGGAGCCTTCGAACACGACAATGTGTGCTGAGAACCCCGGCGGGTAGATGGCGACAAAGTGGTCAGCAAATCGAAACTACCCGAGTTGAGCTCTACCAAGATGCGCGATTGTGGAGCCAAACCCAAAGGTCCATTTCTTGGGCTCTGGGTTCATGGATAAGCAAATTGTTCAAGTAGCCTGAAAATTTAAGAAACCTTATAGAAACCATATGGGTAAATTAAATTTTTTGTTTCTATTATGGTGTACTTTATTTCGTGAATCAAGAGGGTCTGCACGGGCCTAGATTTGTACAAACGCAATCTAGTTGGGTCGTCTATTGGCACTATCTAAAGAAGCACGAAAGATGGAGCTGATTGCATTTTTTTTTTACCCAAAAGGTAGAACTTCTTTTTTTTTGCTCATGGAGCGTAATGTTAAGTTGGTTAGTTCTAAACTAGCGGCAGCCAATTTTTTTTATTTTCGACGTTGAGAACAACGCACGTATATATGTATATGGACAGAGTGAAACAAACGAAATTGGTAAATGCATAGGACCGTCCCAAGCAAGGTTTCAAGTTTTCCTATCTACGGGTCATACTCAGTCGTTAGGCAACCACGCCACAAAAACACAAGTGTTTTCCCGAGGAAATACCTCTATCCAAAATGGCTAGAAACAACAAAAGAACCGACGAAGTTAATAGCATTCATGCTCTCTGAAACCACTACGAATTCACGAAAACATTGTTTTATGTCAATATACCCAAATTCTGCGTCTGAACCAGTAAAAAGTAGTACATAACGAAAGGGGGTCTAGAAGTTTTAAATTTTCTCATTTCCAATCAAAAAATATATTTTTGCATCTTTACATTACTAATCAATATTTTATTTTTTTTGTCTAAATTCTATTTTATATTTATTTATCTATCCTAACGTTTTTAAGGGTGTTAACTTTATAAATTTTAAAGTTTTAAGATTGCTGTGATCAAACAAACTGCCGCGGTATTGCGGGCATTGTGTACTACATCTTGTATAGATGCACGTTGCCTTAAGCAAATCATCAATTTAGGTATGAGAGATATAATGGAACCCATGCATGTAGTGCGAGACGCGCAATTATGTGTCGATTCTTTCTGTCCACCCCTATCCATGGTTCGTTAGTTGAACCCCATATTTTAAAAGTTGGAATTGATTTTTGCTATCTCTCTCCCATGTGCTTCCGAAGAAATTCCAAATAGACAGAAGTAGTACGCAATTTGAGTCTGCATCTCATATTTTTCACAAACAGAAGTACGTCGCTTAGAGTATACACGTATCTTTAACATTAAGTGATGCAATTTCATGGAGCGCATCAATAACGCAGCTATGATTCGATCAAGCCTGTCAAGTTGCGTTGCCTAGAGGTGTTTTCAATTTCGATCTTGTAGGGAGTAAACGGGGCCAGTCCCATTTCGATTAGAAGCAATATAGTTTGCAAGTAAAGCCGTGAGGGTGTTCACATTCTTAAATTCGCGACCACCGCTCGCCTTATTCGATCCTTATATTTATATATATCGATTTCTTATATTTAACTATTAGTTCATCGGGGTGTTCTTCGATTTTTTGTCGAAGTTTGATATGGCTCTTTAGAACAAAGTTTTAATAAACATTGCAGAATGCGAAGTTTTACGAAACATGTTACACTTGATTAGTGCGATGCTATAAAAGAACTCGGCGAGCTTAGACGATGGAGTGGCCTGTCTGGAACTGCTCGTCCGTCCAATCAGTTCACGAAACTTAGGGTGTTTACCTGAGGCCACGGCTGGTCCTGCTACTACTGAGTGATCTCCCGTTCCATGTTCAAGACCTGATGAGCCAAATACATTGCTTTATACAAATGATGATGTCTTCTCTAGTAAGAGCTGGCTTCATGTTCAGCAAGTTCTCGTAAGACTGGTAGTCTACGTAAAGGAAACTGGACAATCGGCAGACATGAGCGAGACAAAGACAATGAAGTTCCGCCGTAAAGGCCGCTTTCTATACACTGCACATAGGCGGAACGAGGCTAAACTATGTCAGCATCCTCAGGTACTTTATAATGAATCGCTGATTTTTAGCAGAACATATCACGGATCGAATAAGGCGAGCGGTGGTCGCGAATTTAAGAATGTGAACACCCTCACGGCTTTACTTGCAAACTATATTGCCTCTAATCGAAATGGGACTGGCCCCGTTTACTCCCTACAAGATCCAAATTGAAAACATCTCTAGGCAATGCAACCTGATAGACTTGATCGAATCATAGCTGCGTTATTGATGCGCTCCATGAAATTGCATCACTTAATGTTAAAGATACGTGTATATTCTAAGCGACGTACTTCTGTTTGTGAAAAATATGAGATGCAGACTCAAATTGCCTACTACTTCTGTCTATTCGGAATTTCTTCGGAAGCACATGGGAGAGAGATAGCAAAAATCAATTCCAACTTTTAAAATATGGGGTTCAACTAACGAGCCATGGATAGGGGTGGACAGAAAGAATCGACACATAATTGCGCGTCTCGCACTACATGCATGGGTTCCATTATATCTCTCATGCCTAAATTGATGATTTGCTTAAGGCAACGTGCATCTATACAAGATGTAGTACACAATGCCCGGAATACCGCGGCAGTTTGTTTGATCATACCGATCTTAAAACTTTAAAATTTATAAAGTTAACACCCTTAAAAACGTTAGGATAGATAAATAAATATAAAATAGAATTTAGACAAAAAAAAAATAAAATATAATTTAGAATTGTCAATTTAATATAATAAACAAGACACAATTTTATTTTTTATAAACGTTATGATTTGTAGCTAAACAATAACTTCATAACGTTCATAGGTTCAGATTGATTCATTGAAAATGAACAATTTACAACACCCAAAGAAGTTTGTTTACTCATAGGTTATTCCATAGAAGGCTATGGATGCTGAACAAATTCAGGTGTCTTAAACAATTCGCAATCTGTTTGCTGATGATGGCTTCAATTTTTAAAGTATATGAAACCTTTTAAAAAATGCAATAGCTCAAGACTATTACTATAAGGACCGCCTACTATAAGCCTACTATAAGGACGAACAACGTGACCCTTACCATCGCTAACGTTCATCATAATAAAGCTCTATAATAACAATACATATATTTTAGGTCAAATTAAAATACTGTAACAGGGGTTAGATCTTAATATATCAACTCCAACATCAACATTAGGAAAACGAAAACAATGACATTTAACTGGAAGGCCTTAGAAAGCGGCTACTGCAATAGCGCTATTAGGAAATAGGGCAACCTTATTGCCCCGAGATCGAACTGCGCACTCCCAATTTAAATTTTTTTTTAAGTCAAAGCGGATTTAACAAGTCATGTTGAGAAGAATTCGAATATCGAAGATATTTGATAGAAGATATACTTCAAAAAGTCTCCAAACCCGGAAACTGTGAGGCGCTTCATGTTCAGGGTCTGCCCAGAAAAAATATTTAGTTAACGCGAGGATGAAAAAAGTAGCGGTTAAGCTGCAAGACTAGTGTACGTAATGAAACGTTTGACAGAGAACGTAAAGAGAATGGTGTTGCTACTTGCCATCATAGTTGCTATTTCTTAACCATTCGAGGCCTGAGCAATGGGAAGGACCTGGGAGGCAGCGGCGCGGTTCCATGACTGGTATCATAAGCACCTGCTTGGGCTAACTCATCGACTACCAGGCCCAGCACAACATTGGCTAGAAATGGTTTTCTCCTTGGCAAAGTAATTCTATGTTTGCCTATTTGAACAGTTTTCATGGAAAGCACGATCCCGCGCGCTAGGGTACTACGCTCGCCTTGGAGGCGTTAATGAGGGTCTGTGTCCGTTTATGCAGAAACTATTTCTGCTGGAGCGTGGCGGAGCGCACATTAAAGTCAAAACGTTGTTAAAAGACTTAAAGGATTCTACCAGTGTAACGCCGTCGTAAAATCACTTTACTAAGACAGCGTCGCTAAAATTTATAGCCTTTTCAAAATTAATGCGTAACTACGGAGAATGGCCTAATTGTTATAACGGTCGATCAGAGCTCGCGATAAGTAAAAAATCGGTATCTAACTCGTTTTTAAGCTAGACATCTTAGGGCTATTAGCAATCGGATTAGCTACATTAACGTACCGACCTATTTTGGATGCAAAGCATCTTATGGTTCTCGAGACAGAGCTGGAGAACCTTGAAATGGCCGATGTAAGGGGACTGCGCTGGGGGGACGCCTGCACGAACGAAATCATCAATAAATTTACACAGAAGCGAACGTTCCCGTGTGCGTGTTCGGACTTGTGTTCAAGACACAAGGAACACTATATTGCGCGAACCCAGCCTAAAATGGCGATAATGTTTTGTCATTCTTGAAAAACGGGTGGTTATGCAAGTGTGAGTGCAAAAACCGTACATTAAGGCGTCTTCGAATCCGACCCAGCATATATTCACAAGTAAAGAAAATGGTGGTTCGGTGCAATGGTTAACTAGGTCTGAAGCCTAGGCTTCGAATCAACTGTGTTCCGGTGTTCCTTTTACTCTTCTGAAAACCTGCAGTGGAAGAAGCGACTGGTCATTGAAGATAGCGAGGTGTATACGCACATGCGTTACCGAGTGTGGTCCCAGCAACTGAAGAAAGAAAGCTCTGGTTCGAGTAAATAGAGCAGGTGCTGTTGCGTTTTAGATATGATGCGAAACGTTGCTACGGCGGAGCTTGAGCAGTGGTCAATACGCTAGCTTCGTATACCTGGAGGGATGGCATTTTCAAACAACGGTTAATTGAAAACTTGGCGTTATGCCTAAGCGTTATGTTGAAACAAATACGTGGGTAGCGAGGTAATGATACGGCGCGTAGCATATTCTATTTTTGTTAGTACCACTGTATAAGAACTAGGTGATGTAACGGCAGAACACCTTGCGATTCCCTAGTAAGCGCTTTCAAACTTTCTAGATAAATTGTTTTGTAGGGAAATACTTTACCACTGCACCATCATGGGACACAGGACTAGGCTAATGAGCTGAATTATTTTTCACTTTTTCTTATTCTATGGAAAGTTTATAGCTGCAACGAACACATATTCAGATACTTGAAAATAGGTTCGAAATACGAAATATATAAATCGAATTCCTATATCTACCTGTTATAAATAAAAGGTGGTACAAACTAATGTTTTTCCGTATATGATATCCGTACAGAACTGATTCTACGATCAGAAAAAAAAACGTTTTATATAACGGATCTCGTAATAAGTATCATATAATATGGGATCATTTATTCAGGGTGGTAAGTTCGTGTATCATGAATATAACTTAAGGAACGTCGGTTACTCCTCTGATGAATGCAATTATGCAAGGAAAAGCATCCAGTCGATGGTGCTCAATATCCACGCAGGCTAGACTATCCATTGCTAGGACGGGCTAACATAATGAAGGAAGTTTTAATTATTTTATGCGCTAAGGTGAGATACATTAACATATTGGCAAGAAATTTACCCTTGATTAGCACACAAATAGGTTCAGTTTGTTGATTTTGCTATAACCAGTAAGGTCAGTGTGAGTTGTGAGCTGTGAGTTGTCTTAACTACATAGCATCGTTACACAATAACTCATTTTTGTTATTATTGTTTTATTTCATTTCTTAACCACGCTTTATTTTTTACTTTCAAGATCATTTCTAAAAATTACTTTTATCTACTCTGCTTAGTCAGTGGTGCAAACACCAAAGACTCTAATTTAAATTTCCACAAGTACAATGAAGATTTGTAGTAAATACGTTAAAGAATACAAAAATATTAACCAAAAACAAATGTATTAAAAGATTCTACCGTCGGTGAAACACATCAGAGGCTGGACTTTTCTTGAAGAGTCCTATAAAAACTGTCTCGGATTACTGACGTGTAGTGATATTACTTAACAATTCAACTATTTGTGTAATGAGCTAAACCTTCTCCGATATTCATGGACGTAATAATATGGCGGCTTTGGCTCTACTAGTATAATTTATATATTTAGAGAAGAAGAGGCTCTGCAACCAAACGAAGAAAGGAATTAGAAACTCAACCACAGAGTGTGCAGTACTCTAGCCCATGACGACGTAGTGGAGAACGACCTAAAATAGCTGCGTCTATCAGTGCACCATTTTTTCAAAATATAAAGATCCAACTTTACTGATTAGCTATAGAAACAACGCAAAATCTGGGGAACTGGCTTGCAGTTCCTTGTTCAAACGTTTCTCCCTCGATAAAAACGTAATCTTTTGAGGTCCATTTCGTCTGAGTTAGCTCGCTTGCCGGGGTTGGAGTTTACAGCTGTGAACAATGACTGAGCTTGCTTTTGACTCTGTCTCATGTTGGGCCTAAGTAGATACTATGTTGTAAGATTAAAACTCCTGCGATTGCCTACGTACCCATGAAGGCGGCATTGAACGATAACGATTCGTAACTAAAACATACCCTACTGTCATATAATTTGCACTTATCAAGGACTAATGTAATCGCGCTTCGATCTGCAAAGCTGCGAATACCAACCAAGTGTTTCATTTGTATGAACGCATTTTTGTTTTCGTTATCTTTTTGTGCAAGGTTATCTATGATGAGTTATCGTGTTTCGAATGTAACACATTATTTCACATTCTCAAAAAGTGCAGAATGGCGATTATTAGATAGTACAAATCTATAATTTAGATCCTATTATATAACACGTTTTTCGTTCTAGTCGTCTGTTTTCTGTAGTTCCAAAAATTTGTTAGTGGTTGTATTTGCAATATGCTTCGTTATCTCATTAAGGTAAGTCTGGCCGATCATCCACAAGTGAACTACTTAGTATGTAGAAGTTGTACCACTGAACGGGGCGGTCTATCCGGAAGACCGGTCGGATTAATAACCGATGATGGAGTGGTTAAAAAGTCTGACAGAGAAGTAAAAGTAAAAAGCCGTCGTACTGTGTGTATGATGCGCGCTGTGAGAAAACACTAATGGTGTGAAAAATCCACTATGAACCATAGCTATTCCAATTAAGTTAATACTGCACTTATTATAGCAGACGAGCCTCTTGGTTAGTCTTGGATTGAAAATAGCGAACTCCGGCAAACGTAAAGGTTTGTGTGAGGCACTGCCAAATCGGATAAAATGGAATAAAATAAAGATCACGGCGACTGCAACCGATTTAGAACATGCTTTTGTAAACAGCATTAAACATTGTTTGGCAGCTAAGACAAGATTTTATTAACGTAACGACTCTAGCCATTAATTAGGGCTTAAGAAAATAAGCAATCGGCATTTGTATACACTATTTATTATTTTTTTCACTATGTATGTTCATGAAACGCTCAACTATGACAGCAATTACAGCTTGCTCACTTAGGAATAGTGCTGCTTCAAACGAAGCGCGCATTTTAACTTCAACTTCAATAGTATGCAAAGGCTGTGATGTGGTCGGAAGCAGGGACGATTCTACATTTTTTGCGAATTATTTAATGCCCCAATTTATTCAGTCCACTATGGCTTTTATCAGAAATACTATTTTAGTTTTTCTGTTTTATCTATGCTATTGCAGGTAGCTTCAAATCGGGGGTTGTTAGCGCATTCCAAAACTCTCACCACTTGGTTATCACCTTCATTATCATCATCAGGTCGCGCAACCACTTTTGCTAGTGGCCCGTTTTCCGCCTCAAACATTGAAAGGACCTTGAAGGAGTTAAATGAAGAATCGCTGCGTAAAAAGCTTGTCGGCGATTATGAAGCGGATGGCACCGCCCGTCAAAGCTCTGTTCTCATTCCGTTATGCCGACATGAAGTAAGTGTTCTGATTTTTGAGATTCGCTATAGACAACCGTCTAAAAGAGCCAATGTGTGACAATAGTAAGATTTATACGTGTTATTTTACAGACATCTCAATAGTTGTTTTAACATATATTGATTTTACATTTTAGCTCGGGTTAGATAAGTCAACTAATTAATAAAAATAATCAAAACAAATACACTGCTATATGTATATGTGGCACGCAAAATCTTTTTCATTTTTGTGAAGTTATGATGATGCTGTTCTTGTCGGCTAAACCAGTTCCAGAAGTGATTCTTTATATGTCGTTTTTTTTTAAACTGACTCTGTGTTTTGTTACATTTGTCCCGTATTTAAGGGTAAGCCGTCGATTTTATTTACTTTGCGTTCTAATCGGCTGTCGCGACACAAAGGTTACCCATGTTTCCCTGGGGGGGTTTTCGAAGACGGTGATGTCGACAGTATACACACTGCTTTAAGGGAAACCCACGAAGAACTTGGCCTGGAATCTAAATATGTAAAGGTGTGTAAGGGTACCAAGGCTCCACTGCAGCAGATAAAAGATTGTTTGTGTATGTAATGTCTTCCGGCTCCGGAATAAATCCGTTTTGAAATGTTGTGCCGCGAAATACTTTTCTTTCTCGTTCGACGCTTATAATGGAGATTACGTGTATGTTATGTATGTCACACAAAAATTTTACACCAGCTGGTAAATTTGGTTGATAAGTGAAAATCTGTTTTCTCGTATGAAATATACTAATGTGGCAAATATAGATAATGCGCTATGTTTTTCAATCAAATTATATAAATCCTATTGCTAACGTGTAGTCTTTTTTATATTCATATACATTGTTCTGCAGGTTCTTGGTACCATGCCGCGATTCAAGGTGCCCCGAGACAATATCGAAATTACGGCGGTGATTGCAGACATCGGAGATATTGACTCTCATGAGCTGAAGATTAACCACAATGAGGTAAAGTCGTCTTACTTATTAGGCAAAATCGCATTATGCTCTATCGAGTGAGACAAAAATAGCTGGAATCTGTTACGAGCAATGCATTTTATGAAGGATTTTATCGATGTCTTATTATAATGTAGTCGCATTTATAGAAAGAAGTCTGCAATAAAGGCGTAGATAATATTTAAAAATGCATAAAAAATACTTATTTTGGAATATACGTTTGACATATTATACGGACCTATCACCTATTTATATTTAAAGCGAACAATATAGGACAGTAAAATCGAGCTTCTGTTACTAATTGAGTCACTGAAAGGACTTTGAACACGTTACTGCTTCGAAAATCTATTGTTATTGTTATGAGATAAACGCAATTCGCTTTGGATTGAATAACTTTGTTAAACTAGGACAGGGAGGTTATCGTGTTATTTTTGTAGATATTACAATGCCGCCTTATAGTTTGAAATACGGGAAAAAAAGCTTTCATGATTTTTTTCAAACGTAGGTGAGTTTGGTGTTCAGCCGAACGGTTGAGGAGCTAACAAGCGCCGAAAATACGGGGGTAACTGTATTCAGAGAAGTGCAAAAGCAAGTACTATACGCCACGCCTGTATTCCTTGCAGGTCCGTTTTTTATTTTTCTTTTTTGTAAAAATGTCAACTTTTGAGCTCACAGGTTTAATATAGGTCACTTTAGATTCCATGTTGTTTTAGCAGTCAGTCTAGGCACAAAAGATAACAAGAATTAGAGCCGCTTTACGGTACAGCAGCAGCAATATATTAATTGTGTGCGCTTCTACGTTCATTCATATCGCTAGAATATTGGTTCCATTTTCCTGCTATTTTTAAGCTAAGCCAAATATCTTTTCTTATTTTAGGTCCCTACAAAATCTGGGGCGTCACAGCCATGTTATTACATATTTTCCTTGCATGCTTGGTGCCCGACTTCTATAAGCGACCCATTCGTCCAGTCGTTTTTAGGAAAAAATACCAACCGAAGGACCCTACCAGCGAGAGCAACTAAAGAAATTTTTTTTGTAGGTAGCTGAGTATCTACGAGACACATTACGAGATTACCTTTGATCGATTGAACGTGCATTTTTCTGTTAATTGTTCAAAACGTTTCACAGTTAAGCAGTGCATAACGATATTAAGCGTGAGTACAGAGTCAGTATAAATAGATGACTGTGTTTCTGGTTGCCTTTTGGATCTTGATTCACTACGGTGTCTTGATTTGGTCAACGTGAATTTCCATAGATAGCAGGGTCTCTCAATCGTTTGCTGGGTCATAACCTTCTTATTGTCTTTTTCTTTTTTATCTTAGGCTGTAATTAAGTGAATATAATGAACGGACGAAAGTTCACTTTCAAGCCTAAGAAATTTATTTCAAAATTCTCTAGGAAGTAGAGGTACAAAGAGAATAACGCAGGGAACTTCAGATAAGTCCATCTGTGCCACTTACAATTAGTCGGATGAACGATAAATTTTAGACGAATGGAACCGTTTAAGATGCTCAAAATCAACGCTTCGGAAGACCGAAAACATCAATGACTTCTACTAACCAACAATCAGTACGGGAAAACTGTGATCTCGAAATTTTACAAGGCCTTCAAGTCGCGAAGCTAGCACCAAGGGATCAAGTGTCCGTCGCATTTTAGGACATTGTAAATAGAGAGCCTATATGTAAACAATGAAATATGTTACCATTGATGATGATTTAGATTGAAGAGAACCATTTCGTGAATGGTACTTGGGGAAATGTAAACAGGAGGAAAAATCTTTAAAACAATCAAGCTACACTTCAGTTAAACGGAACAAATGCGCTTATGAACTACTGTAAGATCGTTTGTTACGCAAGAACATTGTGCAACCTATCAGGAATTATGAATTTGTTTGGCATTTCAAACAACGGATTAGTTGGGTCGTTTTAGCAACAGTCATTGAATTTACTGCAAGAATCTGCTTTAGCACGCATTAGAGCTTTGATAAAGACGCCGAATGGCATTTCGGTCAAGACGAAGCACCTGCAAAGTATTATCGTAGTGTGAGAATGTGTCTTAATGAAGATCGTTAAAATGGATGGATTATACAAAGGCTCGTTTTCCAGATGTGACGCCCATGTAATGTCCAAGCGGGTACCTTGAAGATAAAGTATACGCCAGGAAGCCAACAACGGAGGGAAATTTTAGAGCCGCATTTTATCTATGAATTGATAGCTCACCCGTTACGAGCAGTGTATTGACTAGAACGGTAACCAATTTGAGTATCTGCGGTAGGAGGAAAGTTGTACTTCTTCTGTAGACTCTTTTACAACTTAAATATTAATACAATGTAAATAAAGACTGAAGTTGAAATTATTCAAGCTACCTGTACATCTTTGAAGCACTGTATATACAGGCGAATTAATCATGTTTAAGTGTACGTGCGGAACGTGCTGCAGAGTCAAGAATAAAGTCAATTCGATCTCCTGGGTCTACTGGGTCGTCAGTATTAGTGTTTAACGAATTTACCCTAAAAAGAGGGAACGACAATAGCTAACGAACTAGGTAATGCGCTAAGAAATAATACATTCTGTGGGATTCAATTAGTTTGTCACGAATGAGAAGAGTATTCTGATATATGCACCGTACCTACACCTGCTATATATCTTTTAGGTTCTTAAAGGAAACCTTAAATTTCCGATTTATTTGTTTACCTTCTACGTCGTTGTAGATACGGCAAGTCAATCCTAGTTCTACTGACGCAAAAATATACCGAGTGCATTTAGCAGTGCATCCGCGCAAAAAAAGCGATAGGCTCAAGCTGAATCCATATCGCTGAAAGCTCTTTATTATTTGTGAAATCCTTTGGCGCAGACTGAAGATCCTCGATTATACAGTTAATAGAAAAATACGATCCTATTAATTACGAGTGTTTGATATAATGTAGCTCTCGTTACCGGTTTTCTTTATAGTTAAGTATATATATTATTCATTGTAGAAGATATTTACTATCTGTGAAACTAGACTTATAGGAGAAAAGGTAATCAGCAGCTATAACTAGTACACCAGAAAGCTTAACTAGCATGCTTGTTTCGATAATCGAGATATAACGATAATGCAGTTCTAAATTGAAAAAAAGAGGCTCAAAATATTTTTTAACTCTGTTTTTTTAGTTGTGTGCGATTTATTCATAAACAACAAACTAACAATGCCGTGAAGAAACACGCTATGAATAAATAGTTATTTTTTAGAATTGTTTTTTACGCGAAGAAGTGGAGAGCTTCATGGATGCTAATTCTGCTCCAGCTTTCGAGGCAGGCTTCCAACGATCAACGAGTGCATGGCACGCTAGCGTTGTAAATTAACAGGAATTCATGTAGTGAGCCCCGCTTACTTCACTTTTTGGAAGTAACAACCACTTCGACTCACACTTATGTTACGACAGGTTTAAATATCGCAAAAAAACCGGAAATACCAGTTTTACCAAGAAATCTTCATTTTGTCGCGGCATGTTAATTTTACTTATTCAATGGGCTAAAGTTATGTCTGTAGTGGGCAGTTATAGACTGCACTAGCGTATAACAAATACAAGTCATATTAATAGCTACTTGTTGTTGCTAAAATATTAAGGCAACAACAACAACAACTCGTCGTATGAGCGTTTTTACTCCCTGTCTTAGTGGTTTATTACAATTTTCAAATTTCGTTGAAGAGTAGCACACCAGTTACCAATTTTTTTGAGGTAGCCGGTGAGTCTGTGTGGACGCAATAGTCCATGGTAGGTTTAAATCAGTGGTGCACATAACTAATAGGCAGATAAAAATATACAAATAAACTATCAACTAAACACTTTTTTGGCGCTAAAATGTTTTTAGGACGTGTTCGTTAGATAGATAACGCCCGGAGACAACAACAGGCGAGCAAGCATTATTTTGTATGCTTTTCTATGTTATAAAATAGAAGTCAGTTATATAGGCCATGCTCAGGCGCATCGGGTTTGATGAAGAGGCGACACTGGGCCGGGGTCCGCGCTGTCCGGACATGCCAACTGGCTCAGAGGTCGTCGTGGCGTTTCAAGGACGTCAATGCTCGCCTTGCGTCTTGTCATGTAGTTAACTGGCGAAACAGGTTCTGTCGTGGAAGAATCGATGAAATCAGGCGGACTGCTGTTGTACAGAATTACCGAGGATATTCCTTTTAGCAGGCGTTCCATAAGGAACGACGGCATACTTTCTATAGTCTGAAGGTCATTAAGGGAGATTGAGAGCTGTGCGAGGGGTTGACGCCAGATCTGTTCATAATCATAGTCTTCATTGACGTCGAAGTCAACCATGCTCTCAGTTGTGAAGCTGTGTACCTCGCTCATCGTAGGTAGACTGTCGAGACCAAAGTTTGTTGTATTAAGTTGGTTAGATTCTGAAGGTGTCCGCTCTTTCGGCTCGTGTATATAAGAGCACCGGGAACCGAATGTACAATGGCCGTTGCCATGATAGTCTCTGAAATAGCAGAGCACAAAGCGCATCGTCGATAAGCTACTGACTGTTGTAGTATAGCTTTCTGAATACATTTAATCTAGTCTAAACCCTATGTGTGTTCAATGTAGAGTTTTGCAGTGGCTGACATGAAGGACGTTTGCTAACAACAAACTTTAATCCCATCTATATTCATTACGCACTATTAGAAGGCCTCAATTCCTTGGACTTTCGACAACACGTTTATAGCCACGTTGCTTCCGTAGGCATTTCTTCTTTATATGTGTCATTATTTTGTAACGCCACTAAGACTATGTTGGCTACCAAAGCAATATACATATATATATTGGATCTGAATTATCTTATTTACCTGCACAGCTGAGTCTTATGTTTTGGATGTCTCAAAATTTTTCTGAGTTCACTTTCGTGATGTGCGAAGCGACAGCCTGTGCCATATGGACAGTTTCCATTTTCTTGAAGATTGCGGCACATCTCTGATTTAATCCTGTTAATAATTTAGAAAGAATTATTACAAATCTACAACTGGAGTCTGCGGTTATGTTCGCTAGGAAGGGTCTTTTAAGCGGTTTGCTTAGGACCTAAGCAGGATACCTACTTTTCGTCATTCGTGATAGGAGGCCTCGTTTTGTATTTGTACCAAGGTTCGCCCTGAAAATCAACACCACAGGAGGTTATATTAACCACTTCGGATGTATATAAAAAACACAAACCCATTCTTCAACAATCAATTTTTTTTCGTGTGCATGATATTTCTGGGGGATCTTCGCAGCCAGTTTTGTTTTATTCAAGGTGTTTATAAACGACGAAAGAAGTGGTCCATAGAATCCATATGTCTTTTGAATTGACAAAAATTATATCTATTTAACGCATCAAGGCACAGGATTCGTCCTCTGCAAAAGCAACAGACTGAGTATCACAGACGGCCCATGTTTGTGATGTACGCATGGCTTGTTTTTAACCGTCTCTTGGCCAATTGTACTTACATCACCACAAATGCATTTACGCTATAGAAAGCCATTTGCCGTCTACCATTTTATTTGAAACTTGTGGTGGGAAAGATATGAATACATTAGTGAGCCATCTAGGATGGCTGGAAGAGTCAATTTTCATGCAAAAAAATTGCACTATGTCAGGACTTAGTCATATGACTACATAGCATCAAGGTCGCAGCGAGTTCGACCATCATCGAGCAAGACAGGCGGGAGGGTTCGTAACAAATAGGTGTTCAAAGTACATAGCTCGGTTAATTCCGATTTGAAAAATTCAATCTCCAGCTTAAAGAGCTAATCACCCATCTAGAACATTGCTCGTGTGGAGTGTAGATTTCCTCTTTGAGATGGTGGAGGCATTTTACGAGAATGTGACAAACGACTTGCGGCTGCTAGCAGGAAATGGCGCATGAAATAGCACCTCCCTTTTCTAAATAACAGTTGTGAGGATTGAAGGCGCAGTCTGAGCACCGTTATCATCACAGGACAGGTAGGTTAAGTGTTCGGCGATCAGAGGCGCCTACGGGCACCATCCTCTCGAAAAACTTTCCAACGGATCACCTTCCGTAGCAGCAAAAAAACAGCAAAGATATTTTTCTAAAATGCTACATAAAATGATTCTGGACAACTGCCAGTCGGCCTTGCTCGGATACGGTTGCTACAGCCTCCAAAACCTTAATTAGGTACTTGTGTCTCATCTTGAAAATACGTGGCATTGAGTTACTAAAATATGACCAATGTAAATTTGGTGGTATTTGAAGAGCGCCACGAAAAAATGAAAGCAAACCACTGTCTAGTACATCAAACGGACCAATACGACGCAGTCCATATTACTTGGCTGTAATCAAATAAGTACTTCGCTTTAAAGTTCGCCCTGCCTATTCTCCTTATGCGACTTCCAAAACGACTTACAACACCTTGCGACGATTTACTACAAACAAGCAAGGGACAAAATGCTGTGTGTGATGCGTTGCATTCGGGAGGATACAACGTTTATAGGTTATCCATTTTTTAAGAAGTAAAAAAAGCAGCATAGGTATTATAACACACGATGGAACATCCTGATGCTTAATACTTTCTTATCGTGTTGAAGGAATTTTACGGGTCGTGAGTAACGGCTCGTTCAGTAAACAACGAACTGAGGCTGTGTGGCTGGCTGTGCATAGTTTCGGACTCATTGCAAACAAATCACTTGAAGTTCTTATTTAGTTAACTTTGTCATGTAACGTTTACTGTGACGATTCGACTTGTTCAGAAGCCAACGTGATAAAATTCGGGAAAAATCTTTTAATGGCTGACACATCTGGAAAAAGATATATGTATATATTTAAGCGATAGGCAAGTTAGCCATTAGAGGATCTCATGAAACTAGCACCTCAACATAGAAGCGAGAACATACATTGCATAATCATGGAGGGACTTCTATGTTTTGAATGGTCAACACAAACCGTGCTTGTTGAGTACAGGTCATGACTCCCAGAACCAGGAGAGTTATTCACGAACTGAGAACGTTGGCTATGGTGGGACCTGTTTCCATGACTAGACCTGTTTCCATGTTGATAACCGCCTGTGGTTTGGTTACCTTGTTGTTGCCCTAGACGACCCCTTTCTTCGTGGTTGGGTAGCCGTTGTCCTACACCTGCACCCATGCGCCGCCCAGGAACATTATAACGCACATCACGAACCTAAAGTGGTAGTGAACAAATGCACATTATAAATGGAAGACTTTTACTAGCACCTGTCTATTCTCTGCCATCTCTATATTCTACGTCGCCTTTGTGCAGCCCGCAGATTCTCCATTATAATGAATGGTCGCATGGCAGGAGTCGTTTTTTGCGAATCACCATAACCTTCAAAACATTGGCCCAACAAGACAAAATCCATCTTCGTCTAGACAGAAGTAGCCTACAGAGATTACGCCTAATCATACAAATAAAGGAAGCTCACTAGTCATACGGAACGCCTGCACTACACGTCGCAGGAGGCCGTTAATTAGGGAATCGTAGAATTTCAGTGATTTATGCGCAAACGGACCTCCATTGAAGCTGTCGTCTAAAGTTCTGTCGTTAATAACATAGTATAACTATTGCGACGAAAGGTCAATTCGCTTCTTTTCGATAGTACAACTCATCGTGTAACATAGTAAAATAGCATTTTTTACTACTCATGGCGATATACAATCGATCATAACAATGTAATAGTAACAGTTAATTCAGTAATGACGACGACTACCGCTAGGCCAGATCACCCTTTCGTCGGGTTTATAATTTTTTATCTTTTTCAACAATAGCGCAGACATTCGTATTTAATATGATGGAATACTCTAACGCGTTTCACATTCGTACCTCAATAGCTTACATAAAGTCAGGACAACACAGAATCTGCTAAAGGTCTACAGAGGATTAGATTCAGCAGGGAGGAATACAAAAAGTTCGCATGCGCATTTGCTAACATTTTTGCATGTCTAACAGTTAGTTTTATTAAAGTCCTTCTATATCGATTTTTTCCGCTAGACAAATTTACGTATCTCGAATTCTCACTGCGCTTGCTGCACAACGCTTGTGGTCCGACCCCAGCATCATAATAGCAGCGTCAAGGGCACTTGCAAATGCTATATAGTAAATTGATAACTCATGGTCCAAGTGGCAATCTTATTCAAATTTGAAAAATATGTGACAATGCTTGTGCTGGATCTGGGTGAATCTACAGATTTAAAAAAAAAGCTCAAGACCAAAGCTCTAGGATGAAAACCATCTAGGATGTAAAGTTCATTAAAGTAACGCAAACTTTTTTGCGGATAATAACGCGGAAAATTAAATTTTCCCGTATACGAAACCCTATAAGATAGGATAACAAAATAATATCGAAAAATAAATACCACGTTTTACAGGTAAATACAGTTAATGATCGATGATCCCTTAAAAACGTTTCGTTCCAAGTTACAACGGTAACAAGTGATTCAGTCGCTAAGTGATCGTTCAATAAAAAACGGATACAAACTTCTAAAAGCCAGACTTCTCGGACAGGCATGAATTCGGTAACGAGTGTAACCGTGCCCAAGTGAAAAAAGTTCATCTGCAACAGGTAAGTACATATGGCAAATTGCTTAGGACATGCTTACGTTACAATGATCATTTAGCTCATTATTCCAGAGATCGAGAAACGCACTACACCAGATTGTTCCGTAATCGGTATCAGAAAAGCACATTAAAATCCTGGTAATAAGCCTCATAGCGCACATAGATCCTTTGTGATCAATATGCTTGGTCGATTCATGATTAAACGGTGTGTAGAAACAAAATGCACAAAGGAGCGTGCTTGCTAACCTCGTCGATTGGCGTACTGGATCTCCTAAACATCGCGGTGTAAAGCGATAGGTGCAAGATGTACTAGGTGGCTGGCACCGGGGTCAAGCGGCAACTGATTTCGGTGGTCCGCTGGCTGATGAGAGACAGAGGTCTCCGTTGACCTTCAAGAGCATGGCTCGACACGTCTCCGCTGCACGCAAAGACAGCACGCACACATTATCAAACGATCTACAACTTACGTCACTTGTTCATAGGTGTCGTCTTTGCACATGGGCTCTTTTAGCCTTCTGACCACGTAATTCTCTGACGGTTCTACTGCTTTTTTATGGCCACGGAACGATCTGGTTTCTATCTTCATTAAATTCAAGCTGTAACAAAATCACTTGGCGGTTACTCAAAGCAAGATTTAGCCGGTTTACTTTCTGGGGATAGATAATACCGTATTTACGTCAACTGGATCAAGCCAGTGTATTGTCGTACTGCTTTGGCTAGTCCGCATCTACCTACTGCTTGGTAAACCAAATACAGAATCCTTGAAGAAAAAGGTACTAAGGTTGTAGAATAAGATAAAATAAGAAGAACAGGGTAATATCATCCGCATGCCCGTGTACTGTGTGACGGAGCAGACCACAGGCAAATACATTCGGAGGACAGTTTAGTACGTAGACATTAGGTCGCAGTTCGACGTATCTGATCGGATAAAAACGTTTTGGGATAAGGAGAAGACTACGAGAGTTACACGAAGGTAGGCACAGGTAGGCTCAGGTACAGGCGACGCCAACGAAGTTTTTAATCAAGCACAAGTAGATGGAATAGCAATGGAAGACGCTTAGAATCTAGAGCCTCGACGCTAATACGAACACTGTGAGAGGATGCTAGAAATTGATCTTGATGAATTACTACAGTAAACATTGTTTCTTATCAGGTCATACTTGTTTTGCTAGAAGAAAAAAGATAGTTTGCGATTCATTTTACTTATCGACTAATGGTCTTTAAGCACAAGGAAAAGGAATTGTACCAGCTTACAAGACACGTTTACCGCGAAGACAGACGAACATTTTGGCTTGGGCAGGTTCGTAACCTAAGGAAGTTATACGGGCTTCACGTGTAGAGCGCGAAAACGGAGAAGTTCATACTTAAACATGTAACGGTCCATTTCCATGCCACGATACGTTTTGCAGCTTCGAGGTAAGGAAGGCAGTGATTCAAACCTATCAAACGAACAAATACGTTTGTCTAAGCCTGGCATCGCATCGTTTGTTTGATTTACTGATGTGCAGAAAATGCACTGAAACAATACAAATCTTCTTGAATTTGATTAAATGATTTTGGTTTTAACGTGTAGTGATTCGCGACAGTCTTTGGTAATGACTATCTTTTAGAAGTGGCACGTTTAATTCATTTCTAAGGGGTGACTGGCCTGATAAAACGAGATCTTTCTGCCACTTCATGCTGATGATTGTCCTATGACATTCAGTAACAGAAAATCCTAGGATTTCGTCGACTTTTAATTGAATCTTGTGATATAGAGTCGCAATTTTCTACTGCAATGCTAAAATTAGTTTTTTCTACCTTCCTTTCGTGTTTCAGATTTTGATTTGCTCCTTCTAGCTAAAGCCTAATAGAATCCCGAACCACCTCTGTGAGAGCTCCAATAATAACACCACAACTGAATCGTTCAGACAGTGCAACCGGACAAGGGTCCGTGCAAGCTACGACGCTTAGAACAAAATAAAGAGCGATAACGATTTTTCTCCTATACTACTGAAGGTCGATTGCCTATGTAGCATCAATGAAAGATATACCCAAATAGTTAATATACAGTACATATGTCGGCGATCCGCCAGAGTCTTTTTCGCTTCAAGACTATTTAGGTAAAAATGTTAGGCTCATACGGAAGTCAGAACGATTTAATGATAGTTTAAGAACGTGTCGGTAGCTTAAGGCCAAACGTGCTATTACACATTGTTGCCATAGAGATCTCTATTGTTCTTCATTTAAAGGCGATGAAGCAAATAATAAGGGGCATAATAAGGGGCATTATAACAGATAAAGGTACAAATGCTACCTAGGACCATAAAAAAAACGTCAGCTTCTTATGACTAGGATACGTTGTTGGCTTAAAGGCAATTCTGCAGCTTTATTCTAAAACTTTGATGTGAAACATAATTTCGTAGCGGTCAACCAATTATAGAAAAATGTGATGAAATTATTGCGGAAGGTGAGTAATAAAGTGTGAAGAAGCTACTAAGATTCACGATGTCGCTGACGAATTAAATATCGATTGCCATGCATTTTTAAACCGTTCCTATAGAATTGGCTACAAAAGAAAAAGCCTGATGTTTGGATGCCACTACGAATGGATGCAAGGGAATTTGCTCGATCGTAGTTCCGTATACGAAGTTCTATAAGAACGTAACGAAGTTGAGCTGTTCCCAAAGCGGTTGATGACGGACGATGAAAATTGGATCGCATATGACAATAACGAGCAACTGAAAAGAAAAAAAATGCACCAGAATCTGTGGCGAAGCCCAGACTAGCAGGGAAAAATGTGATGCTATATTTTTAACAGGATAGGGAAGGAATCGTACATTATGACCCACTTCCACTTTGCAAAGCGGTTCGTTCGGATCTCGGCTGTCAACAATTGCCAAGGCTACAATTTAGAGCAATTGAAAAAGTCAGCCGGGGTCAGTGTACGGCCAAAGCCTTGCTTTCCACCATGACGATGCCAGACCACATGCCCATTTACCTATCCGTAAAAACTGAGAGAACTTAGGTGGAAAATTTGAATGCATCCTGCGTATAGCTCAAAACTTGCACCATAAGGCTATTAACTGTCTCAGTTTCTGCAAGACTTCGTTGATGGTGTTAACTTAGTTTTAATAGAGGAGATGCTTGTCATAATTTTTCGTCCAGAAACCACAGAAGTTTTGCAGTGATGAGATTACGGTATCACCAGTAAATTAGCTGAAGGCTGTGAATAAAAATAGCGCGTATTTAGCTTAGTAGTATTATTTTGAAATATAAAAAAATATTTCTTAGCTTTCAGACTACCAGCACTTTTCTCTTTCAATCTGCACCTGGCAACGCTTTCATAAGCCTGACTGATTCAAATAAATTAGTATATTCTACGTGCTGGTACTTGGAGCAAAATCAGATTTCAATCTCAATACTTTTAAATGTCACTAACGCAGTACGCGGGCTCAGGCTAAAGTGCATCATAGATATATCAGTAGGAGTGGTGAGGAGTTCAGCATATCCGTTTCTGCAGTAGTATCTACATCAGAACGACTTAACGGAACTATTAACCAAATTACAGCACCTGATAACGAACGTCTATATTAATAAGAATTAATTGGAGCTCCAATGGGGGGACCGCATTAAAATTTCGTTGGGTCTTGCCGCTGTTTTGGTAAACAATTATGTCCACTGAATGCATAACCCTCTCCATTGTTATTATTGTATATCATCCCCTGACCCATATATATATATATATGTTCGCAGTGGTGATCAAGATGAGTTACTGGAAGGAGCTGCTTAAAGATAGCTTTATCGCAGTCGTCCTAAAAGGTTAGATCTGAAAAATGCCCCTTGTGATCGTCGACCAATTAGGAAAAACACTGATGAAATTGTTGCAAGAGTTAAGCGAGACCAACACGTAAATAGTCATGATATCGCGACGAGGCTAAATATTTACCGCCAAACGGTTTTAAACCATACGAAATAAGTTGCCTATGAAACACAGAGGTCGATGTTTGGTTGCAGCACAAACTAATACAAAAATCGATCGTATTTCCATCTCTGCGAACTTTACAGAAATACATAAAATCGGGCAATTTTCCACACAGTTCATTACACATATTGAAAAATTAATCATAAACGTGCAAATAAAAAACATGAAAAAGTTTACGACAAGAGTGATGATGTTTTATGCTTGGTGCGAAAGGAAAAGATTCCTGCATCATGAGTTGCTGCCCCCTCATAAAACACTTAGTCGAAATTTCCAATGTCAAGAATGTTGACTTAAATCTTTGTTTAAAAACGGTCAATACTTGTTCGACGAGCATATATAATAATACAATTTCAATCTGCTGATTAAAAATTGTTATCTAATAGACTAAAGCTCTTTCGATGAAATTGGTACCGATGATGAGTAAAAGATTTACTTAGTAGTTTATAGTATGGGTAACAGGCAGGCGGACTATGAGGCTAGTTCAGATCCCGTCCTGCGGCACGTGCCAAAAGTCTATCTAAATCACGACAACCTTTATAAGGTAGTAAAATTCACTCAGGGTTATTATAACTTCTGTTTGGGTGCGCTGCATCGAGAGCATTCTTTGAACTAAAATATACGTGGTTCAAAAAATTAATACACACAAGGATTTCATGAAAAATCTACTAATATGACGTGTGTTCTTCTTTGGGATTTTATTATGCAAAAAGACATTTTGAAACAACAAATCCCTCTTAATATACAATTGTTGTATTAAAACGAAAAATACATTTTTTTATAACGACATGACAAGTAATTTCTCCGATAATGGCATTTTTACTTTTATTGAGAAAGCAATGAAGTGTATACTTCGCTGACGATCGTAACATAAATTTTGCAGATAGCAAAATTAATGGCCGAACGATTTGGTGACTGGCTCTTCTTAACTCTATCAACTTGTCTGTATGAGAGTGAAGTCTACTTTTAAACGAGGAAATTTACGTATTTTCATACATACCGTATTTCCAACGATGTTTAATCCCGTTTCCTAAACCACATGCGCAAATGGTCATGTCTGTAGAATCTTCGGCCAGTTCCAACTACCCGTATCACAGCCTTACAGTTGTCATCCACGCATCATTTGATCTCCTCTGTCACCATAATTCATATGGATTTATCATATGTTGATCTGCCTTTCTCAACCGCTACTTGACTCGCGCATATTCCGTTTTATTGTCCCCATCGAAATCATATGTGTCTCTTCTTTTTCAGCTATCCTTTCCGAGAAAACAATGTCTTTTGTTTTCTTATCGTCGCAATTTTCACGAGACATACAGTTAACTTGAGTTTACATCTAGGCTTGTGCTTCTCATTAGCATCTTTAA